ATTTACTGTTAAATTAGAAAAAGACGAGAAGAAACACACAAAGCTCATATTGAACATCGTTTTTGAATCTTGTCCAATTGAAGATACGATCTTTGCAATGCAGTATTTTCATCCAAATCAGTCTTCGGCTCAAACGATTCGAGAATTTGCTCTCGAAGTGATCGTACCACGATCGTCTGTGGTTGTAACAAGTTTGATTTTTGATGAAGAAAAAAGTTCGAATGTTTTCGTTTAAACTTTGTCTTGCACGATGTTGGTAGGCACGACGATAGAGACGGTTGTGCTCGACATGAGCACAGCGATAAATCACTTTGACTATTTTCCGTTGGTAAACGTTGATTATGCAATGGACCGGCCAGTGATGGTGTGTCTTCGTCGTCTTCCAATGTGACAAGACGACCATTAGATGAAATCACATCGCCAACAACACGAACTTGTTGTCGACGACGTTCTTCCATTTCGTACCGTTCGTTTCTCGATCGTTTCGTGTTCGTTTCGACAAAACGTAGAATGAGTAGATTACCACTTGAAGCAACAATTGTCAAGCCCGTCAAAATGAACATTATACAAAATAAGATATACAACCATCCAATGCTTCCGTAGTCATCCTTTTGCATAGGAACTAAATCTCCGAAACCTAGAAAGGATAGCAAGTCGAACTAATGATAAAATCGACTTTCTTACGTACCGATCGTCGTTCTAAAATAGAAAAAAAAAAGAAAATTAATGAAGACATGAATATCCTTCCGTAGAAGTCGATAGTAGGCGATTTGATACTTCATTTCTGATTTTCTCGACTAAAATTAGAAGAAAGTCAAGCGGAAAAGCGAGATAGTGCTCTGCAGTCTTGAGGCTATGAGAAACAAATTTTTTTTCCAATTGAACTAATCGAATTGGCGAGAAACATACAAATGTCTGCAAGATGTTTTCTATTCGAACTACAAAGGTAACTTACAAGGTTAGTAAACAATAATAAAATGCATCAAAATAGCGCCAATTTTCATATCGATGGAAAACATATGAACCCGTTGCTAACGTTAATACAGTTAACAACGCTTCACACGTCAGTAATTCCATCGCAGTTACTTGAGGTTCGCGTTTTCGTTTAAAATGTCGTTTGATACGTTTTAACACGAATGTTATCAGTGAATTTAATCGTTCACCAACACTCTGAATCATAATCAGCCACATCGGAATGCCGATCAATGCATAGGCGATGGTGACAGCGCGTCCAGCTTTCGTATAAGGTATTGCATGACCATAACCCACAAGTGCAAGAACAACAGTAGCGTAGTAGAACGAACCGATGAATTTCCATTGCTTTTTGCGGTAATTCAAACGGAATTGGACAGTTCGAGTGAGATTTTCGAATTCACCTTCGCTCATATTATGTTGATGTCGAAAAACATCAATACGAGCTTGAAGATTTGCTAAACGAAGCGATTCTTGTGTCGATTCTAAACGATCAAATATAGCGGCACCAATAACAAGATAGACAAGGGTCGTAAGAACATAGGCTAATGTGCGATAGTTCTGAATACGAAAAGGTGTTCCAGATGTTACTGTTAAGATAACATCACCACTCGCTGGCCTAATGGAAACAAAGAGAAATCAGAAGAGAAAGCTTTGCGAAACAAAAAACGATCGTTTTACATACATATTTATTCGGATGATTACGTCATACTATATCGATGATGAGACAAGAGAGAGAGAGAGAGAGAGAGAGAGAACGGAAATTTGCAAATCTCTTTTGTTGTGACAGCTGGTATCTAGAAAGACAAACGAAGCATTTAATCGATGAAAGACTACTAATAACACCTGGATTTCTTCTATTTTAATAATCCATTAACATTTCTATGTTTGCGGATCTATTATCCAAGATTTAATGTCATATAATCGATAACAAACATCAATTTCCTCCATTACTCGAAAGGAAACTTGAAACTTTATATAAACATATCTAAATTGACCAATTTTACTCACAAAACGCATCTGAACATGAAACGCCGTTTTCTTCGGAACAAAACGCGCTCGACAAATGTGTAAATTGCAAAAAAAGCTTAGCGTTTTTCTGGATGAGAAACTCGTCGCAAACTCGAAACGATCAGCTCTGTGAGAAGAAGAAAAAAAACTTCTCTTTCTAAGCATCATCGTTCGATCTTATCTTTAAGAAGACATTGTCTGATTGCAAATTCTACTCACTGTTTATCATGGTTCGTTCACCATCAATCGATCATAATCTAATAAAATAAACTTAAGAAGCAAAAAAGAAGATGAAGAAGGAAACGACAACGACGAAAGTAGAGAACGATGATTCGTAATATTTCTTGTTCGCTACTAATGATGATCGATGAGTGAACACAAGCGACAAATGTCTTTCGACATGCTCATGTCAACGCAATACGAGAAAACAACAAAGAAAAACATATCTTTGAACTATCAAGCCTCAACGAATCGAAGCGCAAAAGACAAGCTAAGATATCAATAAATGCTCGAAGGGAAACAGACAAAGAGGGAAGACAACACTCGAAATACATATGAATTTTTTTTATTACTATTATTAATATTGTTTTATTCAACCACATCCGTTTGGTGGACTCTCTAGAAAGTCTGATTCAATGCTGCATGCTCTCATTGTTAATTGGAGCGCAAATCTATAAAAGACTAAGATGGAAAGAGAGAATTTCAAGTCAGAGTCATTTAGATAAGTCAGCTAAACGAATATCTAGCACGACATGAGAGATAAACAAAAGCAAAGAAGATTTGCAAAACACTTCGTTGCAAGCTGATGTCGACGAATGATTGAGTCCGAACAAAAACGCGATCAAATCATCGAATATGATTGAGATGTTTCTTTCATTCTCTTTCCATCCATGTAATAGTTTTGTATCTTCGAAGATTTTATGAATAGATGCGATTATTGCTAGCTATTCTCTTAGTTTCTACTTTCTATCCTGTCTACATGTGCTACGGAATGAAACGAGACTGCCCTATGTGTATCTCTCTCTCTCGCTGTCTCACTCTTTCCTCATCAAGCAACATCCTATCTCGAGAGAAACAGAGAAAAACGAGGATGACATGGAAAATCTTTTCTTTTTTTAAATGAACATGCAACAATAACAGATAATAATAAAAGCAAAAAGAGAAAGATAGTTTTTTATGGTTGCTTTCCATTATTATTTTTCTCAAATTGCCGACTCATAGTCGTCTTTTTTCTTCTTTCTCTTTGAAGATCCTATCGATAAGAATGAAAGAGAGAGAGAGAGAAAATAACAGATGATAAAGGTTTTCCCCAATGAAATAAATTTATTTTGATTTGTCAGGTATGATTAGCATTAGTGAATAGCAAAACAAGAATCGTGCTATATCAGTCACTTGTCACGAGCAGGCGATGCCTAAGATTTGACAAGTTCTTTGAAAAAATAACTTCTTGGCGAAGTCATACAGCTCCATATCGTCACTGTTTATTTGTTGAAGATGTGTCCTTTCCACGGACGTGAGAATCTTTTCGAGATAATCGTTTGTTTGATAGTTTCGTACGTCTTGTTCGAGATAGAATTGAAATGAACAGATACGGAATAATTTACAATAACTTGTCTGTTCGAATAAACGTTGACTTAAATGAAGATGTTCAGTTAAACCGAAGAACTCCATGGACTCGAGGTTCCTCTTTGCACTTGACAAATCAATTAAATCCGAATAAGTGAATGACGGTGACTGGCAACTTCTTATCAACGATGAAAGCATACGAGTTTGACGATTTATGGCAGAATTAAATGGGCAACGAATGAAGTCAGTTAGGTTTGTATCTAATAAAATGTATGTGATTAACAAAGAAAGAAAGTATTCAGGAAAAAAAAGTGTTATTACTTTTCCAGCAGGAATTCTGATGACGAAGTTGTTGTGCTCTGTGACAAGGTAAACGTTCCGACAGCCAAGTCGCGCCACGAAGATTATGAAGGTATTCACTGATGAATCGACTGACTGGTTCGCGAAGTAAGGTAGCATACAGAAATCTAGATATACAAATGGAAATTCTTCGATAAACAACAAGAGCGATCTATTCATTGTTAGTCTAATGGGAGAGCTTAGGTTAGATAAACAAAACAACATGCCAGCTCATTATTACTACGAGACATTGATTCTAAACGTAAACAGGTTCCTCTACGTACTTGCGTTGATTTAATCCATAATCGAAATTCATTTTTGTTGGTAAACAACGGTGATATGTTATCCAATCTGCGTGCACTCCACATAACCATCCGACGCTGAATCGACTGATAAGCCAGGGCTCATTATTTCTTGAGCAATCACATCTTAATTTAATCGCTGGTCGATTGGCCTGATTCTGTTTCGGCATCGTCGGACATCGACAACTTGGTTGCGAATCGAAATTCAAACGACGAACAATCGACCGTTCAAATGTTGAACCCGCCGTTTTTTGGATATGAATAAAAACGAGTACTGTCACTGGATGTTCACGATTGAAAAGTGTTAGATCATGTAACTGCTGTTTTAATTGACTAGTTAAATAAGTCAAAATAATGAGAACAATCAACAGAGTTGTTCCCAACTTCCACTTGACCATCGGTACATCAGTCGAACGCGAAGAAGAGAAAAAGAGGATGATTTGTACTGTCGACAGACAATCGAGTACTGGCATCGATGACCGACATCATCTTTGTTTCTTTCTCTTTTGACGGGAAAAGAAACAGATAGGTCAATAGGAAGAGAAAGAAAATAAAAATTAGATGTGCGAACACATCTGTTCAGTTCAATTTTATCTCTCTGTTCATTGTCTATTCACTAACGAAAAACACATTTCAAGAACATTCTGTACGATTTTTGATTGCAAGTTAAAGGCACATTCAACATTCAGCTTTGTTCGCACAGAACGATGAGAAATCATGACAACTGGATAGAGTTCACATACAAATAATATAGCTGGTCGACATTCGATTTGTTTTCTTTCCTTGTTTATCTCTATTACTTACAAAAAGATGCTCGAATTTAGTCAAACGAGGTTTCTTTCTTTTTTTTGATTTCGAATAACACAACATTTTACTGAAAATGACATGAATATATATATATCAATCTATCTATGTATATACAACAATTAGAAAGTTAAAAATTGGAAAGAAGATTTAAACGACATCGTAATGACTTCGAATTGTCGAATTNAGCCTTTATGTAAAGGCCGTGTTCACCGGTTTCCGACGCGGTAAACGTAATCAACATGAGAACACCGCTTTACTCAAACTCGATGGTGTCAACGCTCGACGTGAAACAAACTTCTATTTGGGTAAACGTTGCGCCTATGTATACAAGGCTAAAAAGTAAATTCGAGCAAAAGCTCGCCGAGTATCATAAAAGAAACAACGGTGTTTGTTTTTCAGCAAGACATTAGTACCTGGTCAAAAACGTTTGAATCGTGTTCGCATTCTTTGGGGTAAAGTAACACGTGCACATGGTAAAAGTGGTGCTGTTCGTGCCAAATTCCGTCGTAATTTACCACCAAAAGCACTCGGACGACGAATTCGAGTGGTAAGCATTCGTTTGTCTCCGCATAGTCTCATCCGACTGACCTATTCTCTTGTTTTAGATGCTCTATCCCTCACGTATTTAAACAATACAATCATGGTCGATCGAACTGGTCCATATTGATCGACTCAATGAAGCTATTATTGTTATTATTATCATCATCAGTAACAATTGTTTTGAGTCGAGAAGAATAAATAAAACGAAAGAAAAAGAAATGTTAACACACTTGATGACTGAAGATTCTTTCTATATCAGACATCGTGATTATCCATCGATTGTTTATTTGATTAAATTGAATTTTACAACTCATTTTCCAACTACAGAAAACAACAGTTCTAACCTAGATGAGTAAATTGAATTTCCTGGAATATCTGATATTCGTGGACATTCATTTAAAGCTACACACGCACACCAAATGATAAAATGTGAGAAGTCTCTCATGTTTTCGTTTGAATTCTTCGTAGTAAGTCACGATTACATTGTTCAGCACTAGAAAAGAATTAAATGGTAAAATACATGAGAAAGTTCAGATTACTTTTCAAGTAACGAGCGAGCACGTTCAACAACATCAGCATCCTGAATTGGTTCTTCGATCTAGAAAAATTCCGATGAAAACCTCTTCCTAGGATTGCTTTATAATTCAACATACTGCATAGCTCTTAATCATTTCTTCTTCCTCGTCTGAATCTGAATGAAATAGATGAAAGATGAATCGCTCATAAAGCGATCGACTTACCAACGAGAATTCCTTGTGGAACAAATGGTTGTTTTGGTTTCGGTTCAGGAAGAGTGACGTGGGTATCATTGTTCTAAATAATAAGCAAATAAAGTACGCCGGTGTTTCATTTCTACTTACCTGGGGTGTCTTTCGTCGTAACATCGCTAATTCATTTTCAACAATAACTAAGCGTGCATTGAAATTCGAAACATCGGATGATGATAAAAAGCTCTAGAAGGATACAATTTATTCGTATGGAACGTCAATTGAAGGACAGTTTTACATTTCCAGAATGAGTTTCTTGTAGAATCGAAGTGACATTTTCCAGTCGAGCATTGATATCTTCAACTTTAACTTTTAACATTTGAATTTGTTCTTCCAAACGTTGAAGTGTCATAGCAGTAAGCGATCCGATCTGATTTCGAGGATTTGCTAAAAGAACTCATCTTCCGTTAACCTAAAACTTCCAAAATCTACACTTACACGAAGATTCAAATTCCGATCCATCTAACCAACTTTCGATATGCTGTTTCTTTGGCACAGTCAAATGATGTGCTTGAACCGATGTAAATTGTTCAACATCGTGATTAGCTGGTTCTAAACTCATGTCCCGTAAAGGATGAAAAGCATTCGGAACAGGTCCTTGTTCTAAAAGTTCGCATTTCGTTATGAAAAAGAAAATCGCGGAACTTACGTGTACTTGATGAAACACGTTTCTTTTCCTTATTACCATTCGTCAACTAAAGCGAGTCTTCAACAACGATTAATCTTTTTTCTCATAAAACCTACCCGTGCTGAGTTAGATCCTGAACGTTTCTGTTGTTGAATCATATTGATTTCCTTACACTCTTGCCGCACCAATACGATGACGTCACACGCCATTTGCAGTTTTCGTTCGGCAAAGCCTGTCGTGAAGAATTGTTCTTTCGTGATCGGTGGTTTATAACTGAAATGATCACGTAACGCCTAAAATGAAGTATTGATTTGTTTTTTTTTGCTTTCTTAAAAACGAGCTGATGATTTTACTTTATACATTGTATCCACAAAATGACTGTCTGTCTTGCCGTAGAAATCGCAACCGCATTTGTCGAGTAAGCTTTTTGCGAACAATGGATTATAATCCAAGAAAACATAGTGATAAATTTTTAGGAATTCACATGGGTTGCCTGTTTGGAGTCTAAGAGGAGAAGAAGGAAGAAAAGCAAATAGTTCGAGAGATATTTGAATTGATAAGAGAAAACGAACGATTTATAATCCACATCACGAAATTTGATGAAACGTAGTTCCGTTTGCAATTTACGAAGATAATTTTGTACATCTCCTGTTGATAACATGATTTAAAAATGAAATTCGTATGCTTGTTGAAATCAGCAAACAAACAATTCCATTTGTACCAATGACTTCTTTGAAAATTCTCTCGGCGACCTCTATCGATAGAAATTTATAAGGTGAAAACAGTATACGCTCAATTTATATATTCGAAACAGTCAAGTCTATGGAATCAAACGAGAGTAAAGCTGAAGAGACAATTGTTGATGTGTATCTAAACCTGGATTCTTACTATATTCTTATTGTTGAACAGAATAAACTTCAACTATGAATGTTTCTGCTAATTGAACAAATTCGAACGTTTTATCCATATGATTCCTGATATACATATTTCTATTCTTCTGTTGTCTGATCGGAAAGACATGAAATGAAAATAGCGAGATTCTTTCTGATTTGTAAACAATAAACATTGCATAAAGGTCTATACAGTGAACAAACGTCTGCGATTATGTTCGCATGTCCTGTCGGATCCTTAGTAAATTGATTCAGTTAAGGGAGAACACAACATAATACTCGTGATATGTCTAAAAAAGTGAGATATGATAAAAACTACTATTTCATGATTTGACATTTCCGCAGATTTTCAATCTTCAGACTTGAAATGCTTTTCGAGCGTGTTTTTTAGGCAAAATTGGCGCCCCAAGTCCTGTCATGGCAGTAAAGGAGCACACTGCTCAAGTAATTGATTTCATTCCAATTGTTTTGTTTAACAAACATCCATGTTACATTCTTCTCCATAGCATGATAATTCAGCAGCAAGAAGAATTAAAACAAGCAGACAATTTTATCATTGGTAATTCTGATTTTAGCAATAACTTCGAGAGCAGAACATCATGTTAAGAAGAGAGCTCAAACAACGAACACTTCCACTGTATAGACCACACCGGTCAAAATAAGGTCTGTGCCAAACTTTCGATACAGCTTTTTTTCATAATTTTATTTTTTAGTTGTGAATATAACTAGTAAACTTTTCAATTAGACATCATTGTCTTTGAATATTATGATCACAAAATTTACAAATGTCCAAACGAAACATTAGTACTCAAATATTGTATTCTTCCACTATCGAAAGCAATTGCGATGGATATACGGTGGGAACTATAGTACATTGGCACACTAGAATTATTAGATCCAGTGAAGTCACTGTTCAAATGTTTTATGAGACCGTTCTCACTCGCAAGCCTTCCATGTACTGTTTCGTCATGATCTATTTGGCGAAAAACATGTTTAAAAGTCAATTTCTCACTGTGTTAGATTCTAGTAACGACGGTTTTCTTGTGTACTACAAAATAAGTCAAAAAAAAACAAGTAATCTATTTATGTTATTAACAACTATACCTAATTGATTTTTAACCTGCAGTACTTCAATCAACGTTTTCTTTTGAATATCAATAAAACATTTTCCCACAAAAGATGCTTGTCGATATTTTCATAGTTCAACAACTAGTAAAAGTACACATATGAATACAAATTCCATCGACAAAAATCCGTATTAACTTCATCGATATTTAACACACTCTCACTGTCAATTATGTATTTCACTACGACATCATGATTGAGCGTGAAACTTTCTATGAATTACTTAGTCTTGTTCATCCACATGATCTTTCTTACGATTGCAAATAGTTCACTGGCCAGAAAGAGAGACGAAATATGTTGTAAGTTGATACGTTTCAACAAGTCGTACCAATCATTTTCTATTTCTTGTCAGCGACCTCTAGTATATCTCTGTGGTTGATAAAAGAAACAATCCTCGAACAGCTGTGACACAAACTTTTCTAAAAGTCAAAAGAGAGAGAGAAGACAAGTATGGACAACGATCAATCACCAACAGTTGTATCGCCATTGGCATTAGGTGGTGCTATCACTGGCATATTTGTGTTGATATTTTCGGCTATTTATTTATTCTTTCGCTCACCATCTTCGTCGAGAACGGATGAAGTGAAAAACGAAAGTGAAACTAGTAAAACGGAAAGTACGACGAAAAAGTCGTCTTCAAGTAAGGTGGTGAAACAAGATACAAAGGTCGTTTCTAAATTCGTTCACCCATGGTTATGCGTATCATTACGCGCTCATACCGGATCAGTTACTGGTCTTGATTTCAGCCATAATGATAAGTATCTTGCATCAGCTGCTGAAGGTAATTACGAAATTTGTTTGATGGATTTGTTTACTGATTTCTTTTTCAATGAAGATGATAGTGTTCTCTTATGGCAGACAAAAGATTTTAATGAAAAAGATCATAAGTATGTTTGTTGTAGAATTTGTTTATGAAAGTTTGTTGCTTTCTTGCAGGCACACTCGAGTAAATATCGAATTTGGACAAGCAAATCATGTTGCATTCAGTCCCGATGGAAAGTACGAAATGAGAAATCATTGGAATTGTTCTATTTTCGATGTTTAGAGCGTTTCTTGTCAACTTAGTCAAAGAAAATACTATACGTGTATATAAATTTGAAAAACGTGCTGATGGTCTACCCACTAATGTGAAATCGGTGTTAGATTTTCCCAAAGTAAATATACACACAAGTAGTAACTCGTGTTTTCATGATATTTCTTTCAGAAAAATGAAAGTGACGTGATTTCTATCGGCATTGCTTGCACAGGAAAGTTTATAATGTCAGCGGAAGTCAATAATAAGATCGTGATATTCGATATCAAAGGTACGACCTGTCTAATTTCTGTATACCGGAACTATGTGTGCGATTTGATTCTCAGGTGAAGTTTTGGGTATAGTAGAAACACATCAGGGACATTTGAATTACGCTGCTGTGTCTCCATGTGGTCGATTTTTTGGTTCATGTGGATTTATGAGTGATGTGCGTTTCTATGAAGTTTGTTTTGAAAAATCCAATGGAAATTTCAAAGAAATTCGTCGAGCTTTCGACCTTAAAGGACACAATGCTCAAGTGACATGTTTCAGTTTGAATAAAGATTCAACGCGTGCTGCAACGATTTCTAAAGATAATACATGGAAATTATGGAATGCTGATGTGGATTATATTCATAAACAAGATCCGAAGTGTTTATATACAGGAACATTAACATATCATATTCAAGAGCTAGCTTTGATTGTTCTTTCGCCCGATGCCCTTTCGGCAGTGGTTTCTATTGATGATCGTATGATGTTCTACAATCTAAGTAGGGAAGGCAAACCTTGCGAACAAGACATTGCAAATGTGTATTCGGGTATGCAAAAATTTCGAATATTTTCGTGTTTTTGATTGATTATTTCCTAGAGACTATCCGTACATTGGTGATGGATAACACCGGACGATATGTAGCATCTGCGGCTGGCCGACAAATTCGAGTATTTCATAATATTGCTGGTTCGTCATTGCTTCTTTAGTTTTGAAATAAAATTTACAACTAAAATTTCTTCTTAGGACTGGAAGGTTTGATCGACGATTTGACAGAAACAGCACGTACGGCAAAACAGTTAGCATTAAAAGAACGCATTGAAGAACAAATCAATGATGCTCGGTATAACTTCGATGTTTTTCAAAAGATTCCGTGTATCGTGTCTTTTCTTTACATTCTAGTACAAAAATCAACAAGATTCTAAATGCGACTGCGTAGTTCAATAACATTCTTGTTTCTTTTTAGTACATGTTATGCTGTTGTTTTAACATCAATAAAAAAAACAGAAGTTCAAAGCAACGGCAATTTTCATAGTCAGTTCTTCTTCGGTGCTTCATTGACCCACTGTTTCAGCGTTTCTTTCGAGCCAACAGTATATAAAAGTTGAACTACACGTTCGACTGCATTAGCAAATGGTTGATTCTCAGCTAGATTATCAAAAACTTGAGGAACACTAAGAACAGGCTTTGCATTTGGTTTTGTTTTAATAGCCAATTCACTCAATTTCAGTTCAACAGCTAACGCATCTTGTAGTGTAATTGGTTTCTCATGTTCATCCACTCCGCCGAGATATCTTACCCAAGCACCTACAGCTAATGCACAAAAATGTGGATTATTTCCGCGTTTTAGCTGTTCAACGATCGTTGGAACGAGAAATTTAGGGAATTTCGATGCACCATCCATGCATACCCGCAAAGCGGTATCTTTAATGTGTGGATTAGAAAATCGTTCAATTAATGTTTGTTTATAATTATCCAGATCAATACCAGGCACTGGTGGTAGAGTTGGCGTCACTTCATTGTCCATTAAATCTTTAATATAAACTTCGATCTGTTTGTCTAACATGATCTCGTGAATGTACGTATAGCCCATCAAATAACCAATGTAACACATGCCAGTGTGGGAAGCATTGAGAAGACGCATTTTCATACATTCGTATGCTTCGACATGTTCAGTGAGAAGAACATTGTATGGCGATGCGGAAAGTAGCTCGAGTGGAGGTCGGCCGTTGCAAAACTTCTCTTCGATAACCCATTGAACAAACGGTTCAGTAACGACAGGCCACGCATCAGCAATCCCACAATGCGTCCGGACATATTCACGATCGGCATCACTCGTCGCCGGGGTGATTCGATCAACTGAAATAAAACGTTTTGCCAGTTCGGTTTTTCGAAAATGTATTCATTTTTCTTACCCATGGCATTCGGAAAGGTTACGTTTGTTGCAATGTATTCAGTCAATTCAGGATTGTTTAAAGCTTTAGCAAATTGTAGAACACAGTTTCTAGCTACTTCACCATTTTGTTGAACGTTATCACACGACATAATTGTAAACGGTTTTTCATTCGCACGACGACGAGCATCTAGTCCATGAACGAGAAAACCAAATGCTGTTTTGGGTTTAGCAGAATTTTTCAAATCATGTTGAATATCAGGATTATTCATATCTAAGTCATAGCCACTTTCCGTAATCGTCATAGAGACTATTTTGGTGTCCGGATGTGCAAGTGTAGCTAAAACAACTTCTGGTTCATCCGGTGCAAATAAGTAACGAATCAAAGAACCAATAACACGAACGTTTACATCGTTTTCGTCAGTTCCTTTCGTTACTAATGTATATAAACCATCTTGTGCTTTTAAGACCGTACTCATGGGTTTATCGAACGAACGAACTCCTACACCTACAATACCCCAATCAGTGTGTCCGTGTTCACTTGCTAACATATCCATATAATAAGCTAAGTGCGATCGATGAAAATTTCCTACACTTAAATGAACAATGCCATGTTTGAGTTGACTCCGATCGTACGTCGGTAAATGAGTGCGGACGGATTCACATTTTGATTTATCAACAATCAGGTTAGTTAGTGCTGAAACAGTAGCCATATTTACCAGAAAAGATTTTTGATATATATATGTATTCGAGGGTTATATAGTGTTGTTTTCTTTTACTTATCGCTTGCACTCTTATTAGTCGGTGGATTTATTTGCCGAGCTTATTTTTGTTGTCATAGGATAGCCATATCGCGAGCAATGAAGAAAGAAAGAGAAAGAAAAAGAAAAATAAAGAAACAAAGGGTAACAAGATAAAGTGACAAATAGAGTGTCTTCAATTGTAAAATATGCTTCTTGAACGAACCTAATATCTAGTATGATATATACTGTGAAGATATGACTTTCGTCGTGAGCGGCTGAACTATAAAAAGAAAGAAATTTGAAGAACAATGCACTACGATCTGTTTCGAAGGTTTTTTTTATTCAAAAATAGACTTTTTTTGTGTAAGATGAAGATAAATAATTAAAGATATATAAATAGCTTCGAGTGTTGGTAACGATTAGGGTGGTGATGGACAGTAACCCATGTCAGGAGGTGGTGGACAATAACCCCCGTCAGATGGTGGTGGACAGTACCCCATGTCGGGAGGTGGTGGACAGTACCCCATGTCGGGAGGTGGTGGGCAGTAGCCCATGTCGGGTGGTGGTGGACAATAACCAGCACCTGGTGGTGGAGGACAGTAGCCTGGTGAACCTGCTGGAAAGTACGGTTGACGATGTGGGAAAGCAGGGGGTGGGGGACAGTAACCACCGCCCGATACGTATCCATGCGGTTGATAAGGATAACGAGTTGGGGTGCAACACTCTTGACCCATTCTTGTTTAAGCAATGAAGAAGATGGTAACTTAATATTAATTAAGTTCGATACTGAAACGGATAGAAGGGAACCCGTATATTTTATAGTATCACAATGTTATTACATCGACACATGAGTTTTTGCGTCAAGCTTTATGTTGATTCTGTTACATTCTATGATAGAAGACTACTAAGCAACAAAGTAGTCATCTCGAGTTTGTGCGTCACTTATGATAAAGCATGAGATAAGAACGCAACAACTGCTACAATTTCATCAGCAATATGCATACGTAAAAGCAGTATTCAAACACATGTAGGTGTCTTTTCTCAAACTTTCGATGCAGTGAGGTTGAAACAACGTCGTACAATCACAACATAGACAAAAAAGTTTTCAAGAATGATATATACTTTATTTAGTAAAAAAGTTATAGAAAGATTTGATCTATCTCGATCAGAACTTTAAGAAAATAGTTGTTAATGGTGACCATGATGATGGTGGTGATGATGATGATGAGATGGTGGTGGCGGGCAATAGTCATCCGATGGAGGTGGTGGACAGTAGCCGCCTGTTGGCGGTGGTGGGCAATAACCATCTACTGGTGGAGGTGGGCAATAGCCACCGACTGATGGAGGCGGTGGGCAATAACCACCAGACGAGGGTGGTGGAGGGCAATATCCACCTACTGATGGGGGCGGAGGACAAGATCCACTTGATGATTGATCTCCAGGAGGTGGTGGACAGAAGCCACCGAATGCTGAAAGTACGGATGGTTGTTGTTGATTATAAGGTGGATTGTAGCTCATTTTTTGTGTCTCGTGTTGAGTTGTCAAACTGAATATAATCGACTGTTAACAATATTGAGAAGTAAGTAAAAAATCAGTGATTTATATACGATGTGGAATGAAAAACAAGGTTGAGTCAACGTAAAAAAGTAAAGGCGTATTTACAACACCTGTTTTTATATTTTTCTTATCTTTTATACGAGAAACGAAAATAGAATGGTTGTTATTCAGACCATAATACGATTTATTATTCACACACAGTACAGATTATGTCGATTCACGATGGAAGATCGTTCTACAGAAGATTTTTCGAGATGAATATTAATTTAAATATTAACATCGCTTAATCATCGAGTGATATTTTATCTCTCCGTTTACTTTATGATTTTTCTCTTTCAATACTTGTCCACACAAGCGTGATACTTATACACGTTTACCATTTCGTCAGGACAACTTCAAGTTTCTTATCACTAGAATATTGTTATCTACATGCATATTCTGAATGTATGACTGGTGTCCTACGGCATCTGTTGTTCTCGTTCGTCAATGAGTAACGTATTCTCCTATATTGAATTGCTGCATGGGAAGAGAAAGAGAAGAAAACATCAGTTGAACTCATAGCAGTCATTCAACATACGTGAACGGACAGTCAGATATTTTTATTGATTTTAATCATGTCATCTATGTTAGAAGGTCTTCCTAATGAATTATTCATTTTAATTTTCACATATTTAAACAATATCGACATTATTTATTCATTTTATCGTCTCAATCATCGATTTACATCACTTATTCGTACGCTAGATCGTATTCACATTGATTTTTCTACTCGTCCACTAAGTAAAACTCAACTAATTTATATTCTCAACCAACTTCGTTCGTTAAATATTCACTCGATCCGAATATCCACTCGTTATTCCATTGATTTCATTTCTTTCTTCGTTGGCTACCTTCCACCAAGTCAATTCACTCATCTTCGATCCCTTGCATTCCAGGATGCCGATCGAACGACCATTGAAAAGCTCATTCATAACTATCCACATTTAACATATCTTTCCATTGAATCTTCGACTTGGCGATCCATTCCTCGTCATTGTTTCCCTTATTTTCCAAATCTAACTCATTGCCATCTCCCAACACTTTCATATTTCCACCATTGCTATCCACAATTGACCAATCTTCGATTAGATCACTGTACAACCGACGACCTCCTACATTTAAACACAATTGCTCCCAATCTTCATTCACTTACATTAACATTACAACGAACCACAACTATTCCTCCTGCAGTACACTTTCCTGAGCGTTTACATACGTTAAAACTGATTCTACGTTCAGTTTTGTTCACAGAATTTGAACGCTTGGTTAAAACGAATGAACATATCGAAACTCTAATCGTCTCATTCAGTAATACCGAACATGAAGTGCATTGTTTCGATCGATACTTATTCGGCGATCATTGGTCTTCCCTTAACACACATTTTAATAATCTTCAGTTCAACATTATCGTTCATCAAACATCGGAAGCTTTTTCAATCGAAGATCTGCTATCGAATTTTCATTGGTACAACAAACGAATTCATTGTCAAACACTCGATGATACGAACGGTTATCATATTTTCTCGTTGCCATTCATCGATGAATTGTATCGAATCAATTGTGGAACTTATGATCAAAGTGTCTTCAATAATAATGATTTTCATCGTGTTAATCATCTTCATGTCACAATGACACACTATCGTACGCAAGAATTCTTGCGAATTTCATCGAAATTTGCTTTTCAAAATGTGCAGATCTTAACCGTCGTTGGTTCGTCTGTTAGTTCGGATCTGGTGTCATTTGTTGGAATGTTGATGGATAACTCGCCCCTTCGAACGTTGGAACTTCGTTTGGCTTCGTCGTCAAATGATAGTCGAGAGTTTTTTAACAAGCTTGTTTTCCATATGCCAATCGCGATCGAAATGTTGACGTTGAATATGATCAGTACTCGATTTTTATTTGACTTACTGGATAACAATGCACGTTTACTGTCACATGTTAAACGACTTTCGTGTTTAGTAAAGAATTGCGATGAATTCGATTCGTTGATTTTACTTTTATTAGAAGTTTTCCATGAAAAATCACTGATTTATTTGAGTATTTCGTTAGAAAATCCAAGTAAATCATCGAATTTAATCTCGGGTTGGTTACTCAAAACCAGCTACTTGAAAAAAGCAAGAATCAAATGCTCCGATCGGCAGTGTATTATTTGGATTTGAATAACTTTTCTTTATGATTGTTTTAGTTTTTCTAAACGACTTTTTTTTCAATAATAAATGCAATTACTGTAACAGAAATTACTCTGACTCTTTTATTTCAATTTTCTAATTGAAAATGGTTAGGGATTTTTCAATTACCTACGAAAACAAACTAAACGATAAATAAATTTAACAAAACAAAGTACTATTATAGAGTTTAACTCGCAGAAAAACTGCTGAGATCATCGACCATACGTTTCTTTCTTGCGTATTGGATATACTGCGCATAAAGATTACGCGCTCGTGGTAAAATTCGATCGGAATGATTTTGTCGGCGGTACCGATCGAAATGTATATTGATATCTTGTTCTTCGAGATTTTTCTGTTTCAATAAATGCGTACGATGAGCTAATAGAATGGAAATGCAAAGAAATAGGAGAAAGGAATTTTCCTCTTCGAGCCAAATAGTGTTATTGGGCGGCAATCGTTGTACCCAGTCGGTTGACGATGGACATTGAGAAGATTTAGTGGTTGTCATAACATTTGTGCTTGAACATAAGGATAGATTATCCGAATCGAACTCGGAGATTTCACTCAAGGAAAATGAGTTCTCGAAACTTTTCTCACGCGATCGTGTGGATGTGGAATTGGATGTGTTATTGGTCGATGAACAGATTTGATATTCATCACTTTCCAATGTTGAACGGCACGTTCGTGATAGAGTTGTGTAGAAATGATCATTCACATCGTAACAAGCAAATGACGATGAATGATGTCGACCCTTTCGTGAATAAGATTCATTGATAACGGATAATTGCGGACAACTCAACGCACGGCGTTGTGGTGGCCGGCAAGGTATTGAACATAGCATATCCACAATGGAATTATCTGATATTGCAGGTAAAATCGAAGCCTCACTCAATTGAGGTGGATCACGGTCAATAGGTAAGGTAGCCCACATAACTTCGAGAACACGCAACGCTTCATGGAACGGAAATTCTCGTTTGCATTCGAGTAACAACCAACGGTAAGCGAAATAGAGATTGACTAAACGGATACAGTTAGACAAATGTGAAAACGAGATTGTTCGATATACCTGCATCGCATGTTTCAAGAAAATGCCAGTAAACGGGATCGACAGCTTGCAAGAGAACCTTCAAATGATGAAATTTCGTAGCTATTGCTACACCATCGGTGGCAAAGTTCGTTTGGATTCGTCTCATGATCGAACAAAAGCATAGATAAGTCAATGACTCATCGCGCATGACATACAGCAAAGTCGATGCATACTCATTCATACCTAAACAAAAATGAATATTCGTAATGATTTGTCACTAAGCAATCAGATAAGGAAAAACCTTGACAATAGGGTATATTCGGATGGCTAACGCAGAATGTTAGAAGAATGTGATAGAGGGTTTGTAAATTGACATTTGTATCGCCCGAAGTGGCATAGAAACCAAATGTTCGATCAGTGCGAAGTACATCGGTATGTATCAAGCGCATTAATTTTCGAATATGCTCATTATGATTCTTCTCTTCTTTCCATCGTCCTTTCAATCTAATTGGAAAACATGAAATTTTCATTTTCAAATCAATTACAGACATACTTCTCATATTTATTTGAAACATCTTTCAAATATTCAATACGTTCCTTGCTCGCCATATCTCCGGGAAAGATATTCAATAAATATTGCCAGACAGTCTTGCGAAACGATGGTTCAACGCCACCTTCGTAGATCGCTTGACGTAATTCAGTTGCATGGATCAGACGTTCTTCTGAGTCGATGTACGTCTTGAAACTGTCTTCGGAAACTGGTTTGGCGCTATGTCGTTCGTGTCCGCCGTACATCCAATCTAAAAATTCTAGGTTAATCAATTCAAAACTTCATTTTTCGGTTGTGTCAATACATACTGATTGCTTTATTTAGAGCGGAAGGCTTTTTACCAGTCGTTGGATTAATCGTTGCGATAATCGACTGTTTATCAACGTTAAACCATCGAATATTTGCACTAAAATCGTTATGTGCAACGAAATCCCAATCTTCCAATCCTGAAAAAGAAGCAACATCGAATAACATCAGTTAAAATAGCTAATTAGCACTACCGTCTTCTCGAGGAGGTAACTCATAACTTAATCTTAGATAAGAATCAGATTTGACGTTCTTGATCGCAGTCTCTAAATCCCAATCGGACCAGATAGCTATTTGTTTTTTCAAGCCTTTGGTTGGACATCTTTGGACGGCATTGATGGTAAAATCTGTTCGGATGTCAAATGCCTGAGCAATCAAACATTGAATTGTTCTGTACGAAGCAAGTCGCGGATCGATACAGAACTTTTTCGATGCACCCGTTTCGTAACATTTGTCAGTACCATTAAGACTTGGTTTCTGGAAGGACAAACGAGAAAATAAAAGTAAGACTTCTAAAAGCAAGATTTCTTACATAAACTTTGATCTTCACAACATCGGGTTGAGCAGAGCCGATCACAGTCATCGATGGCATTGAAGTACTACTACGACTCATATTTCGGCTCTAGGAATAATCGATATGGTTTCTATATAAATCGCATTAAATTGAGAAAGCCTTACTTTGAATTTCTTATTTGTCAGCACACTCATATTCAACTTTATCTGACCGAAATGAGCAGAGTCTAAATTCTAATGAATCTCTTGCTTCTTATTCTTCTCTCTCTCTCCCGCTCTCTATCGTCTTTTTCTTCTATTCTCCACCTGCTATATGTAAATAAATTGAAAGTGGATGACAAATGTTGCTTGTCTACCAAGGTTATTCAATGATATCTTCGCTCATAACAATAGATGATAAACACGAAGAAATTATCTTCTCTTGTATATCAATTTTGAGATTTTACCTTTGCCTGGTCAGTATTCTGAGGTTGAAAAAAAATTATCGACCTTTGATTTCTTTATCATGGTTCGGATATAATTAGTAGTCCATGTTTCGAACTCATTCGAGATTTTGGCAAAACGAATCGATCCATCAAAGTTTGACATTGTCATGAGAATAAAAACAGAATTTTCATATTTATTTCTCGAGGCTCAACGAGTAAAATGTGACGTTTCGTTGATAACTTTTTAACCTTGGTACTTTAGTAGTTCGTTTCTTCTTTGTTGATAGATTAGCTGATACTAGACTTCTGAAAAGATAACCTAGCTATCTGCTCGCAGAAGACAAAACATAATTATCTTGAAGTGCGTAAATATAGAGAACGAGAGAAAAAGCAACTTCATGATCACGCTTTCGTTTCCTATCGATGACGTTTTTCTTTACAGTTTTTAGAACTATCAAGAGATAACAAACAGTATTGACAAACTAAAGTTCTTCGAACATCCATGTGTAATTGGGCAAACAATCTCTTCCGATGATATATCATTTCCCAGACGTTCTCACATAGATATTGAACTATATTTAATCAGAATGCTACGAGAACTCCAGATCGTTCGTTTCGTTTTCCAGGACATCGAGTAGAAAAACGAATGATGACGACGTCATTCTTTCAGATGATTATTACATCTCGGTGAGCGGCGAGAACGTCTAAATATTCTATAAATAATAAAGTATCTTATATTATACAACGGCAGACGAAACGGAAATCCACACACAATGGTAACAATAGACGTCGAATCAATTCAGAGATAAAAATCGCCAGAAATAAACGGATGTGTAACAAATCAGAGTCATATATATATATATATCATAGCACTCCGACATTCTCAAACTCAATGTCTTCGGTAGATTCAGGTAAATGTTTCCCTTGGAATTCAGTGTTCTAAATTTTCCTTGCAATAGTTTCTTTAATTTCCTTTGGAAACACGATTTTATCGAAAGTACTTCCTCATTAGCCACCAACACAGATTGCATGTGAACTCATTTGTGTTCGATAGAAACAATATTTGTTCTCGGTCAGAACGAGAACAACTACGAGCTATCTTAATCAAACGACAAATGATCTTTCTAAGTATTTCATTGACGTCGTCTAGAATTTATAAATAACACTCTAGAAAAGAAGTGTCACATATCTGATTGGCCGATTTCCACCAATGAAAATCGACGACAAGATCGTGTTGATATAAAGTCTGCCAAACATTCATGCAAAATGCATTGATCACTTAGAATAAAACAGTTATGAAGAAAAAAACAAGACAATGCGTTTTCTTTTTCTCCTGTTTCGAAATGTCTTCAACGTACAAGACAAACAGTTCGAATGTATTCTCACCGAGACACGATTGTACATTTTTAGCGCAAAGAATAACATATGATTTCAAGTCAAAGATTATGTCGTCGTTCGTTTTTTCTTCTTTCAGATACAAACCTCGAGCAACGTTTTTCATCTTTGATATTTCGTTGAAATCATGAGAAACAACTAACTGCGAAGTATTCGATTCAACTTCGTATATACCTTTCACCCATCATCCTCATTGATATCAAATCGTTTTTTGTTTGTCATACTTTCTTCTTTAAATGGCCAACGAACAAGATAAACTCAACATTGATGGAATCATTCAACGTTTGCTCGAATGTAAACTCGAGATTTTCGATTTCGAACGTCACACTTCAGTTTGTGTTTTCTTCTTTTTAGTTCGAGGTGCTAAACCGAATAAGAACGTTCATCTAACCGAAAATGAAGTGCGAGGTCTATGTTTGAAATCACGTGAAATATTTCTTAGTCAACCAATTTTACTCGAACTTGAGGCACCATTGAAGATTTGTGGTAAGTTAAAGCATTCCTTTCGAAAAAGAAAGAAAATTCCATCGATTTGTTTTTTTTTCTTTCCTTCAGGTGATATTCACGGTGAGATTCTTTTCGATTGACTGAAGGCGTTTTGTTTACAGCAAAATACATTCGTTTAGGTCAATACTATGATTTACTTCGTCTGTTCGAATACGGAGGCTTTCCACCTGAATCAAACTACCTGTTTCTTGGAGATTATGTCGATCGCGGGAAGCAATCACTCGAAACAATATGTTTATTATTAGCATATAAAGTAAAACATTTCATAGACTGAGTTCAGATGGAATATATCGGATTATTTAGATAAAATATCCCGAGAATTTCTTTCTTCTACGAGGAAATCACGAATGCGCATCGATCAATCGTATTTATGGATTTTATGATGAATGCAAACGACGCTATAACATTAAGCTATGGAAAACTTTTACAGATTGTTTTAATTGTCTTCCTGTGGCAGCGATTATTGACGAGAAGATTTTCTGTTGTCATGGTGGTTTGAGTCCCGATTTACAATCAATGGAACAAATTCGACGAATTATGCGACCAACTGACGTACCTGATCAAGGTCTATTGTGTGATCTCCTATGGTCGGATCCTGACAAAGAAGTGAATGGATGGGGAGAAAACGATCGAGGAGTGTCATTCACATTCGGAGCGGAGATTGTATCGAAATTTTTACACAAACATGATCTCGATTTGATATGTCGAGCGCATCAAGTGAGTTTCTCTTTTTTGAAAGTTGTTGATTAGTTTAACAAAATCTTTGAATGTGCTGCTTAGGTCGTGGAGGATGGTTACGAGTTTTTCGCAAAACGTCAGTTAGTGACATTGTTTTCAGCACCGAATTATTGCGGAGAGTTCGATAATGCCGGAGCCATGATGTCAGTTGACGAAACACTTATGTGTAGTTTTCAGGTAGGTCGATTGGAACATTTGGAATCTTGTTGCTTCATGCATATTTCTCCTCGTAGATTTTGAAACCATCAGAGAAAAAAACGAAAACACCTTCGCTGGGTAATAATCGTCCAGTTACGCCTCCACGAGGCGGGGCGGGTGGTAATCCTGGCATGAAAGATTCTTTAATAAAAGATAGCAAAAAACCAATGTAAAGGATGTGCAACAATCATCTTGGATCTAGACATTCTAATGATGTTTCTTTTTTCTCTCAGCCCGCACTTTTCCCTACCGGTTGCATCGTTTTTCACCAACATTGGTCTTTTTGTATATAAATTACAATTCTCTCTAGAACAATCATCTGTGCTTTAGTTTTCTCTCTATACATATATAAATATATATATCTTCGTCTACCTTCTATCATTATCATTTATATCTATCTATTCCTTTCTTTTTCATTGTCGTCTTTGTCAGTTGTTTGTTTTTCTTTTGTCATCAACTAGAGAAGAACTTTCTGTTCGCATACATTCGACCTTGACTCTCTATTGATCATCTATGATGAATATGTATGTGTCCACTTGAATTTTTCTTACTCGTTCTCTCATGTTGTGTTTTCTTTTTTCATTAGAAACAACACATTGTCAGCGGTGTTCTTTTTTTTTCTTTTTTTCTCTTGTGTGTGTGACTTCTATTTGAGAAGAATAAAAACAAAACAGAAATTGGGTTCGAAATCAGATTTATTCACTCGAGAGAAGAAAAAGTTTTGATGAAAAAACGCGACTTCACTTCTTTTGATATCGCTTCGCTGGGTCATAACGACTAAACAATGCTGAACGATGACGATCATATATTTCATAAAAGCGTGGTTCAAGTTGTTCAGCTCGAGAAGGTAAAGTGTACTTCTTATCAACTCGTTCGCGCGGCTCTACGTTATAATTCATCTGTTCACGTTTATTGAAATATAGTGCGTCATCGTGTTCATAATGAGGAATATTTCCATGATGAGCATTCTAGAAAGTGAAAGACAAACATGATCATTGAACAAAATAGAGACAAAGCAACGCACATTGATAATTATCTCGCGATTGACAATGTCGCGACGCCATGGTTCGATGTATCGAGATGGGATGACCGAATGAGGTGCCGAATATTTGGTAACTCTGTATGATAAAGATGATATACTCAGGTAGACAATAGTTTAGCATATTTACCGAACAGAGGATGGTTTATCGGTATAATTTGCCATGACTGTTTTGACGCGGAGAAAAGACTCTTTTCAAAGTAGATTGAAGAAAAGAATCAATTTCACTTTAACAAACTTAGCAACACAAACAATAACAGGTATTTTTCAAGAGATCGTCGTCAATCAACATCTAGATGGCGTTAAAATCTCCAAATGAGTTTCTCACCGAATATTCATGTATATTAAATCAATTACGTTGACATACTAATCAAATTATACAATCAAACAACTGAAATTCCAGTTTCCCTTAACCGTGTTGAGGTTGCGATTGGAATTTTTGCTTGAAAGACTTGTCAAAATAAATCATTCTCTCCATCAAAGCTGTATGTGCGTCAAATCTCGACTTCTATATTCGGATGACTCGAGTCACTCATTGATTCTGGATGTTCTCTCGAAAAAATACATAACAGTAGACTGATGATCAATAAGAACATCAAAATATTTCCGCTCGACTATGAAGTATCATCGAGAGAACTATCGGAGTCTATTGTAGACAGTCGAAGAGATTCTGTTTTGCATCAAAATACTAAACAGATTGGATCGTAACGATGGAAAATAATGCAAGTTGATTCATATGTCTTATTTATTGTTTTTCTTTAGAAAAAAAAATGAGATTTTACTGATGTTGACTAGGGAGTGAAAGTCAGGAAAGATAAGAAAATAGAATAAAATATTTGATTATTTGAAAACACGCTGACATTTGTCCGTTTTGATTAATAATTATCGAAAATATTCTAGGTAACCTTATAGTCTAATCTAAGTTGAAAACAAGCGGAGGTAGTCGTTTCGTCTTTAGAGGGGAAAAGTGAGATTCTTTCTAATGTGGACTTGAAAGTTTAGGAACAGGAACACCAATTAACGTCGACAGGGGAGGTAGAGACGAAGGTGGTTCATTTGATGGAGACGAGGAAGATTTGTATTTGGGAAATGCAAGACCAAAACGAGTTTCGATTCCTGAATAGAGAAAAAAACGATTAGAAACGAGTTTGATTCGGTTGTTTTCGTTACCTTCAAATGTTGCTTGAGCGAGATGAAAACCACCAACGTGATCGGGATTACGTGAGAGTATGATTGATGCGCGCGATTTTGGCGAGTACTGTTGTTGATCAAGGTGTTTTGATCCTTCCAGTTTTCTACCTTGAAAATCAACATTGAGCGCACGTTGAAGCAGTTCATAGGTCAACAATGTAAAACCAAATTGTGGAGACGAACGAAACATTCGCGCACCAGCGCCTAAATTCATTGAGAAAAATGACAAATCAGACATCTAATAATATCAGATTACCTTTCCACAAAGCTTTCCATCCTTCTTCAACATAAATCTTCTTGAACGCATCAACTAACCCGTCATACTTCGTTTGCCCCTTTCGTGCTTGTACTTGCAGACGTGTTTTAACAACGTCTGCTGGTGTGCAGAGACCCGCTGCAGGTATACCAGCAAGCAGACCAGAAATGAATAGACTTTTTGGATCGTTGTAACCATGTTCATCAGCAAAACGCTTTTTCGTATGTGCATATGCAGGGAAGTAGATAGCTGAGAATGGGATATCTCGAAGGAAACAAGCACGAGCACCTTTGTATAAACCACGAAGACCAAGTTCACGAACAACTTCACTTGCTACCGGACGATGAGCGGATTGTAATTCACCAGCTACTTGCAAACGAATCTTCACGATTTCTAAAGGATTTGTAAATGCTACCTAAACACAAACGAATGTCAATGGTGTTTTAAGTCATCGTTTTAATCGAAAGAACTTGTCAAGATGAATAATTTAGAAATATATTTCTTACTTGAGATGCACCCGCACATCCACCTGCAACGATTTCAGCCCAAAGAGGGATCGTTCCATCAGCTAATGTTAAACGATCACGAATGAAATCATTGACTGTTAATTTGATGGCTTTTTCTGGTGCAACACCAACCAATTGAGGAATTAATCCTAAAATTCTCCAGTTCAAAACATCATTCTCTATCTTCTACACCTTACCTCGATATAAACCAAAAACGCCTTCATATCGAACAACTTTTTTGAAACAATCAATTGAATTTCGATACAGACGTTCACCAACAATACTCGTACTACGCTGATTTTGCATACGAGTTTTAACTACAAGGAAACAGGTAAAAAAATTCAGTTGTTCCACACAACAATACCCTACCAAGATCAATCGGGTATACAGCTGTTGCTCCAACAGCACCAGCAATGCTACCTACAACGATTTCCATTAAACTGCAAGCCTTTTGTTTTCGAGAAATTTGACTTTACCCAATGCGAAACGATAACCACTTTCCAAAACTTTAAGAAGTATACTTTGGTGTTCGACCTTATAACACTCATCGACAATTTCCGTACGTAGTCGATACGGTAATAAATGCTCATGCGCGGAGATTAAATCAAAATCATTTGATTCGATATAATGTCGATCATTCTCATGAGCAGGATTTGTTTTATGTAACAAATGTGTGATGGCGAACAGAATATCAATCTGTAAAGGTGTTGTTCGAGGAAAATGCTGAGCTTCGGTTAAGAATTCTTCTTTTGTAATTGTTGCCGATCGATACGCAAGAGCTTTCTTTTCGCATATAGCTAAATAAATCTTTCGCATCGATTCAATATTGGATAATAATTGTAGAAATGCAATAAAATATGGATAGGAGATTTGATTTGTTGATGTTGTCGGGTTGGATAGTTTGACAACATCATTCAAATGAATTGAGATGGATTCGGAGAGTTGATACTGGCGTAATTCTTTCAGAATCGTCTCAAAATTTTTCAACGAAATGTATCCAACATTTGCTTTGTCGAATTTTCGAAACGTTTGAATCGTTTGTTCGTCGATAAAGTCTAAAAATCAATTGAAATGACAGTCTGACGACTGAACTTGCCAAGTTTGAATTACCGAGCAGAATTTGGGTGAATTCTTTGTAGGTGACTTGCCGTTGCCGTTTAGCACCAAAGTGTGTGGAAACGAATTCCGAATTAAAATCGAATGGGAATTCTTTGAATTGTTTCGTCGCCGAGATAATGTAACGGAAATCGTCGAACGTGATAAAGCCTTGACCCTGTCGATCGAATAATTGAAAAGCAAGACGATAGAGAGAATCCGGTGCTAATAGCAACGATTCAAAGTTGACAAATTCAGTTATAGTAATTCCTAAACAAGGAAAATCCTTCGATTCGTAGTACGAAATTTCTGCTTTGTACTTTGATCTTTATTTAAATCAACTAATGCCGAGAGAATATCGAGTGTCGTTGGATCGATATTATCGCCTTTCAAATAGCCCAAGTAATCTTGTAGGAATTCATGTGGTGTCATGTAACGTTCGCCAAGACGTTCATGATGTGCATAACGATTGAATACGGCGAGCAATTCATCTCTGTCAGCCGATGAACTGACACGTTCTAAATACAACCAAAGATTGACAGATTTTTTTATAAAAGTACTTTCAATTGAACGCAATTTACCAGATAGAGAACTTGTAGCCTTCGGTGGCATGTTTTTTTGGCAAGGAGAGCGAAATTGTTATTGCCGACCGTAACCAATCTGCACGGTACAGAGTGGGAATATTATTCTTCAGAACATTTTTTCATCGCGTGCATGCGTTTATATTTCTGAGAAGAGAAACCATTCAGCAATTGATTAAAGTCAGCGACATCTATTTCCTGATGCAAACTATCTTTAATTGAATACTTCATTCTGATTTAAATGCAACGATTAGTAAAACCATTCGTCTTAATGACACAGTTCTGGAAATCAATTAGGAGATCTTAACGCCATCTGTACTTCCAAATGGTGCGTATTTATACATACATACACAAACGAATGGACTTTAGTGTCCAGATTAATCTCTATCATCTCCTCTCTCATCTTCTAGAATATACATTCATCGATCGCGTGATCATTCAAAATTGTTTAACACTTTTGTATATTTCAGATCGTGTAGGCAAACATGGGCAAAGGTCAACATAATACACCTTCAAGTGGCAATCAGGATCAACAATTAGAGACGGGAACTTTACCAACACAACATCGGTTGCCGACTCTATCAGAAATCAAAGTGAAAATTCCCGCTCATTGCTTTCGTCCAACTGTTCGTCAGTCTATGAGCTATGTTGTCAAGGATGTCATCTATGTTGCCCTCACCTTTTTCGTCATGTACCAAATAGAGAATAGATTCAAGTATGGATCTCTACTTTTCCCTCTCTATTGGTATATACAAGGTTTGTTTAACCGTATATAACGATTTCCCTCTTCATTGATTCGTTCTAGGAACTCTTTATACATCGATTTTTGTGCTTGGACATGATTGTGGTCATGGAAGTTTCAGTTTCTATCCGTTATTAAACGATATCGTTGGTATGTGAATTGCAACACATATTGATAAAGTACCTATTCAATACTCTCTTTGATTTAAGGTACTATTCTACATACATGGATCTTAGCACCTTATTATACCTGGAAGGTGAGATCATTTCATCTTGCATTTGATTCTCATTTAAAATGAATTCGTCTTTGTAGGTAACACACAATAAACATCATAAGAATACAAATAATATCGATAAAGATGAAGTTTTCTATCCACAACGTGGCGTCCCGTACAAACCATCATTCACCGATAATTTCCTCTTATGGTTTCCGGGTTTAGGTTGGTTTCATTATATCGTGTTTGGTTATGCCCCAAGACCAATCAATCACTTTAATCCGGTAAATAAATGTGACTTATCCTAGAATAAACATTCTTATCGTGACTTTTCTAGTTAGAGCCAATCTTCTACAATAAACATTTAGTTGGCGCTTGTATGACACTCATTTCATATTCGGGAATGGTAAGACAAAATGTTTGGTTTTCAAATGGACATATTTCTTCATTTTAGTGCTATTTAATGTATCTCTATGCGAGTGCTTTCGGCTTTATTAGTTTATTGTTTTACCATTTGATACCAGTATCCATCTTTGCATGTTATATGGTGATTATCACTATGTTACATCATACAGAAATGTAAATTATTGTTAAAATGTGCAACTCCGTTTTTCTATTGCTTTGATTTTGTAGTGATGTTCCTTGGTATGCTGATTCTGAATGGAATAATGTTAAAGGACAATTATCAACCGTTGACCGTCATTATGGTCATGTTCATTCGGTTATTCATTCGATTGGTACACACCAGATTCATCATCTTTTTACAAAAGTTCCTCATTATCATCTCGGTATGATGTTTTGATAAGAATATTGATCACTTTGTCTTTTTCTCGTTTGTTTTTCTCAGAAGAAGCAACTACTAGTTTTCGCAAAGCATTTCCTGAACTCGTACGAATCAACGAAGAACCTGTTCTCATGTCATTTGCTCGAATGTTCAAAATCTTTATTACTCAACGAAGCATCGATGATGATGTTCGTGTTTTTACATATTCAGACGACGCAAATACCAACAAGAAGAAATTATCATAAACTCACCCATATGTCTCTGTTTTTCTCATCCCAGTGCAATAGAATCTCCTCATTCTAGTGGGTCGATCTCGTTGTTTCACCTTTGTTTCTGACAATAAACTCGCTTCTCCGATCATCTATTAGCAACGATGCCGTTGTCTTTACTAAAACTAACGATTCAGTGCATAAATATGTCAACAAGAATGCTGCTTTTGATTCAAACCGCAAATCTTTTATTCCATTGATACTGATGTGCCTATGGCACACTCGATCAAAAGTAGCTTATGACTATATTAATGTTGTTATTTTCACTTGACGATAAGGTCATTTCGATGCTCGAATGTTGATTCTAATTGTCGATAAAAGACGGCAACGTGCTCGTGTTGAAAGAAGCTCGATTCTCAGTGATAATTATTCAAGTTTGACATAACAATAGGCACGTATCATAGGTAAATTACGTACGTCTGTATAAGATTTCAAGGACGACAATTCTTGTTTGTTGTATAACAATGTTGAGTAATATGAGACAACGGCTATTTTGATGTCCATCGACATCATGACAGAAGTTCTGGATTCTTTTGACTTCGATGATAAACATAATCAGCAGGCTTTTTGTCTTATCACCAGCTCGCTAAGAGTTTGTCTCGTTTTTGACACTGATTGATGGGATATTAGAGAGAAATAATAAACTAATGATGAAATGTTCTATTTAGATTCGGAAATATCGAGACATCTGGTAGATCGATGTTCTATTTACATTCATCAAGAAGAAAACTTGAAAAATTATTGCCTTTCATTGCTCTTCTTTTATAATCGAAGGTCAACAAACGAGTGTTAATGGTTTTCCTATTGATTTGCTTTGAACACATGTCGAAATGGTTGATTTGTCTTCTTCGGATATCTGAATATCTGGGGATTTCGACAATCGTGCGGCTGAATGAATTATCATGACAGAACGAAGGTCATCTGTGAGATTTAGTGGAAGAGAATCGGTTCGAACTAATAAAATTATGCGTATTCGATTGACACAAAGTGATGAGAAACGATTATTGTTCAACGTTGTTGTCTTCTTCTCCATCGAAGATCAAATTACGCGAGTTTTGATCAGTGAAATGCATCCCCATCAAGCTATTCAATTTCAAATCTGTGAATAGAATATATTTTTTTTTATTCTTCTATTCAATTATCATATTTAAATAAATCAATCGATCTCTACACATTCAGTGTACACATTAGGGCCTACCTGTTTTTATTGAATTAGAAGTAAAGAATGAGAGAAAAAAAAACGGGTAGCTGCAGGCCGAGGGACAAATTTTGTTTTCGTGATTCCAGCCAATGTCACATTCATCAATAGGGATTGATCTGCGACTAGGAGAACCTGCTAATAGTGACGTAAAAAATACCTCATTCTTCCTTTCCTTTTCTTCTCCTTCATCGGTTTTTTATTCGATTAGTATTTGCATTTCTCACTCCCATTATGCTTCCACACACATAGACACACAGCTCGTCATTTTCGAGCGTTCCGTACGTCAAAACAAATAGATTCTTTTCATCTTTAGAAAATTCGTTGTTTTTTTTGCTTCGATCGATGATGTGTTGATAGAACTGTACTTTGGATCGAGAAGAGTCGCGAAGGAAAACGCGAAAGACGAATGTTAGTGTTGATATTCTAGGTTAACTAATACTTATGCAATCGCTCTTTTAGCTTGTGATTGGAACAAGAGGCCATCATTATCTCTTTTCCTTCTTCGTCTTCTTCTTCTGACATAATGATAAGAGACAAAGGTGATGAACGATTTGCATTTTGAGAAACAAAGGGCACTAAAATCTTTTTCCCATACTTATCTTTGCACATAAACATCGTGCAAATCATTGTCAGTGCATTCAACTGAAAGAATAACTTCATCCTAATCGCCACATCGCTAGAAGTTATTGTCAGTGAGAAAAAGAGAATATAGATAGAGAAAGGAAAAAGATACTCTCTTCTTGTGGTCTGTGGTCTTCATGTTACTGGTTACACCATTCGTTACTCAATCCATTACTGTTGAGAGAAAGAATAATAAGATTATCGGACGGTTATCCACTATTTTCTTCCGCTTGTATCCGCGTGCTGGCCGAGTGCGCTTGTTGTCTTATCGGACAAGAGAAAAAGAGAAAACTATTCTCTGTCTTAGTTCGACTGATGTGTAGAGCAAGCTCATACTATATATGTGTTATTTGTTTGTGTTTAACGATGAGACCGACAGTTGCATAGGCCGTATATCGATGTCCCCTCTATTTCTGAGTGCAAACTATGCAATGTAGTGTTCTCGATTTTGAAAAATAAGGCTCGTCTGTTGTGTATTTTCTCACATATGTACGTGGAGAAAATTCTTATAGGAATATAAATCTTCGAAATGTAATTGTTTATGTTTGACATACATTTGTGAAGAATCTTGTGATAGATCATTTTCTGTACTTTCTTTGATGAATAAGTTAGATTGCTAAGATTGCATCATCAGTGGATATAATGATCAAATCATATTCTGCTGATGATGTGTTAGATAAGACGAAGAACATCATCATTATACGGTCGTGTGTGTGTATGAGTGAACCCGTGATTCTTTTCTTGCGTGTATATATGTGTTCAGTTTTTCAGATATCGTTCTCTTAACTGTTGTTTTTTCCATTTGTCAATCCTATTGTTCCAAGGATGGACGCTAAGATTATCACAGGTTTTCTCCTGTGGGTTTGCTTTATTGCAACATTATCGATATCACGGGTAAGAGAAGATTTTCTTAATTGATTCGCTGAAAAACAGTTCATTTTTTAGACTTCTTCTGCGGTCATCGAATCGAGGTATAGAGTTCGAAGACAAAGTAATGAAAGTAAGTTTCAAGAGCTGTAACCAATGCTTTTCCCATTATTGTTGCTTACACGCTTCTCTGCTACTACTCGCTTTTTCCGCTATTAGGTCTTCCTTGCGCAGAGGGAACTCTTCTTTGCAAAGATGATAACGAAACGTGTGCTACATATTGTAATGGTATTTCTGAATGTGCCGATGGTTCTGATGAACTTGAGTGTAGTAGTAAGTAGAGAATGAATGTTGACGATGATCAAAAAGCCAGTCTTAGTTCCCATTACTACTTCACCTTCAGTTACGAACGCTTCTTCATCAGTGTTACCAACGCAGACTGTTCCAATCACCCAAAGTACAGAGTCTTTTGGAATCGAAGTCGAACGCGTCAATGTACCGCAAGCAACTACTGATGGATCGGAAACAACAGTTCAAGAAATAACAATGCTTGACATAAAACCCGGAGGTGTGATGATCATCAAGAACAATAATAGAGGATTTCTTTGCATGTGTCTTTGCACACCGAATTCTTGCCAAGCTCGTTTAATTTTCTTCAGTTATTATTCATTTCTAAACTAATCTCTTCTCTTTTCCTATTTCAGTTACTACAAACGCGAATACTGGTGGTAAGTTGAAAGGATTTTTGTTTTGGCGTAGATTAGATTGCTTATCTCTGCCGCTGAATAATTTCTTCTCGTTGTTTCTTCTTTGTCGTATTATTTTCATATTTTTCTATCCTAATTAGCAACCGGAGATCTAGCCACTACTGAAGCATCAGATGCCAAAGAAGCAGTGACTAACACAGTGGTACTTGCCGATGGTACAACCATTGTGTTACCAGAAGGAACTACAGCAGTTCTTGAAGCTGCAACTACTGGGGCAAACGAAGCTGCAGCAACTACTGGTGCAAATGAAGCTGCTGCAACCACTGGGGCAAATGAAGCTGCTGCAACTACTGGGGCAAACGAAGCTGATGCAACTACTGTAGCTGCTGATGGCGCTACCATTGCTGCAACAACAGTCGAAGTAGTAACTGCCGATGCCGATGCCACTACTGTTGATGAAGTAGTAACAAGTGTTGAAAACAATCTTGAAACATCGACTATTATTATTGTTGACAATGGCACCGATATCTTTACCACAATCATACCAGGCAATGATACTGGAATTGAAGATGCTACCAATGCTGTACCTGGTAACGAAACCACGAGTGCTGATCAAATCACAACTGTTGAATCTGTCACTATTGATTCGAATCAAACGGATATTGCTGGTAATGAAACAGTGACGGATGCTGGTATTGACGTAACTACCATATCATTGAATGACACCGCAAGTGGTAATGATACATCAGCAACGACAATCTTAGGTATAGCTTTAGCGAATTGAAATTTTCATGAAATGGTTTGTGCACGACAATATCATCAGTACGCACGATGTTTTCTTTTTGAAATTCTCACGTTGATTTTGCTTGTTCGCTTATTGCTTGTTCCAGAACACTTTCATATGCATACAATGAAAACAAAAAATTAATCGTTTGCTATTATTATTTTAGATGGATTAGATGTTGATGGTAAGTCTATCAAAATATGTTTGATTGATCTGTTCTTTTCTTTTGCATGGATTTGTAATCATTTATTTATGCATGAATCGTAGAATATGATAATAATGAGTCTATCGAAGATGCGCTATTGAAGACGACGACAAGACTCACGCCTGTGCATGATGATCTAGAAGAAGAAGAAGATGATGCAATTAATGAGAACAATGTCATAATCATTGCAACTAAAGCTCAACAGATTGAAAGCAAACCACTATCAATATCCGATGATGATGATGTTGAGTATTACGATGATTCAGAGGAAATTATCACGACTGAATCTAGAACGACAGTTACAACTGTACAAACGATAACAATGAAGACTTCGATGTCAGTTCAAGATATCGAATATTATGATGATGAAGTGGATATAGATGGGAATGTTCGAAGTTTGTTGTCGACAATGATAACAACAACTAGAACTACCACCACAGCTCTACAAACGACTAGTTCCACATCTCTATCTGGTGATATTGAATACTATGATGACGAAGAAACCGAATATGCAGCAAGATATCCTCATCCATCCAGAGATTCATTCATTGCAGATGTAAAACGTGAGATGAACTTTTAAAAATGTTAACTATTATTTCGTAATGGTACTGATGCTTATTAGTTAATAAGCTTCTTCTTCTTCTTCTACTCCTCGTTCTCATTCGACTTGTACATATGTTAGTAATCGTATAATATCATATCATTTGACTTTGATTAATCATCATCTATAGAACCAAACAACAGTTTCTTGCATGTTAATCATTAGCATTCGTTTGTTGTTGTTTTGCTTAATGTTTCTAATCGAATATGATGTAACGATAGAAAGATAATACTTCTTCCAAATCCTATTTAGGAAATGCAACTCAATCCGATGGCACTGATGGTAAGTTATTTAGTTTCTAATTTTTTTTCTGATGCTGATGATATCGATTTAAAAGCTGCTACGACTGCATCTTCTCAACCGGGATCACCTGACCGAGTCGAACTTCGTGTTGTTGTTAGTCCTGAGCTTCTACAAGTACAACGTGGTCAAACATATGAAATGACTTGCACTGTCTACGGCGCAGATGCTACAACAGCGATTTATTGGATTCAAGAAGAACCTGAACGGGTAAATATCTGTTCAATTCGATCATTTCACTCACTGATTACTTGATTTTAAGCGTTATGCAGTTACCGATACATATGAGCCAAATGATAAACAAGTGACAGCATCCCAAGTTTCGTTACGAGCACGCATCACAATTGATGATACAAGTAAACTCGGCAAATACACATGTATGGCACAGGATTCAGCTGGAAATAGTGGTTCAGCTATTCTAACAATGCAGGAGGGCGGTGGTTATGTACCATCACCAGGGGGATATCCAGGATATGCTCCAGGACGTAAGTTTTATCGCAAAGACAGTTTTGATAGAAAAGGAAAAGTTTTTTTTCCGAATTTTGCAGCAAGTGCTGGCGGTCGTGGATATTTACGTATCGTTGCACCTGATATGGCCGATGGCGATTATGTTGAAATTCAATGCGAAGGCGCAGCACCAGAAGATGAGGGTGGCATTCAATGGTTTTTCAATAACCGAGTATGTTTTCGTCTCACATATACAGATATTGAACAGTTACGCATGAATAATTTGTCGAATGTTCTATTTAGCTTCTCAGCGATGAACAACCGCTTTATCCACGTGGTAAAACACTTCACATTCGACCAATTTCAAGACCATATTTGGGCAACTACCGTTGTTCAATACCAGGCAGTAGCTATGCTGATGCCAATAGTGTTCTCACTTTTGGAGGTAAATTTCGATAATTGCACAGATTACAACACAATGCATTTCTCCCTCGTTTACGTCTAGCGCCTTCGCCTAGCGGGCCCGTTCATGGTATGATACCCATCTCTTAATAAAACCATGGTTTGTAAATGTGTTCATTGTTTAGGCGGTGGATTCACTGTAACAGTCGATATTGCTCAAGGTCAAGCAGTAGAAAACTCACAAATCATCCTTCGTTGCCGAACAACTGAACAAGCAAGCAGTTATCGATGGACATTTGCTTCAGTGAGTAACAAATATAATTTATTTTCTTGGTATCACTCCTCATTGATACTTGCTATCAGAGCCGAAATACGGTTGATCGTGGCTACTCGGATCAATTAATTATTCCTCGAGCAACAGCACAAGATTCAGGAGTTTACACTTGTGAAGCAACCAGTTCTCGTGGTCAATCAGCGCGTGGCTCAATCAATCTTTATATTAACAGTATGTTTACAGTTTAACGTTGATTAATTGACTTCGATTTTGTATCCATTAAGGCGGACCTTCGCAACCCATTTCGGGTCGATGTAGTATCGATGAAGCAACGTGTCGCAATGGTCGATGTATTCCTCGAGCATATCTTTATGATGGCAAAAACGATTGTGGTGACAATAGTGACGAAGCTGGAGGTAAGTTGAATCGATACAAGCAGATTTGTCTTCGGTTTTAACAAGTTGAGTTTGTTTGTTATTTTAGCATCTGGCTCAGGTAATGCAAGAGTGATGAGAGAATGATGGTAAAGAATAAGTTTGTTGAAATGAAAATTTAGGTGAACAATGTCAACCGAATGAAATTCATTGCACCAACTCTGATCGTGGACGGAAATGTGTACAGAAATTTTGGATTTGTGATGGTGATCGGTGAGACACAAACTTGATCAAATACGAATGCAGAAGAATTCGCAAGGAAATATGTATTCTAGGGATTGTGATGATGGAAGTGATGAAGATCAACGTTATTGTGGTATGTGTACAAAGGTCTTTTCTTCAGAGTAATGATCAGTTTTCATCTATTGAAGAATTACTCCCTCGTCAACGATATTGCAAGCCAAGTGAATTCCATTGTGGTGGACCTAATGCTACATCACCAAATCCTGTCTGTATTCCACGATCATTTCAATGCGATGGTTACAATGACTGTCCTGATCGTTCGGATGAAAACGGTTGTGGTAAGTAATACATAAACTGATCATCGTCGTCTAGATTCGTTTCTATATTCATCAAGTTAAACCCACGGTCGTTGGCGCACCGCAACGTCAAGTGCAAGTCAATGTTGGACAAACATTAACAATTCAATGCACAGCTCGTGGTTCACCAGCACCGTATATTAACTGGCGACTCAATTGGGGACATGTATGTAATGATGGTTCCGGCAATGGACGATGTACAATGTCGCAATCCATCGATACAAATGATCCAAACGTTATTACTGGTACACTCACTGTTCGCAATGTAAATCCAGCTGATGCTGGCGCTTATTCATGTGAAGCACTTAACAACCAAGGTTTTATTTTTGCAACACCGGACGCAATTGTTGATGTCATCTCTGGTTTGTAATCTGCTTGATCTCCACTTGAAATATAATTTTTCAATAATAGATCCAAATGGTCGACCTTCAGGTCAGCAACAATGCAATTGTAATGGACATTCATCTTACTGTTCACCAGACGGACGATGTCTTGTATGTATCATCATATGGGCACTCTATTTTCGATTGTGTTCCTTTTCGCGTAGAACTGTCAACACAATACTATCGGTGCCAGCTGCGAATTCTGTGCTCCGGGCTACGAAGGTGATGCTCGTCGTGGTACCATCTACGATTGTGTTCCAATATCGCGTGGAGCTGGACCCTCATTAGGTATATGTCTACACATTCTATTCAAATGCCAGTAAATTCTCTTTTGCTTTCAATTAGGTTGTGATCCTACTGGTACACATACGGAACGTGATGGGCGTTGTATTTGTAAATACAATGTTGAAGGTGATCGTTGCAACCAATGTAAACGTGGTCATTTCTATTTTAATCCCATGACACCCAATGGTTGTGTACCATGTTTCTGTTCTGGTGTGTCCACTGATTGTGCTTCATCAGATTGGCGACGACAAGCTGTAAGATACCTTTCTATTCTGGACCTGAAGAACTTTGTTTATAATACGTGCGTTTGTTGTTTAGGTTTCTCTACCATTGAATAATTGGAATGTCGTACCGAAGAATTTTGCAACTGATCGTTTCGAAGCTGGTGATCGTATTCAACAACGTCAGGGTGGTCGTGAAATAGCCATTGATCAAAGTACTCTAGGCCGACCTGCCAATGATGTTCTGTATTGGAAAGCACCAAAAGCGACGCTCGGTGATGTAGTCACACTATACGATGGTAACATCGATATACACTTTGTTAATGACGGTAATGACAAGGAAGCACCGAGCAACGATGAGTTTATTTGGTTACGTGGCAATAACATCGATCTCGTTCATAAAATTCCACAAAACCATCGATTCAAAGCAAATACAAATGCTACATACTCAGTTCCATGTAACGAAGTATGAAACTTGTATTGTAAAATTGTGTACAGACATACATAATGTGTGTTTATGTGCTTTTTCTTTAGAGAACATTTACTCGTAAGGATGGTACATACATTGATCGAGAGAACATTCTTATGGCACTCTCGGATTTGGATACTTTTCTTGTTAAAATCAATCCAATTGGCGGTCGACGTACGGCTGTGTAAGATGAAACTGTCTTCTGCTTGTATTTATATATTTTGTTCTTTCGATTATAGTCTCCGTGGTGTCACATTAAACGTTGCTGCGCGGGAAGGTTATGCTGATATTGCATCAACAGTAGAATCATGTCGTTGTCCAGCGAATTACACTGGCTCATCGTGTGAAAAATGTGCTGAAGGTTATGGTCGTCCACATCCATTAGTTGGCATCTATTTGGGACAATGTTGGTCTTGTCAATCATTGTGTCATGATCGATCAGATCGATGCGACCGTGAAACAGGCAAATGCTTCGTATGCGGAAATTTGATTGTTTTCATCCGTCTTATTTACACCTCTTTGCTTGTCATTATAGGATTGTCAAGGTAATAGTGAAGGTGACCGATGCGAACGCTGTCGTCCAGGCTACATTCTCGATGCTCGAATGAATCAATGCGTGCGCGAAGATCAATATCAAACATGTAAAGATAACACTAACAGAAGTAAGAAAATGAATACTATCCGTATTGTATTCTAGATCCATCTCAACCATCCTATGGATCCGGCCCACGAGGTTCATACTATGTCGATCATCGACCGTATGATGCCTATGGTACTACTCCATTAACTATTGTCCTAGATGGCAATCAATCAGAACAACGTGTTCCACTTCAAGTTCTTGTATGTGATTTTTTGTGTTCAATTTAGGTTTCTGTAGAAATGAATATGGTCGTTTCTCTCTCTCTTTATTTATTAGAATGCTCAACCACAGTCGATTGTATGGGGTCGTACTGATGGTAGTCCATTGCCAGTGGGTGTCATTCAAGAAGGCAATGATCTAGTCTTCCGTAACCCATCATCGGAACAAGGTGGAAACTACATTGCAACGATTACTCATCCTGATGGTCATATCGAACGTATCGCTGCCTACTTAGACTACCGTCCAGGTTAGTTATTTTTCTCTGAATATAAATTTGTGTTTATCATGATAGCTTTTCTCAGGTCAACCTCGACCTGTTGGCCCTGGTTTTGGCTATCCGGCATTTTCGCCACCAAGTCCATTGACAATAGCTGAAGGTACAAGTCAAGCAATTCAACCACAAAGTGGCTACTATCGAGTTCACTGGCGACGCGCCGATGGTCCAGGACTTCCAGCAGGTATTTATCAAGATGGCAGTTCATTACAAATCGCTGGTGCGCGACCAGATCATTCGGGTACTTATTATTGTGAATTACATGGTTCGGATGGTGCACCAATTACTGTACCGTATGAAATCCGTGTTCAAGCTACTAGTCATGGACATGCAAGCGCTAGTGAGTGAACTGAACATTAAATTGATGATTTTAAGCCATAAAAATAACAACTGTTTCAGGCGGTTCACCGAGAATAAGAATCGAACCACGAACAATCAATCTCAAAGAAGGTCAACGTATGATTGTTCAATACACAGTTAGCGTAAGTTCAGAACAAATTCAGTATATTCATAATTGATTAAGATCTGTGTTTAGTCACATGATCCAATCGAAGTTATTTGGAACAAATTGACTGATCAAGGTCATCAACCAATTCCATCCGTATTCACTGTTGAATCGAATCGTCTCATTCTAAGCCGTGCTACACTGGATGTAACTGGCACATATCAAGTTATCGTGCGTAATCCACATGGCGAGGATCGACAAGAATTAAATATTATTGTTGAACCACGACGTGGTCGAGGACATGGCGGTTATCCAGCAACGGGTGCACCACAAGTTAGCTTCTCGCCAACTCAATACGAAGTTGGTCACAATGAAATCATCGATATTCGACCAAATCTTTATGTAAGTGATTATTTGGTTTATATATCAAATATACTTTGTACAATTTCAGGGAGATAGTGGAGCAACAATTACCTGGTCCAAAGACGGTTCAACATATTTACCAGATGGTATCAGTGCACGTGATGATGGCACATTGCATGTCGAAGGTCAATCAAGTCATATCGATGGACGTTACACACTCAACATCGTCAATGCATATGGTCGTGCATCGGCACCAGTCTATATTCGATGGAAAGAAGCTCGTAAGTATTCGAGATAAAAATATTTTCTTTCGTACACTTATTTGATCTTTTTTTTTCTCAGAAGGGCACCATGGAGGCTATGGTAAGTAGCGCATACAAGCTATTACCTTTAATTATACCAATGTTATCGAAATTTCTAGGCGGCGGTTCACATGACGGCTCGCGCAGCTATGTTGACGTACGTTTTCAAGCACGCGACGAACAAAGTCATCAAATCGGACAGGACATTTATTTACAATGTACCGTTCATGGTAGTGTTGAACAACCATACGAATATGTCTTCACCAAAGATGCCCAACAATTAGAAAATAGTAAAATTCTATCGATGTGTTTTCATAAAATAATCTGATTACTGTTTACTATGCATAGATGTTGAAGTTCATCCAAATGGTTTGTTAACTGTTCGTAATGCTCAAGCGCATGATGCTGGACGTTATCGGTAAGTTTTCACGTTCAGACACGACTCATTTCTATTGTATTTTTTCAGATGCGAAGTCAGCTTCCCACGTGCGCCAGAAGTTGGAACACATGAAAGTTCCTATGATCTTCGACTTGACGGTGAGGCGTTACTTTTTTATTCAAATCAGGAGGCCTATTTGCTAATTATAGGTGGCTCAGCCGGAGGCTACGATCGAAGCGATGATTATCAACAACAAGCTGGACACGTTGAAGTATCTGTTGACCCGAGCGAAGCAACCGTTGGCCGTGGTGGAGAAGTTACTCTAACTTGTAATGTCAAAGGCAGTCAACAATATACAGTTAAATGGGGCAAATATGCACACGATACTAGTTTACCAAGTTATGCTCGTGTATGTATCAATCACTAGACAAACATGTCGATGTGTGTTCTCATTTTTTTAAAATATATTGGTTTGTTTAGCAACAAGGAAATAGCGTTATCATTGCTCCAACTGATGATGCAACATCGGAACAGATGTATTTTCAATGTTCAGTGAGTGTACCTGGTCAACCGCAGCCGTTTGCAGCTTATGCACCAGTTACTATACGTGGAAATGATGAAGCACGTAAGAAGAAGAAGAAAAGACGTTCGTAGACACTAATTAATGTGTTGAAATCTTTTCTTGCACATGACTTAATCTAATCAAGAACATATTGTTTCTTCTGGCATCATCTATTTTCGTAAACACATTGTTTCTTTTTCTCACGCTCAAACTGATTGAGAAACAATTTTCTTTTTCTTTGTGCTTTGTAGTTTGTCTTTTATTCGATGAAAAAACGTTTTAGAATAGTCACGCTAATACGTCTGCATGTGTGTATTACCATTCTCTTACTCGTCGTTTACTCTTGATCTTCTTGTAACTGTAACACAGTGTTTGTTTCTCTTCTTCTCCTCCTCTTCCTCATGACCGATGCCCAATGATGTTTTCTTCTCTCCATCTTACTACTGTTGTTGTTTGTATCTGTTCTTAAATTCACTTTGCAAACAAAATATTGTAAAGTAGCTCTTCACACACACACACATATATATATATATGACTGAATCTTTTATAATAAAGTTAATATTACGCAAAAAATTGTGACAAGCGTTGTATCTAAAAAGTGGAAACCAGACAATTGAATTCAAGTTATGTTTCATTGGTTTATTAACTGACGTGGATGAATGTTCTTGTGCGGAAGTCTGGTTAGTCGTTCATCGAGGAAAATACGGGTTCAGAATTCTGAAGAATTAGAAAATGGCATGTTTTGCATTAAAATTGAAAATTGGATTTGTTTTTTTCTTCTGATAATTGCCCATCTGACGAATGTAAGGAGAAAACAGTAAGTGCAGAGCACGTATGTCGTATTTAATTACTCGACATTGGTTTTTTATCTGATCATCATAGCCTGTTTTCCTTCTGTTCAACACCTTGTATCAATAAATTCTACTGTTTCGAAGCAGACAGCTATTTGTTATTAAGATCCAGACATAAACTCATTTTAACATGATGTCAATTAGTAGACACGCATCGATATCGTTTCTAGAAGCGTTCTCATCATCTATTAATAATTATAATGGCTTATTGTGATATTCATTGAAAATTGCAGATGTTTTCAACTTCGTTGAATTTCTTAATGTGATGGAATAAGAAACACGTGAGAACTTCTGCTACGACTAATCATTCGGATCGAGGAAAATATCTTCTTCTTCAAGAGCAGAAGGCTATCCGAAAACGATGGCAGACTGACCCTGTTAGATTCTATATTTAATAGCAAATTTGGATGTGCAATAGCTAAATATATATATATATATGTGTGTGTGTGCGTGACAATTTCTATCACTTCTTTTATCGACTAAACCCATGAGAAGAACATAGCATCGCTAGTAATGATATTATTATTGTTTAAGGATGATAAAAGAATGAAATAATGAAAGGGATACTGTTTATTGAATAATATGGTCAACTGTCGATATTATATAGACACTTTAACCCAACATTCCGTATTGTGGACGGCCAGCACGTCGTTCGCGCGAGTTGTCTAGCCAGTCTTCGGAATTCGTGTTTGCTTGTGATGCTACAATGAAAAATCTGTGAGAACCTTCAACAGAAAACATTGCCGTCCTACCTTCATTTCGTTTGCCCAGATAACCATAGGCATAGCGTTTGCCGAGTACACCGAATTTCAAGTGATGACGACGAAATGGGGCTGGAATCACTTGTTGTGCTGCTAATGCACTTGTATCCTTCTTGTTTCGTACAGATGCATAATCTTCGTTACTTGCACTATTCTCAAGGATAGAAGCATCGTTGATAAGTGCCGCAGCATCTAAATCATGCATTCACTTTCGGTATCAATCGGGTTTCGTTTGTCTTACCTGTCAATGTAAGTTTGCATACGAGCACCAAAAGGACACTGGCAAGGATCAGAAGTACAGATGAAGGTCTCATTTCGCAAAAGAATCTAGAAAATGATAAATAATTGAAATGTAATTTTACTTCGATGCTTTCGGAAATGATTTCATTTAACACTCATTCTAGTTCCTATTATGATTCGGCCTTGATTATCAAATGACGACGAGAAAAACAAGAATATCACTCAGCTATTTGCTTGACATGACAAAGAGTAAATCAGTTGTCAAATACTTACAAATTGATTTCACTTGGTTTGCTTCTCGCATTTTTATACTCAAAACTCTCTCTCTCGATTTTTCTTTCTTCTGCGCGTTATTCCATTAGCATCAAGCCGTGCTTTCTACTCTGGCTTCTTTTTTTTTGGCTCAAATATTTAATTCTATCTTCCTTCAAGTTATCTAATACAACGAATCTGTATGAAAGACTTGCTGCGATACACAAAAGAGTGTCTCTGTCATTATCCCTACACAAATAGGATTACCATCTGAGCACAATTGAACTTGATTTCGAATCAATCTTATCCCTATTTTATCTAATGCAATCAACTCAAATAGAACTTTATGTAATCGGCAAAGAGATTTTGAGATGTGAAAGAAGTTTTTCATTCAAGCCTCTCTAAATAACTGAAAAGAAAAGAAATGTCTTGTGGGACAAAGTCATTTCTCTCATCGACTAATTGAATGCTCATAACTACGCATAGATTCTCCTTTCTCTATATCTCTTTTCTAGAGGCATTCATGCACAAGTTAATAGTTTATCTTTTTTCTAATGTATTTTTTTTAAACGAAAAAAAGAAAAAAGAAAGAAGAGAACAAAAACATAACAACCGGATGCAGTTTTTTTTATTGATTGGATCACGAGATACTACTGAAATAGAACTAATTTTCAAGTGAATGGCGAACGCATTTCAGACTCGTTATTTTCGTAGTTGCAACAAAAGTTACATCTAGAATGGAAAACATGTCATTTTCTCGACTGCAACAGAACATGAACATGCCCAGAAATAATTATCGATCTTTGAACCGTACGATAAATCTCCTCTTGATCATTGCAGTGAAATCCCCGTAGAAAAATCAATCAAGTCTAGATGCGCCAACATCTTATAGTTCACACAGTTCAATCCCGAATCCAAGTTTATCATTATGATTTCACTAGATAGAATCTTTCATCGCTATTGTTTCGACTATCTTCTGATTAAAGACTTTTAATAATTTGTTCTTCATGTGTACATATACAAACATATGTATTCGTATAAAACATGTCATTGGAAGAACAAATGTAACTATGTTATTTGTAATCACCTGTCAATCGTTCTTCATTGCAAATACATTGGCGAAAAAGAACGACAGCCGGATCTGATTATTGGATCATTATCATTTCTTGTTACCATCATCATCATCGAAAGATAGAGCGAGCGAGCGAGCGAGAGAACGATGTCTGGATGTTGCCTTTGGTTTTTTTCTCTCATCTTGTTGTTCTTTGTTGTTATTCATAGAAGACAACGACAAGATACAAACAAGACCTATTGCAAACGGATAGTCTGGTATTTGTCTCATCCGAGAGAAAAGTCTTGAATATCATCGTCGTTTAAAAAAGCGAAGTAGAACTTTAACATAAGGTAAGTTCAACATCCGACTGGATTCGATTCGAAAAACAATTCCGACTCAGCGAAGAAGTTTCGGGAAACATTCGCCTTGGGAAAAGTCACATCCGAATGTCATCCATGTCGATCACCAGTGATCGAACAGAGGGAAGCTATGCATGTCGTCTTAGTTTTATCATATGTAAATACATGATTAGTAACAATGACGAACTAGGATCATCCGGACAACAACAACAGGTTGATAATTATCTTGTTGACCTTCTACATCTGTTAGTTAGTTGTGAGAAAAGTTGACTGGTAATTTTGTTTGACTCGATCATCGCTGTGTGCCTCTTTTTTGTCTTTGCACATCTGCACATATTCTCGACGAGATTTATCGGGCTATTCTTTGTCTTAGAATACTTCTAAAGAGACATCTGGAAACCTAATTTAGTGTGCGCGCAGTACACCTTCGTATTCCTTCTTTCTCAATCTTACGCAGTCGGTGTGCGTATTAATTGAAACACAGCAGCAACACAGGGGGTAGCCGTTTGTGTATGTGCCCACAGTGCTGTTACAACATCATCAGAGAAAAAAAAAGAGTAACACGACATCAATTCGAAAAGGAACCAAAACAGAATACACATTCACCTGCTTTGTAACGTTCTTCTTTCTTTTATCTTAATTGTGTATCACGGCATTCATTATTCCCGTAAGTAGTTGATTCGTTTTAGTCAAGCCACAGAAATCCATTCGAAAAGCGTCTTGCTCTCGATAAGGACTTGCGTGTAATTTAATTTAGCTGATTGATAGTGACATCAATCAGAATCCGTTTAGAATTGATTAATAAATCCAAGACTAAACTAGTTCCTCTCAACGAAGAATAACGACATTGAATGTGCTTTATTCCCGTATGAAGATAAATTGATGACGAAGATACCAAATGCTCTTTCCATCTTATGTCTTCCTCTGTATATACTATCTAATGTGACAAAGAGCATCATCATGTTTTGTTGATACTAGGAAATGCATTCGCCCGGACAGCATCATTGCTCGTTCTAGTCCAAACACAGAAGTATGATGTCTGGAGATAGATCATCGTCACGCCAATTAGATGATGCATTATTATTGATGACATTTTCTCGAGCATTGTCTTTCGAAACAGAAAGAGAGTAGCAGAAAGGAAACGACCATTCAACAGTAAACAATTATACAGATTGAGTAGAACTGTACAAAGCTGTTATCCGTTGTTGCTTTCAGCTCAACAAGGCCGACTCGATCTTCTGTTCTATTTTCTCATTAATCGATGAAATAATCTCTCTCCCCCTTCTTTACACGTTGATTCTATACGTACCCATTTCTTTAATGATAAATGACATAGTCAAAGCTCTATTTAAGACTTGCCATCCTTGATTGACTGAATCAATTAAATCTGCATCATAGCTTTTCAAGAGAGTCTAAACGATCGTAAATCGGAATACATCTTAATAGGACAATCTCAGCTCTCAAGAGACATTCACGTATATTTATTCGAGTTAGCAATCATAAACGATTAGTAAACAAGTTTATACATGCTTCATTTAATGTAGATACATTACATAGTCGTATCTGTTGATTCCGTCAGATCCATCTATCATCCGAAGAGCAAATAAAATGTTTGCAAGATTGAAAAATGAACAAATCTTAGTAAAGGTTCCCACTCTATAAATGTCATTATCGACTAGTAAACAGAAGAGAGACAAAGACTAATGAAGATCACTTAAGACTATTCTTTCTATCAAATTATCTTCTTAGTTTTCTAATTCGGTCATCGTTTTCTTCTTTGATTGCTGGCGTGCAGATCTATCTATATTTATATTTCATATCCATGCACATGTATTCAAATGATCTGTCGCCGCTGTCGTTGTGCTTAGGAGCGACAAGCCGATGAGAACGACAGCAAACGAGAAAGAGAAAGATACAAGGAAGACATCACGAAAACCTGCTCGATGCTCGCTCTTTCTTTTGTTACGCACAGAGACGATTCTCTTTCGGCCGACGGATGATCGTTTCTGTAACAGTATGCGAGAGCGAACACAAGTCAATGCAATGGAAGAAATCTCGCGTTGCTCTCGAGAAACAACATATTAGCAGCGAACAGTCTATTTTCTCGAATTTTTGCCTTCTCTGCTCGCGTTCTTCTCTTCTATTACTAAGAGATATAATGCCTACGCCATCGAATAGACGCTAGTACCAATGAATTTTCTCTCTCGCTCTACGACAACGACGAAGACAACAACAACAACAACAATCAACACTCATCGCAATATTCATCCACGTTGTTGATATTAAACGAAGCCACGAGACAGAAGAAGAAGAAGAAGAAAAAGAGCGAACACATCGTTCTTCTTCTCAATTAATAAACACTTGGAAATTCACACGATTACTACTAGAAGATTCAGTATCCACTCATTGTCTTCATATTTATTTAATTTGTGTAAGTACGAATGAATAAATCAATGAATACTCGAAGAATAGCAGCTCATTTCACAACACATGCGTTTGAGAGTATCACATTAAGGTCGACACCGAATGGGCAATAGTGAGGTAGATCGATACCGATCTCTCTCGATTCTGTATATAAATATATGTTAAGACAACAAGACATGCCAGTTGGAACGATTCATCCAGCACATTCATTATGCATCTCTCTTGGGTAGAAATGTTAAGATTACTTGCTTGCTTGCTTGCCTGTTTCTGTCTGCCCGCCCTTCAGCAGCATGTGCTAATCCGATCGGCGTCATCAACCATACCCAATACACCGGGCCAACTGTTATTCGTATGCAAGAAGGAAATCAAATCTCACATCAGTTTCATTGCCATTGACAGTTCACTATTGAGTCCTCATCGATTATTTCTTTCTCCTGATTCATCACGCAGAATATACCGAAGTTAAGAGGTCTTATCTCATTCATATTTTATTATAGAACTAAGAATAAATAGACTTGACATTTTCAAATTAAATATTCTGTTGAGAACTCTACAATTTCTTTGTGATCGTATTTACACCCACTAGGATTCTTTTCAACATGTCGAACGTCTCTACGACATAATCTCTGAATGTGTTAATAGCCATTAGAAATTTATATCTTTGACAACAAATGTAAGCATAAACGATTTGCATCTTTCTCTTGTCACTTCCGAGAAGGAGAAGAAGAGATGGTTGTCGATGAGATTTAAACCCGAAATCTACACACGCGCATCAATTTGTTCTGCTGGAACAAGCAGTTCTCGCCTTTGCCTTGTGTTCGTTGATGGTGATCGTATCAAGATAATTCTTTTTGCTTGTGCGAACGACGACGTTTGTGCGTGCATGTCAGGGTGAAAATTGTTCTGACAATAGCGAAGCAGTGCTAGAAAGGAGGAAAAGACGGGAATGACGAAGAAAAACTAAGCCAAAGAAAGAGAAAGAAACGATGAGATGCTGATTAACGGTCCATTCTATCTCGCTCTTTGCTTGTCTCTTTTCTTTCTCCCTCTTCTATTTTCATCCTGAATCATAATCTTCAAATTCTTTCTTATTCAGTTTTTTTTGTCTACATTTTAATCTTCCTTTACTCCCGCCTTTTCTCTACAGGTAATCAACTAACTTTCCGTGCTCATCTGAGATCATCGATAGAATAAGAATGGAAATTCGAGATTCAATCGAATTACGATCGAACGACATGATTGAAATGCATGGAATCTACGATCATCGTTCTTATCTGTTTGAAGTGATGCAGGAAACTAGATTTGAAAAAAGTGTTTGCTAGAAAGATTATTTCCTGTCTCGATGTCTCAATTCTATTGAGAAAAGGATGTGCTAATATCATAGTAGAATGCACATTTTATTAGAAACTGTATGTTCACTCCATAGCGTCTTTCATTAGCTGCGTAAAGAATAGAATAGTTAGACTCTCTACCATTGTCGTTCTAACTAATCTTATTAGATTCATTGAACATCATTGATTGAGTGTTCTTATGTCGCTATGACATAGTAGATAATAAAACTATTCTTTATGTCTATCAGATATCCTTTATTGACTATTGAAAACGTTAGAGAGACGATTGTTCAATTACAATTTCTTTTCGTTGCCTCTCATTAGATCATTGAATAGAGAATGGAGAAGGAAAAAGAGATTAGCGACTATTCAAACGTATAGTTTTATAGTATCCATAATGCAATCTGCATCGGACATATCGCGTGAAGTCGCATCGTCACCGATATTTTCCATTCTACTTATCAAAACCGAAGTCGATAGGTTTGAAAATAAGATCTCGCTATGATCATCATCATCAAGATTTTTCAACTAGTCTATCCATATTATTTTTCTCTGAGGACGTAGTCAGCTTACTAGATTCTAATTGACGTCACGCACATAACTCTTTCGAACGATACACATGTTCTTCAATCACGCAACTAACTAATTGAGATCCCTATAGATCCGTTTGCTAGTTTTAGATATTTACCTTCTGCATGACATGTTCCTTTTTTGATTGTTTTCCGGAATGATCTTCTTTTCGAAAAATATTCATCGGCAAAGCTTTGCCAACATTAATCATGACTTAAGAGAACCAGTTGAAATCATCTCTCTCTCTCTCTCTCTATGCTTGATGAAAGACCAAAAAATCTGTAAATATGTGTGTCGTCAATGAAGAACATATGGTTAAAGTCATTAAGTTTATTCTAAGTTATAGTATTATTAATTAGAAGTTCTGTTTGTAGAAGAATTCGTATCATAATAAAGACATCAATAACAACAGTCTCGAGGAATTGATTTGCTTCGACATTGTAGGAAAACACTTCCAAATGTTTGTTGATGTCAAACACACGATCAACAACGAAGAGATATTCATTATCCGTCATCTTAGGAGGAAAAGAATGTTTGCTAAAGTACTAAGAAGAGCGTGAACCCTTCGTCGAAGAGATCAAGTCTGTTCATTGCGATTTTTTTTCTTTTGTTCCAAAAGATAAATTTAATTGTTCGATCAAAGAAGAAAAGCGACTGTTAATTGAATTCTCTCGTAGGTATGAAATAGATAAACAAGATTGTGAAGAAAAAGAAAGACGAGGAAATAAGAAATCGAAGAGAAAGAAAGAAGGGGAGAAAAAATCACTTTTCCGCACAGAAATTAATCGTTCAGCACTCATGTCATAATCAATTATTAATGCAAGCAATCAACAACGAGCTTCGGTAGTAAAATATTGATGGCTCGTTCGCTTTTCTTTTTCTTTCTCTTGAGTTTTTCAATAAAAATATAACGCCATTAAGCAAGAGAAAAGAGAGAGAACGAATGCAATTGCCGTAAAAAAAAAGGCAAACGAGAACGATCGATGATGGGTGCTAACAACTCATTTCTAGCTTTACTTCATCCGGAAAGAGAATAAAAGATACTCGATCTATCAAATCAAATAAATCAAGGTTCTTTCACTAGTTCGAGAGCGAAGACAATACAAGAATTTCTCTCGATTTTTAATAAGTATTTTCTTTCTTTTCTAGGTTTCCTTGTCCCTTTGGTTTTTACATATTTTCACGACCTACCACCTGCCCTCGCTTTTCACCTTGGCATTTTATCCCCAGATCAAACATGATGATGGACAATCCTGCGCTTCATCATCAACAAATCATCCAAATCAACGCAACTAATCCTCCGATTGTTGCCAATGTCCAACAACAGCAAGCTATACCACCGAACGCGAAAACGCCTGGCGAAATGGACAACTTTCTTACCATTCGCTTGCTTATGCAAGGCAAAGTACGTGAAAATTCAAGTCATAATCGTCATTTGAACTCGTTCTGTACAGGAAGTGGGTAGCATCATCGGTAAACGTGGTGATAACATCAAAGCAATTCGAGAAGAAGTATAGTTTTCCGTTGCAACGGAACCGTTTGATGCTATTTGAAATCGTTCTAGAGTGGTGCTCGTATAAATATCAGTGATGGGACAACTCCTGAACGAATTGTAACTATGGTGGGAACAATCGAAACTTTGTCAAGAGCATTCGATATGATTTGTCAAAAGTTCGAAGATGTAAATATCTATTGAGTAATTTTTTGTGGACTAATCTATGTTGGAATCATCTAGGATTTAAAACAAACGTGTACAACAATTCCACCTATAACTTTGCGACTTGTTGTACCAGCAAGTCAATGTGGTTCGATTATTGGTAAAGGTGGTGCGAAAATCAAAGAAATTCGAGAGGTTAGTTTTTCTTTGAAAAAGATCAAATGCTTTTATTATGTTCATTGTTCGTTCAGACAACAGGTGCATCTGTTCAAGTCGCTTCGGAAATGTTACCGACATCAACTGAACGCGCTGTGACAATCTCAGGAAAGCTCGAATCAATTGAATCCTGTTTTCGACAAATATGCCAGATTATGCTTGAAGTACATATTACTTCATTACTAGTTTTTCCTTATTTGTTTCGCTGATAACTTTTCTAGTCGCCACCAAAAGGTGAAACAGTTCCATATCGACCCAAAATGATGATATCACCTGTTCATGCTCCAATCATTTTCGCTAATGGACAAGCTTATCAAGTCCAAGGCCAATTTGCTATACCATTACCACCAAATGAAGTCAGTCAAATCTTATTGAATACGTTTGTTCTATTTATTTGTATTTCAGTTGAATGCATTTGCTCCATTAGCCTCTCTTGGACCCGGCGTGCCTTTACCTGCTGGTAAGAAAGCGAAAAACTCTCGATTCCATCTTAGTTTTGTTTATAGCACCTTTGATGCCAAATGGTCTTCCAGCAAATCGTGCGACGCTGCAATCCCAACGTGAGATTACCATTGCCAATGATCTTATCGGTTGTATTATTGGTCGTGGAGGACAGAAGATCTCTGAAATTCGGTAGAGAGAAAATGAATTCGAGAGCATTCTTTGTTATTTCGACAAAAAAATCGTTCTAGGCAAGCATCGGGTGCGAATATCAAAATCGCCGATTTGGATGAAGGTTCGCAAGATCGTCATGTAACTATATCTGGCACACCGGAACAAATTCAATTGGCTGAGTTTTTAATTCATTCAAGGTAAAAGAATTTGAGCTAAATTCCTCGATGAATATCAATCATATTCTTTGTCCTCTCGTAGAATTGCATCGGAAATTGGCGGAATTTTAATAACTCATTAAGTCTTTTTTCTCTCTCTCTCTCTGTCTCTTTTTTTCTTTTTCTATTAATCACACATACATAAATAACAGTATTTTGTCGTTTTCTCTATGCAATCTTCCGGTTCGTAGCTACGCATTGCTGCACACCAATTATCGTTTGTATGTGTGTATGTGTGGATGTGGATGTCTTTTTTCTTCTCTTCTCTTTTGTTTTTTAATGTATTTTTATTTATATGCAATTACATAATATCTGTTTGTATGTCTTATTTTAAGTTTGATGCAACGATATAGATGTTTGTAAGTAGCTGTACAACAGTGATCGACTAAATATCATATTTTCAACACTCAACAAACTTCGCTTCTACAATTGTCATTTTCGTGTGGACTGAGCTATTTTTTCTTCTTTGGATTGACTGTATGTCTCCTCTTTGTTCTTTCAATTTTTTCTCTTTTTTGCACTATAGACAACATACGCAGAGTGTAGGCGTGAAACTTTATTTTGTTGTTAATATAAAGACTTTCGAAAATCAACCAAAAACAATGTGCGACATTTGCCATTTCGTGACAGATCAATCCAATTGACGATCGAATTGATCGAGACGAAGAAATCAAGTTTGCTTTCAAGTATTTCCGCCTAGTTTCATGGGATGTACTAAAAGGTTAGCGATAATGAATCGACCTCTTTCTTTTGCATCATTTATTCGAGAAGGTAAAATGAGAGACGAAGTCGTGAGAATAATTTAATACATACCTGCTGTACAAAGTAGGGAAAATGTTCCTATGCGGAATTACACGGCCCTTCTGGTGTTCATTTGAGGAACATTGGAAAAGTGATTTCCAGAGGAAAAATTCGCATCGATTTGCGATGAACGAGTCGTTTCGGCATTTATGCACGTTTTTTTGGCTTATTAACCCCACTCGTTTATGCATGAAAAAGCGACGATGATAATTGAAAAAATGGAATCGTGAAGGAACTATCGTACGAAGATATGTCAAAGTTTGATTTCCTTTCGATCTGGTTTCTATCTAAACAAAACGAGACTATATAATTACTGGCGATCGGATTACTTAAATAAATATCGATATTCTTCTGATTTATTAAATAAAAATTAGAGTAAAATTTATTCATATCGCATAAATAATTAACAAAAAAAGATGAATAAAGAGAAAGAAACCGAAATGAAACTCAACGAACACTAATTTAGTGAGAAAATGAGATGAGAAAGATGAAACAAACATGATGAGCACCTTGGATTTGTAGATGTGATTTATTTTGATTGAGCAAACGATGGATGTTGTTGTTGATGATGATGATGATAGTGATGATGAGTGTTATGTTTTTGTAAAACGAATGTCGGTTCATCTGTGTTGACGCCATGACAGCGTTGCATATGGGTTTTGAGTCCTTGTCGCAGTTTGAACTTCTTCGGGCAACGGGCGCATTCGAAATTTCGAATCGCAACATGAACGATACTGTGATGACGGTTGAGGTTGGATTTATTCGAGAAATCACGGCCACAAAGAAGACAAGGAAATTTTTTCGGGTGTTGACTTTTCGGAGGGATGATTTCTTGTTCATCGGTCGTGTTCGTGGATGAAGGTGAAATTGAAGACGATTTCATCAGTTGTTGATGTTGTTGAGCAAGTAATGCAGCGTGGTGAGGATTTGAAACAATGGCAATTAGGGCGCCAGTTGTTGGATCGATAAAGGGAGGAGTGGCTGCTGATGATGACGGTGGGATAGTCAAAGATTTATATGCTGATGCAAATGATAGATTGGTTAAATCATTATTATGACCATTGATACCAGATGAGAAGATTCCTGTTCGATGATGTTTGGGTAAATGAGGATTAAAGTGTAGATTCGGAGAGAATTTTTCCACAGGAGAATCTAAATGCAGAAAAGTAGTAAAACAAAAAGAGTTCGCCTTTTCAATTCATTACTTGATTGTACTGAAAGATTGAGCAATGAAGACTATGCAAATATAGAATGTGACGTAGACAAATGATTAAGTGATCTTATCTTACTTTATCTTCGGTATGGATTTTATGCGCGATCTTCGATTTTCGCCGTTTAGCACCAACTAACGTTGTTGTTGAGACAGCAAGAGGTGATGAATGGTTGTAACCATTGGCTACATTTACTGTTCGAGGTTTTTCTTCACCTTCTTCAGTATCATCATCTTCATCAATTGGGATTTGCTAGAAGAAGAAATACAACAGCGCTCTCTGACAATCCAGTAGATTGCAAACTTACCTGATGATTAAATGCAAATAGATTCGTTCGTTGTCGTTGGCCTTGAAGAATTAACGCACGTTTATAAAGATTGTGTTCGATTTTATTCATAAGTATATGTTGTTCATGATTTAAGCGTTCGAGTTGATTATGGATCTGTTCAATTTGTCGAATGCTTTCACAACATCGAAAACATATCAAACGACTGTTGACCATTTCATTACCATTCTTCTGCCATAGTTTTTCCAAGCGCTTCGACGACGAAATAAGTCGTTCAACCGATGCTGCTGAACAACGCTGGCCATGTCGTGGATGTGATGATGAATAACCATTCGAAGACTGAGTCGTTGATAAAAGCGCATAACACAGCGAACATCGATTTGGTGGAACAGTATAAGTATACATAATTGTTGATTAGTTCAATTTAGAAATGTACGTAGAGACGACCTTTTAATTTGTTTGTTTGTCTTAGAATTTCTATACGTTCTGATCTTTTTTTCATGCACACGTGATGAGGCGCAGAGTTGTCGTCAATGACGTTCTATTCATGCTGCTACTCTACTACTGAAGATGTTAGCAGAATAGAAACGCTCCAGGATGATACATTTTCTGTATCGAATATCAAGCAAAAGCGACGACTACGCATGCGCGCGCGCCCGACTTTTAGCGTGGTGATGAGAACAACAACAACAACAGCAAGGAGAAGAAGAAGAAGAAGAAGAAGACATTTTCCGATCTCTTTCTTTTTTTCTTCTCGGAGTGACTTGCATAATCTTGCATTTTTTCTCTTCATAGTACTAGCTGTCGCTTGTACAATTCTTCTCTCTCTTCCTCTCTCTCTCTCTCTGTCCCTCACACAATTCTCTTCTGTACGCATATCGTTACATCACTGCACTAACTTTCGTCACTCGTACACATAAGCGATCCTTGATGTATATGTACGTATGCTACTTGGAAGATTGTTTCTTTCTCAAACTGTATATATCTACACATATACAGAGATGTATGTGTATGCAAACCAGGCGTGCTATGAAATAGAACGACAAGCATTCAAGTCGATCAATACATTTTGTTTGATTTGATAGACCGATGTCCATTCTTTTGATAATATACAAGAAGATTACATGAGAAAAGAAGTAAACAGAGGAGGAAATGGATTTTTCCTCCTTCTACAATAGTTCTCTTGATGATAATAATGATGACAACAACCAAGATCATCGCTCGTTTCTTATCATCATCAACGGAAACCAACGAGCAATATCAAGATGCATAATATATAATAGAGTAATGAGTGATGACCAAATCATCAACTAGAATTCCCCTCTCTTCTTGTCAAATCAAAAATTGGTGAAGAGATCGATAGGTGTGAAACAAGTCTCGCCCCGCACCACTTCTCATTTTTATTGATATTGGTCACATGTACTTGCACATATAAATGTACAACAATCGTTCAAACATAATTGAAAATGTGTGAATGAATGAATAAATTTGCAAAAAAAAACAATCAAAGTTAATTTGCTCTAGAATTGATAGAGTAGCTATGATAAAATTTGAACTAGTCGAAAGTTCTCGCTGTTCTTTCTCTCTTGGTCTTGTTGAAACATTTGTGCAATGGCTAGGCCATGTGTTGATTTGATTAACATTTCATCTGAGGAAAAAATGCCATGACTGTCCCATCTTTGTCTTTACTCTTCATTTCTTCTTTTAGTACAGTTGATTGGATTACTTTCCTGACTGCTTTCATCATTCAAGGTTTGACCGAGCATGCATCCATAAACATCTATGCCACGCTCTTTTCTCGTCATCATCCGTCGACGAGAGATACCAGCAAATAGAGATAACACATATGTAAGAACAAGGAAAAGAAGAAGAAGAAGAAGAAGAAGACAAAAAGTGTGAGATGTACATGCATTACTCGAGATGCGTGCGTGTGTCGCAGCGCATCGGTATATTGAAAAAGACAACAACAGCAGTAGTAGCAGTGCCAATAACAGCCTATCTCTATTGCGCGCGCGTCTCTTCTTTCTCTTGCGTTTATATGTATATACTATCCTGTGTACGTGGTTCTTTAGCTTATGTGCACAACGATGATTGACATCACCCATGAGCAGCGCCAGTCGTTCGTATATGGAGACGGAAAGAATAGATATGGAGAAAGATGGGTAAAGAGGGTGGGAAGAAGGGAGAAAAGGATGGATGGGGTGACTTTTGAAGGAGACAGTTCTGTATTATGCTACAATCATAAGAAAACGTAGAAGAATGTTGCCATTTGCGTTTCGAGTGACTGACGCATATACATATAATAGAACTATTATCATCATCCTTCTACTGGAAAGAAGTAGTTCTGGAATATAGAAAGTCAAGGAGGAGGAGAAGAAGAAGAAGAAGAGCAAGGCGACACATAAGTATGCCGTAAAAAAGAATGATACCAATCATGATTTGAGAGTAATGGCATATAACGTTGGTCTAATTACATAAAGCTCAATACTTAAAGTTATTATACAATAGATAAATCTTCGGATAAAACATTATTTCATTAAAATAAAAGAAGGAATACAAGGATGTTCTTTTTCAAGTGGAAGATGTTGTTGATGCTGACGTTATCGGTGGTATTCGTGGAAGACGATGTAATTTAGGAATTTGGAGATCGTGATCATCATCGTCACTTTCGCTATTGAAATTGTTCGATAAACGCAACAAATCATTCGCTGTTCGCAGTATCGCAAAGTCACTGCTTTGAGCAATCGGTTTCAACGAACGAGTTTCATCGTGAAAGTTTATGTATCGTGCCATACCGGTCTAGTCAATCAATAGATATACAAATTAAAAATTCGGAAAAAAAACTTACTTGATATCGTTTTGGATCTCCCTTTTTCAATCGTGAGTCTTCATATAGAACGCCAGGTACAGGATGAATAAGATCACCTACTTCAGTTGATTGCTCGGGTAGTACTAAAAGATTGAAATTATCAAATGGAATGAAGGGAAAATATGAGAATGAATGAAACCGAGTTTCACAGGAGCGAACTTGGGATCTGAACGAGATAATTTCATTGTTTCCAATTTCTTGCCCGCCGCCCGTAATTCATTCTTCGATTTTCGCGGTTTAACGATATCGCACGACATACGAATACTAAAAACAAATCGTTCATTCCAAACTAAACGAGTCCAACGGTTGTCACCTTTTCGTAGCAAGTTTATCTGGATCGATTTTAATCATTGATACAACATTTCCATCATCATTCAGTTCCAATTCTCGATAACCAGGCGGTCGACTTAGAATACTCTAAAATAGCTATGTGCATCGAACACAACGTTCGTCAAAAGCCTACTTTGAGCATTGAATGAGAAGCAGCTGGTGCTTTAGCAATAATTTCTTCGATGTGCTGTTCATCAAATATTTTCGATTCCGCTTTTCGTATACTCTTCGTGACCGTCGTTGTCGATTCAGTTCCATTTGTTAATGATCGAAACGTGTCCGAACCAAATTGTGACAAACCTTTCGGAGCAACCACTCGACGATGTTTCGCTGTCACTGCTGTCGATGTTCGTTGAAATAACTCTCCTAACGGTTCAAGCTAAACGAAAAGCACTCACAAAAACAGAGTGTTCGCAGTAATCGTGTTTGTTTACTTTGGGTGGTTGAGTTTCAATGACAAGAATATCATGCGTCAATGGTTTCTTTTCCAGCGAAGATCGGTAGGTTGGTTGTTTACTTACTCGCTCACCTACGTCGATCTCCGTTGATTGTGCTATTTTGTTTTGTGTATCGAAATGAGAAATACGATCAACTTGTTTGATTGGTACATCTGAATGACTTGAGCCTGTCGATGGTCGTTGTATCGGATCATTATCAATCGATCGATGACTTTTCGATGGTGCTGACGGCGAACGTTCAGGAGTGCATATTGATGATAGATCAATTCTAAATAAAAAAAAAAGAATGAATCATTGAGAAAAAAAACAATTCATTACAAACTCTTCAGTACGTTCTTCACGACATGCAGGAACTACGCCTTCGCCCCAATTGTCCATTAAACATGGTATTGGCTCTAGAGAGGAACAAATTAATCTAAAACGAACGACTACTCCTCCTCCTTCAGTACTCCTACCGTCATCGTCGGTCCAGAAATTTCCATTAGCTGGTTGTGATTCATCTCTTTCTAAAAATGCCCACTGAATAAAACCAGAGACAAGCATATAGACTAAATCTATCATGTTCAATCTGTTACCTGGACGACAGTTGTCAAAGCGGTTTCTGCTCTCATTAATGTAAATGATAATAATTGTCTACGTAGATAGATCTGTTGAATTTGGTCGGATACATCCTTCCAGATGTTGTCGAATATGTCAGCAATGAAATTTTCTGTCTCATCAGTTTCTATCAATGATATCCAATCTGTTTCGTTGAATTTACCAGGTACAATTTCTAGGACGTTGGCAGTTTGTTTATCACCCTTTCCCTGACCTTTGCCAGGAGCTTTTAAACTTGATTTAGGCGTCGGACGAGCTGCTTTCGGTGCAGCGCGTGTTGTCATTTCTCAGTAAACTAAAAGCAAGTAAGAATCGATTGGAATTACTGCTGAAGGATCACGGCATGGATGTTGTCCTGGACAACGTTTAACTGTTATTTAAACATTTTACAAGTGACATCTTTCTTTATTCTACAGAAAGCAATGTGCGCATTGTAATATACACGTTTCGCAGTCAAGTGTCTCTTCGAGTTCAAGTAAAAATCTTATTCTTTTCAGCAGATCACGATCGATTGTTTGGAATCGGTGTGAGACTAGTACCACGAAACTAAGAATTTTGTAAAAATGAATTTCTGTGGATGAAAACGAGTCTATTCGACGCAGAATTTAAATCTGAGTCGAATAGACTCCTTTCTATCGACGAGAATCCATTCTGTGTAGAGAAGATACGTGTCGACTGTCCTATAATGGCGCATATACATGTATAGAAGATAAATAGAGATCAAAGAAAGCTTTTTTTCTCATCGTTTTCTCATGAATGAAAATATTACCATTCGGCTCAGATTTAAATTCTGCGGTAAATAGATTCGTTTTCATCAACGGGAATTCGTTTTTCACAAAATTCATAGTTATGCGTTGCTAGCTTTACACTGATTTATTTGAAGTATTCAGTCAATATTAGTATTTTATCCCGGAATACAGAGTTTCCGTGGTACGCAAATATAAACTGCTCGCGTTTTATGCTCATTAGGTATACATTTATTTTGGCGCACGATGCAAAGAAATTGCTCACAAATTGAGTTACAGCAACAGCAAAAGCGAGATATATAAGAAATTGGGTTGCATTAGAAAGTGGAATATTCCGAACAAGTAAAGTAGTAGTTGTATTTGGTTTTCGCAAAGATCGTTGAAGTCATTGTAGAAATTTGATTACTCTAAATATACTCTTTGGCGTTATGAGCGAAAAGAGACGCGAATTTGGTGAGATCAAATTGTAAATTAACCTTTTCAAATTGTAATTATTTAATGATTAATACTTTATCACACTGATGTGAGGTGCATTGTAAATGAGGAGAGGGTTACTTCGAAGAATTTTCAAATAACTTTGCGTCTCCGCCGTCATGCTTTTAGTGAGGTGAGTAATCACGCAAATTATGCTTTAAATCTCGACAGATATCGCGTGTCTGTTATTAATCTTCAAGATCTATTTGTGTAAATTTGGACATACGAGAAACGCGATACACTTTCGGTAAAACGTATCTGTCAACTAAATGTTTTATATATTGTATATGATCTGTATAAAAGAAGAAATATATAACAATAAGTATGTGATACATGTAACAATAAAATCAATCAACAATAATTCCATTCGGGATGATCTTTCGGCCGACATTCGATTGGACACTCGCCAAATGGCATTTTACCACGACCACAACAGGGTCGTACGCAACCGACAAAACAATTCGTTTCATTAGCTGATCGTCGTTGTGTAGGAAACGGAGATGGTGTCTGGCCGTAGTTGTGTTTACAAAGAAAACTATCATGTACGAGAATATCTGATTTTGCATGTGGCCAAACTTGTTGAGCGAGAAACGTTTGATCACCCCGGCCACCATATCGTCGAACTAAATCTTCTTGATGAACTTTTTTATGAATCATATGTCGAAGTTCTGGATTGGATGCCGGCCGAAAGCCCCACATACCACCGAGCATAGGCACACCGTGCATAGGATGATCACGCATAGCATGAAAAGATTTCTTTGACGCGAGCCACGCATCAACAGATGACCGTTCTCGTGGTGTTAACGCTGAATCCAAATCACGGCTCATCACTTTCAAAGAAAGGAAAATGTTAAAAATCGTCTCACTCTGTAAGTAATTTTCTTACTGATATCTACAAGTGGATCACCGGCAGGAATAAATCGCCAGATTTTCGGTGGAATATACAACTTCGAACTCATACTGCAAAAGTCCACGTTTGGATGTTGACATTCCAACGGGCAAATGACATCTTGAAAACCGATTGTATCATCATGATGAACGCGTAACACAAACCCATCGGAATAAATCACGTTCATATCATTAATCAATTCGTTCAGAAACGTCAATGATTTGTTCAGTTGAAACATTCGATTCTCCTTTGGTCCAAAAAGGCTAATAGAAATAATACGTTGATTTGCTCCTCGTTGAGTGGCATACGTGCTGCATAGATACGATGGAGAGGCGTTTTTCGTGAAATTCGGTGTTAATTCAGGTCGTAAACATAAACACTCAGGTCGCCGACGGTAACCAACACTGATCGGTATAGGAAATGAAACTATCGGGGAAGTGAAACGAAATAGAATGAAGATGATGAACAGACAACTTCCTCCTATTGATAAAAAATAAATAAAACATCGTTGCATAGACATTCTTCCTGATGATTGAGTCATAGCTCCGCAGTTTTTTTTGTTTTATATGTTCTACTCCATTCTTTTGCTTTATCAAAATTTTACGGCATTATATACGAAACGACAACAGAAGATGAGAGCAAATATTTGGTAGGTGTTGTAACTTAATATCTTCTCCCGTCTTTTTTCTTTCTCTCTCTTTCCCTTTCTCTTTCTCTTTTTTCATACACTACACGCACCCTGATAGTGGTACGAACAAAAAAATGAAGTTTTCATGATAGAATACCGACAAGAGATTAAAAATTCTCTCTCTCTCTCTCTCTCTCTCTCTCTCTCGCCCTCCTTTTTGGAAACTAAACTATAAACAGGTGAAGCTTCCTCTACATTAATCAAACCCATTTGCGGTTATTCATGAATATGCAGTACTATTCGCACGGCAAAGAATAAATATTCTCTGTCAAAGATAGATTAACTTGATGAAGTCCGAATAATATGCTAGACGCAACTCAATACCTCTGCGAAGTAAATTTCTGTGATTTCAGCTGAAATTGAGTCAGGCGATATAACGAAATCTCATATCGTCAACTTATCAACAGTACAAACGAGAAAAAAAACCATAGCTTCGATTTTAATGAAATGCGTGACTTAGATAACTAATCAAGCACATGTTCATTTCCCAATACAGTAAATATTGAAATAGTTGAAAAATGCAGAATCGCTTTCATAAATATGCCATTTTTTATATTCCCGATAATTCCTCTAGTAACTATAGAGAAATTTTGCATGTTCTCGCACTCAATTACATCTTCAACTAGTAATAAACATCATTTACATCGATAAAATCTTCTAATGATAGATTAGACTGGCATTCTCTCTTTCTGTGATACGTAATTTTCGGTTATTAATATTTAATACCTTGCAAACTGGAGACATACACGCGTAAAAAACAACAATCTCATCGTTTTGCATTACTCAATACAACGTACTCTTGCGAGACTATTAATAGATGATTTTGTTTTAAATAAAGAATGAGTATCTGCAGAATTTGCCGCGATTTCGATATTCGATTAAGGTGAACTTGTTCTTCCGTCGTTACAATGACGACTGGTGTATATTTCAATCGTTCTTTTATTTGACATATATACATATCTATGTATGCATAGAAAAAAAAACAGAAAATACAAAAAGAAAGCAAATAGAGGATTGTCTATTTTAATTTCGCTGATTTGGATATTGTTGCTGAGAGTGAAAATCCATTGACGGATTGGATGGAGGAAAGAACGGTGGAACTGCTGCTGTAGGATAGGTTGCTTGAGGTGTGTTTGGGTTGAACCAAATTTGTGGAACAACAGGCGAAGCCAGAACAGGCTGGGGAACAGTTGGTTGTAAACGTTTCATAAGAAGATTTTCGAATGGATTCGACTGAATTAGTTGAGAAGATGTAGCTGTTGATGTTGGTGTCGGAAGTGCAGCAGGATTTGAATCGGTAAGTTGTCGGAGAGTTTGGGTAAGCATTTCTAGACTTTTTTCGAAACCAGTTGATTGTGAATGTTGAATAAGTAAATCGGTAATTAGATTCACATCAATCATTGGGGTCGGCTAAATGAGGTCGAGATTACTTCGATTAGTAGAAGTGTTCAGAGCTAGTTCATACCTGTGATGTCGATTTGCTTTCTCCGTTGATTATCGGAGAGGAAATTGAATTGGATTTATGCGATCTTTCGTCTGCATCATCGAATTGTTGTTGGGAAGATTGATGACGATGAGAAGTATGCTTTCGGTGATGACGAGGGTCTACACGTGTCGTCCGAACAACTTCAAAAGAAAAGATGATGATTGAACGAACGGTTTGTCAAACTTACTAGATGGTCGATCGGATGGAGACTTAGCTGCAAATAAACATATTTTAGCAAATGAATTCAACGAAATCTACAAAAACTCACAACTATTATCTTCATTGTCAGATAAATCCATATCAGTTTGCCGATAATCCGGTGGAGTATTACCTAAAAGGTACTATGAACGTCAATTTCTGATTTGAAATAGGAAATACTCACCAGGTGATGGGATATTATCCCCGGAAGGCGATGTTACTGTGTCTGGTAGATCTCGAATTAAACTATCCAACTTTTTCTTCAACGTCGCTACTTTGTCACCGAAATTCTTGTACGCCTACAATTTAGAAAGTTCGCAAAAGAATTTTTCTTGGCGATTTCACAAACTTCAACAACAATGTTCGCATCTTGATACTGCGCATCATAAAAAATCTCCGCTTGTTCGCAGAACTGTTTCAACGATTTTCGTTCCTTCAAAAGTCGTTCGTAGTATTGAATATAATCTTGAAACTTCTCTCGACTATTTTCATATTCTCCATGAAATGCATCTGTCGTTGTTTTATCTAAATCAAGCAAAGAATTGACTTTTCCTATGAGAACATCGTTTGTTTTACCTTTTAACTTTCGAACACTCTCAATCGACATGCTGTCGATCAGCTTCAAATCATTAGTAATTAGCTGTTCTTTTACAAGTGTTTCACCTTCGAGTTGTTTGAAACGAATCAATGATTCACATAAAACTTTCGGCTAGAAAAGAAGATAACGTCAAAAGAACAAATGAAAATGTCGATATTTACTTGAAATTCAGCAATAACTCGCGTTACTTCTTTGTCTTTTTCGTAAACTTCTGTTCCAAGAAGTTTCTTCAAAAGTTCATTGATAAAATCTTCATCGTAAACCCCCCGATCGCGCCAAATCTCTAAAATTCGTTGAATTTTCTTTTTAATCGCATTTTCTTTCACATAAGCCATCGCGGAACCTAAATACGGTTTAAATGCCTGATGATAAACCAATGCATTGTGTCTTTTCGCATTTTGAACAACATCATTCGCAACATAGAACAATGTTAATCGATGTAATGGTTTGGATTTCTTCAAAACTTTGAACCACGTCTTGATCAAATGTTCATGTTGAGAGCGATGATATAGAATCCATAAGGATAGAGTTTGCACACTTTCTTGAGTACCATTCACGAGTGTAAGACGCTTTTCAAAGCTTGATGATGCTGCGGTCGAATCGTCAGTCGTGGTTGATGCCATAGAAGAACGAGTTTGGCAGCTGGATCGTAATTTTCGGTGGAGAGTGAATAATAAAAGATTGAGGATGAAAAATGCGATGCCAATTGGAAGAAGGTAACCTCATCATTTATCCATACACCAATGAGATTTATTTGAGAAGAAAAGATAAAAATACGAGATGAGAATCAACGCCATCTATCGAATACTCTGAATGTACCTATGAATTTATTCGACATTTTGCGTCCACCATCGGAATGAAACAGTTTTTCTGTGTATGAAAGTGAAAACTGAACTTTTATCATGTTATAAACAGCATGTCTAGTGCTGTTGTTTTCTTAACGTTCTTGAGAAGGTGTTCCGTTCGTTATTAGTCTAACAAAACGATATTTTTAGTTATGAGAACGAGAAAATAAAGTCTCGTTCGATGTTGACATGACACATTTTTCCTTCTCAGGTGTTCAACCGACAAAACATGAAGATAATCGAGTGTCATGCCTGTTCTCAAAATGATAAATCTAATGCTGCAACCAATCATACTTTCATCTCAACTCGACATCCACGAAATGATACGATTATAGACCAATGTTTTTCAAATATATTCTCTTGCAAAAGAAATACTATTCATACGAGATAAAACCGAACGATATTTGTAAGTAATATACAATCATGAAAAATGAACAAGAAGAAGAGAAAAAGCATGTTTAGTTATAGTCCACGGAATAAGATTGAATTTGTTTTAAATCGATACTATATATACATAAATACTTGACAGAAAGCAATAGACGATAGGTTTGATTCACAAGGATTTCGATTTTTCACCAATCGCCGCCTCCTAAATACCAATCAATAGAACGAATATAAAGAAAACATCGACTTACCACCAAAGTCACCACCACCACCAAAATCTCCGCCACCAAAATCTCCGCCGCCAAAATCTCCACCGCCATAGTCATTATCGCCTCCATAATCGCCTCCGCCAAAATCATCACCCCCGCCGTAATCTACAGATGAAAAATGAAATAAACTTTCCTGTTTAACTATTTCGATTACCTCCACCACCACCGTAACTATCCGATCCAGCTCCATAGTCGTTGTCATTCTGACCATTATTTGTATCATAGTCAAAACTGTTCGACTGTTGGTAATCATTGTCGTTATAATTTGTATAATCATTGTTTGTTGTATCGTTATTGTAGTTGTTGGTAGTATCATTATCATAGCTGTAGAATAAAAAAAAGCAAATTGAATAAGCTATAAAGAATCTTATACGTACTAATTATTTATAATGGTCGTGTCGTTACCAGCGCCCCAACCACTAAATATTTCCGAAAAGAATCAAGATTACTTTTGACTTATTACGACAAAACAATGATTTAGATATTACCCATAGCCACCATAACCACCACCACCATAATATCCAGATGGTCCCATGCCATAGCCCCAGCCTCCATGGCCACCGAATCCGCCACCCCATGCATATCCAAGAGCACCTAAGAACAAAATCAAACTTATTAACTCGACCAAAAATCTTTTTCGTAATTTTTATACCACCAAGTAATGCTCCACCAGCTAAACCAAGTCCAACACCAGCTAATGAACTTCCGCCACCTCCCCGATATCCACCGTAACCGCCTCCTGAACCAGCATAAGTTGGTGATGGTTGTACGACGACTGTTGTATGATTGTAACCAGGCTGTTGACTACTTGATGCCCCTGAGCCACCGTATGGTGCACGGTATTGTGGTTGTTGTGATTGATTACCTGGTAGATTGGGATACATCGACTGTTGTTGTGGACGAGGATAAGAACCCGACGCAGAATATGCTAAAATCAATCGATAGTCTTCGATAACAAGGAGAAAAGAAAAGATAGTGTGAAAGACATACGCGGAGGAGGACCTGATGCTGGTGGTGCTGATGGTCGAATATTATCTCCCTGTTGTTGAGACGGCGGTTGCGGTGGTGGTGGCAATGTAGAAACGATTGCTTTCATCCAATCACTAAGAATCGTTGGGAAAAAAGAAATAAAATTCTCATATACATATATATATATAGCAAAATTCATTCGAAGTACTTGAGATGGGTAACATCGTTACAAAGAATCCAGACAATTTCCTGATCGTGATGTCCAGGTGTTGAACGCGGCAATGCAATCAGGTTAGCTTCATCAGTCGGTCGAGGAAAAGGCGGTCGATTCGGTAAACATCGTGTATAAGGTCCGACGCAAAGATTTTGCGCTATATCACGAATGCGTATTCCTCCTTCAGGTTTGCGATCAGTTTGTTTCTCAAACCATTGCAAGGTTGAATCGTCAAAAAGTACAAAATAATAATCTTTCCACTTTTTCGACAATAAACCCTCTAAATAAACAAACCAAGGTTATTCAACAAATGCTTTCGCTCAATCGAAACTTACTATGAAAATAACGTAGATGACCTGTCTTTATATGATGAGACATGATTTCTTGTTCTATTTGTCTAAAATATAATCGTTATATACAAATCATGTCACTATATTTATCGACGCTCAAGTTGAATGATTATGACTCAAGCACAACAACGAATCATCTTCGTAGTACATGGGATTTTTTTCCTTCGTTCTTCTAACGGTTGCAGCACGTCTATTCCGTCTGTTTATTAAGATTTTACAATGGCATAACCATATTTTTCTCTTTTCTTCCTTCGCGCATCTCTTGTATCGGGACAGAAAGAAAGAAAAAAAAAAGAAATTCTCCGTTCGTCTGCCGGTTTCTAACGCCTAGTAAAACGTAGAGAATAAAAAGAAAAACAGAGATAAACACAGCAGACGATTGTATTTCTTTTTGTGTTCTTTAAAGGAACAACAATGACTATCGTATACATAAATTGCCTAGCAGAACGTCAAGATTTTTCTAGTAAATTCTTTCTGTTGCATGATTAACATATCAAAAGTGAAAAAAAATGAGGGAAACAATTTACATGAATGTTTGTAGAAATAATGACCTTTATCAATGAAAGCAAACGACATCCGAATTGCCTTTTCTTGTTTGCAATAGAATACAGATGTTCATGTACAAATATCAATATCTTCTTTTTTTTTATTCGAATAGAAAAAAACCGATAAAATGATAGAAGAACAAGAGAAGAAAAAGGAGAAGTGAGTGCCACTGCTGGATACGAATGAGACAAGAGAACAAAGCCAAATTGAACAAAACAAAAATACGGCAAAGTTTTTCGACAGATTCGATCATTCGTTCACTGTATTAGTTTGTTTTTTTAAATCACTCATTTCAATAGATTATCTCGTCTTAACTTTAAACAAGCCAAAACGACTTCACATTGATGCATGGAACCTTGCAGTTCAGCTGACATTTGATCCAAATCAGTTTGACCACTGTTTCCCGCCATATTCAAACGTTGATTACTATTGGAGAAACAGTTTGGCATAATCAACTTAGATGGCCGCATCAAAGTCGGTCCGAACACGACCGCTAAGTTATCCAAGTGCATCATGTTGACATCCGAATATTCACTCACACGTATCAAATGGTCCAACAAATGAAAGAGGATTTTTCGATTTGCTGCGGGTAATAATTCCAATGTTCTTAGCAATGTTACACGTTGATTGTCCATATCTCTCAATTGTATCGCATGGATGAATTGAGTGTAAAGCGCACTGGTGAACAAAGGTTCTGGTAATTCGCGAAAGAATAGTTTCAGTAGATTTGCTGCAACGTGAACATTCTTTTCAGCTAATAATTCTTCGCCGCGATGATAATGTCGGTCGAATTGATTACGAAGCTTTTGCAAATCAGATGTCACACAACATACACGATAAATACCTGTTTCTTTGAGACCATCTCGATCAACCATCTCAATACATTTCACAATCAACCGAGGAATACCATCGACACTACAGATCATCAAGAAAGATTCGTTTGAGAAATGAATCAGTTTTAAACATACCAGCCATTCGGTGTACTTAATAACGTGTCAATACTTTTTCCGAATACAGCTAGACTACGTTTTGATCCTTGCCGTTTGAATGTTCCTTCCCGTTTGGAATATTTCAATGATATTTTCAGTTTTAAATCGCCCGATGGAGACTCGATTGTTAGGACACCATTAGCACTACGATGACAATCGTGTAGGGCCGTTTCAATCTATTCGATACAAAAAAAGTTTCCTCTCTGAGAAGAATGGCAGCATTTGAACAACATACATTTCGATGAAATTTACCAATGCACTGAGCGCGTTGAGAAGCATTTGTTTGATTACCTGAGTTATTTGCATCTATTCGATAGATGAGTAAACGAAATGCTAAGGAATATTCCAATTCCACTTGAAAAACCTGAAAGGAAAGATTATAGAATGAATTGCAATGACAGATGTTCATCTTCTAGTCAAAAGAAAAAGTCATGCGCAAATGTCGGATAAGAGGAGAATTAGATACCGTTTTTGGCCACCGAATTGAATAATAAAAGTGTGGTTGGCATTTCTACGGAATAGAATCTCTTATAATCAGTAAACATCAAAAGAAACATTTCGTTCTGGATTCTGTCGAACATGCAAAGTACAACAATACCACCTACTTCTCCTTTGAATTCCACAGATTCTTGTTGTTGCATCGATCGCCTTGCTGTTTGAGCGTATGGAAAGAAAGTATTGTATGAATCGATTTCAACCGCAACATAAAATTGATAATTGTTATCTGTTGGATTTGTCAACAGCGGCAGCGTTGACTGTTGTCGTGCGGGATTGTATAATGCTGTTCCATGAATACTATGGATAGTTATATGTAATGTACCCGAATACGTTTTGCTTGGTTTGGGAACAGAGGATGACTCGTAAGAATTGAAATCTTGAACGTTTGGTTTGATTAAATCAAGACGCTTTTGAATGAGAGAATCAGTCAGACGTTGATGATTTGTATTGATGGTTTTTGAGCCGTCAGAACTACGTTGAACAAGTTCTTGTTTAGTTTTCTCGATTAGATCAACCCAATCTTGAAGTTGATAAGCTGAAGAGAAAAGAATTGTGAAGGATATGGATGAACGAGATGTTGCTGCTGCTGCTGCAGCCGAATTCGAGAGGATTAATTGAAGTTTTGATTGTGCTAAATTGTATTCGATTTCCTGTTTGCGTATCGCTTTGGATAGACGAGATGCAGCGACATGCTAATAATGAACAATTAGCCAAACTCAAATGTCAGCTCGGACAAAACTTACATTAGATTTCGGTGCTTTTTCTAATTCTTTATAAGATGATTTTAAATTTGATTTTAATTCATCTACAATTCAATTGCAGATAGACCTCGAATTGTCTCTTTCAATAAGTGGACACTTACCACCGGTATTTTTGTTATCTTCGGATGAAGTTTGCGGTACTGTCCAATGAAGACTAATCATGGGTATGAATGAAAGAAGAGCGTATTTCGGACTAGAAAAGAAAATGACATCCGCCGTGATGGATAGCTCATCTAGTTCCACTTTCTATTTGTAGAAATCCTCATCAAATTGTCGAAGAAATCTATTAATCACTTGAATGTCTCAACAACGAAGAGTATTGAACGTGCCTTTTCATGTGTTGTTAACTTTTAATGGGCTAGATAATTGTTTCCTCTTGTAAATTAAAACTAAATTTCTTTTCTAGGCAACAAACGTTTCAATTGTTTAGCATTAGTTCTTGTTGCCTATTGAACTCAGTCATGACAAACTACTAAATGCCTACCTGACAAGTAGTTTGCTTTTCAAATAACAACAAACGATTGCATCAGGGTACAGAACAAGACGACATCGATCAGGAGAGCCTCGTGTAAATGTCGCCACATCTTCATTTTTCAGAACAATCTTATTGATATTTTCATCTTGGATATTCTAAAAGTTCACAAGTACAAATGAGAAATTGTCATTGGATTAGTTAGTTTCTACGTACTCCATAGATTTTACATTGCTGTGCGTAGTCGTGCAACTTCTTGAGACTGACTGCATCATCTGATCCAAATGAAAGAGCTGTTTTATACAAATCCTATATAAAACAATCCATTAACAGTTCGAAAATCGAATTTCGTTTTCTTACTTGCACTTGCGAAAGAATCTGAAGGAATTGCTTAGGTGGAATGGATAGAAGATCTAGAATTCCGAAGATTTTGTCTTCAATCATCGCACTTGACAATTGTTCAATCTACCTTCACTAGACATGCCGTTGGTGAGTCGTTTGTCTAATGCTTTTCTGATCGGTGCTAAGTTCTTCTTGATATAATCATCGTAGAGACTTAACGTTTGCACCTAAAACGTTAACTATGCAGAAGATCTGAGAGAAATAATGATGATCTACCAAAGCATCGATTGCACGTGTTAATTGTCTGGTTAGATTTGCTGGTTGATGATCACGTTCATACAAGAATCCGATTTCTTTACAAACATTTTTATGATGTGCTATTAACTGTTGAATCATTTCTTGTAAAGTTATTCCGAGAGAAATATGATTGAGCTAAATGAGAGAGAAATATTTGAATAAGATTAAGACAATTGTTTGTTTATTTACTTGATGATCGAGTTGTTCTAATTGTTCGATATAACTTTTCTCTTTTCTTAACCATTCTTGTGCGATACTCCAAAGAATTTTTTGTTGTCGAATCTAATTTTACACCAAAGGGAACGATGCTGACGAAAGTATCTCTCATACTTACAATTAATTGTTTTTGCAATTCTTCTTGTTCATTGATCAGCTCTTCGGGGGCTTTCTTCGGTATGACTTGTTCGTCTTCGTTTTCAAGATCATCTTCATGAGATTGATTATCAAAATCACTATCGTTATCTTCGCTTCCGGTACCACGTGATGACGACGCCATTGGTGACTGTTGATCGGTTAGTTTCTCTTGACTGTCATGACGTTTGTCAATAGTTACTTGGGATGATGACGATGTGTGAATCCCACCTAGAACGACAAAATTTAAATGTATTCTCAAGGTTAACTTCGTTCATTATTATTGCCGAGTAATTGTATTGAACTTTATCTATGTTAAGTTTATCTGATTTCTTCTCTCGCGTACGCGTGTCTATCGGTTTAGCTCGATCGAAACGAGAGAAAACATCACTGACAAACTAATACGATCATTATCAACTCACGAAATCGATTTACGCCGAGAGAAAATTCTTTAAAACAAAACGAAAAGCCTTGAGGATAGCAAAATTTGTCTGGCACTTAAGAAAACACATTTTCGATTAAAATATATTTACATAGACAAGAACAAGATTTTCAAAGACAAATTCATCGAGCTTACTTCTAGTTAGAGAATAATCTTTGTTAACTACTTGTTTCTTTGTTTGATGTTTTGAATAAGAAGGAGAAAAAAAGAGAGAAAATGAGGAAGTTTGAACGTGCACTTGCTTCAATGATATAGAAACAAGAGAGAGAGAGAGAGAGAGAGAGAGAGAAAACCGAGGACAAACAAAACGAGAAAAGAATGGGGAAGTTGCACGCTCGTGAGACCATTAAGAATGCTTATATATACATACACACACATACCTAAATGATGTTTAATATTCTATATATACTTGAATGATAGAGGGAATAGAACAAAAGACAGAAAAGTTCTCATGCAAAGATTTAATTATCCTGAGTAAATGAATGTTTTTTTCCTTCTTCTCTACAAGAACAAAGGAATCAAACTTACTATCAGTTTGATGATTCGTACTTGTTGTGGCATCGAGATCAATGGTATCGACACTGTCATTGCCTTCAGAGTTCTCTTCGTTGTCGGAACCATCGATATGGCTGATGGAGGGTTTTTTATAAACGACATCGTCATTATCGTCATGTGTTTGCAAATAATCAAATGCTTGTTCAACCATTGCACAGCATAATGAATCACTTGGTGCGAAACTACTTCCAGATGTTGCTGACTCTTGTGCTTGAGGATTCTCTATCATCGGAAAATCCGTTTCCAGTAATTGCTCGCTTCTTTTTGCCGGTAGCGGTGGTGGTGATGGCCATTCTTTGATATAAGTAGATTCCGGACGAGGATGTATGCCGATTAATTGTACATTATTATTATTATTTGAATTGGAATGACATTCGGAAGTGGATAATGGTGATCGACGATGAGCAAGTAATGGGGAATAGTGATTTTGTTGTGCACTACGATAGATGATAGGTGCAGATGTGATTGGTTTCGATGAGAATGTAGGTCTGTCGGGCAGATTTGCTGTCGAACTCGACGATGATGATTTATCAGTATCATACGCATGTAATTGCGCTTGCCGATCGAATAGAGTTAGGCCACGAGATTTCGGCGGTGTTGGGACACTTGGCGGAGCCGCCATTTGATCTATTGAAGAGAAGACAAAAGAAGATTTTATGACTAATTTCTATCAAGTAACTGTTGTTCGATAACTTTGACTCATCTGACTCATAAAACTCTACAAGTGATGTGTGTGTGTGGGCAGGTGAACAGATGACTTTCATGCTGAAAAACAAGATAGAACATTATCAGCGAAGCAGAACACAAAAACAACTGTATTTTAGAAACGATGTCGATACGCGAAACAATCACTAGCAGGTGTTCTGTTGACTGAAGCATCAGAAGGGATGTAACATGGCGAACTCGCGTTTTTACCACAGACAAGCAAGAGAGAAAATGACAAACTATCACAAATCGAATGTTTCATGCTTGTCAGAACGAAAAATGAGACATATTTTTTTCTGTATTTTATTACTCACAATTGACTTTGAATTGTTGTTTGTAATGATACATGTTTTACTTATTGCAATACGTGAGAAAGACCTTTTATTTTGTTATTCTAATGACCAGGAGATCTCTTTTTACATGTATATGATCAAATGTCCAGATAGTTGATGATGATCATCAATCTCTATTGTTGTTTGACTAAGTAAAGACAAGGTGTATGTGTACAAGTTAGTGAACATAATGAAGAAAAAAAAACGCGCGCAAGAGAATGAAAAAAGAGAGAAAGAGAAAAGAATTGGCGATTGTTCCCGTTTAACTCCTCCCTATTCACCGCCCATACTCTCTGTCTTTTACTTAGTACACACGCCCATAAGCGGATCATGTTCATTCGTTCGTTCGCTCACTATACATATCATATTCTTCTGTTATGTATAAAGAAAAGTATGATTGTATAATAACAACGGCGTCAACCATGTTAGTCCTCGACGTTCAATTCGCAGACGCGACAATGTCAGGCTCCGAAAAGAAAAACAATATAACATCGTTTTGTTATAGAAATAGTCATGACTGATGGTTATAAAATGCGAAATATCATCGTTTAATAAAACGTATGTAAAGATTAAGAGGAACGGACAAGAGAGAAAGAAAGACAAAACACATGCCTCATATTTTAACATTCTTAAACATCAACGAGTCTAATCTCGTATATTTCATGCTGAATCTTTTCGGTAGAAATCCAAGACTACTTCACTAAAGTAAATCGACTAAAATCAATATTATGAAAGAAAAAAATTTACCTAGCTTGCATAGAACGATACCAACGATGATATTTTGTTCTGTTTGTCTATACCTTTGTAACTCATATGCCGTTTATAAATATTTGTGTGATTCATCATCGCCCGAGCGTGCGTCTAATCTGATTCATTCATTTCTTTTCTCACTCATTTTTTCATTCGCTTACATCTCTCAAATGACGGCCTGTTAAATTACCTTGATGGAGGTATAGGCATAGAAAAGTGATTCTCGATGGTGTTTCTTTTTTTTTGAAGAATTAATTTCGAACAAGTTGAACTAACATCGAAAATGTTAGTACCGGTTTTTTCTTTACAATTAAATCATAAAGTTTTCCCTCGAACGGTTGCCGTGGGTAAATTCAACGGCAAAACGTCATGTCTCGTTGGTGCAACTGCTGGAAACAAAGTAGAAAACTCACTTCATTTTTCCTTGTGCAAAAAACGATTTTTGTACAGGTTTTTATTCATTCTCCACAAGACAATAATCCTCAAGCACAACAATTGGAAGGCAATGTTTCGCTTTTAAATGTAAATCAAGTTGTTACAAGTTTAGCATGTGGTCAACTGGACGATCAATTGAAAAAAGATTTGCTCGTTGTTGGAACAAGTAGCAACATAACTGCATATGATATCGATCGTAATGTCGATTTATTCTTTAAAGAAGTTCGCATTGTCGATTCATTTGCTTTGTAATGATGTTTGTTTTTGCTTCAGACTCCAGATGGTGCAAACGCCATAACTATCGGTAAATGGGGTGAATTACCCGAACAATTAGCGATTGTAGGTGGAAATTGTTCAATTCATGGTTTTAATAAAAAAAGTGAGGATGTTTTATGGACAGTTACGGGCGATAATGTTTCATCACTGGCATTACTTGATTTCAATGGTGATGGTTATAATGAAGTAATGTTATTAGGCTTTTCCTTCATATTTTATGCAATGCTTTTTGTCGAATTCGTGAATAGCTTGTTGTCGGCTCAGAGGATTATGATATTCGAGTATTTCGAGAAGATCAATTGATAGCAGATATGCAAGAAACAGAAACAATTGTGTCAATATGTCCATTAATTGGTGCACGATTTGGATATGCATTAGGAAATGGGACTGTTGGCATTTATGAACGAACGAATCGAAATTGGCGTATTAAATCACGAAATTCTGCGGTTGTGCTACAAGCATACGATGTTGATGGTGATGGTGTCGATGAATTAGTCACTGGATGGAGTAGTGGCAAAGTAATTTGATTGATTGTTGAATGTTCGTGAATAATTCATGTTCATCCATAGGTTGATATTCGAAGTGATCGTAATGGAGATGTCATTTTCAAAGATAGTCTCAATTCATCGGTAGCTGGAATTGTCAAAGTAAGATTAAGCTGGGATAGAATATGATTTGTTGGATTGGTTTTGTGATTAGGCAGATTACCGAGTACCGGGAGAAAATTTATTGATCTGTTGTTCGAATGAAGGTGAAGTTCGAGGATTTAAATTCTCGGCACAGGACAGTAATGCAGCTGCAGCTAATCTATACAAAGATCGACAAGAAGCAATTCGAGATCTAGCTCAGAAGAAACAGGTGAGAGAGCATATGTACAAAATCAACAAGCAAGAATATCCAATCGTCTATAGGCACTGTTACTGGAACTTCAAACTCTCGAAGAGGCCGCAAAAAAAGCTAAAGATTCAAGTAGTACTAACAACCGAGCAGTGACATTAGATTCCGAAGCTGATATTCCGGTAAGTCGATTAATGTGTAATTGTTATTCATTTCATCTTTTAAATATAGGCAAATACAGAAATACAAACAATATTAACAGTCGAGAGAAGTCGAAGTGATTTTCCAGTAAATAATATTTGTTTCACTGAAAATATGATCAAATTGATTTTCTTTAGGCACATATTGCAATAAAAATGAAAACATCCAATCGTAACAGAAATGAATTTCGAGAAATTCTCATGCATATCCTTCTTGTTTAGACACCGTTATAAGAGTCGTCACACTTTTTGCTGAAGGTTTATTCAAAGGCGAATGTTTTGTTGTGTAAATATCTCTTGATCAAAATGCTGTCAGAAAAAAAAACACTTTTTTTAAAATAATTTAGCCATCCGGCTGCGAATCAAGTCCGAGAAAACATCGTTGTACCAATCATACCGCCTCGTGATGCGTCGGTAGATTTACATCTTCAAGTTTTTGTTGGATTGAAATCAAGGTTTGACATAAGATTTCATTCATGAAGAAGAGAAACTTCATTTCTGTGTTTTAGTACTCTCTACCATGTTTTTGAATTGGCTCGGCCATTACCAATTTTCTCAATGTATCTATTGGTTGAAAACTCAACTGATCATGAGCCGAAAGGTTTCGTTAATTTCACGATCAATGAACGTATTCCACGAGTGAGTGATGAATCGTTTCTCTACTAATCAAACTTTCTTCTTTCCAACAAATTCAAGATTCTCGTTTGGATCAATCATCATTTCCTTCTTTCGGAAGAATATGCACCCAACACACCAAGCTTGTACGTTACATTTCTGGCCGTTCGAACAGACACAAAGTTAGTTATTAAAATGCAAAACACCGGACAGGTAATTTCTTTGTCATGAGCTAATTCAATTTTGAGTATGATTTCTATCAGATGCTGATTCAAACCGATGATATGGAATTGGCTGGAAATATTATTCAATCCTTAGGCAAATTTTTGAATATTGATGCATTACAAACAACATGTGATTTTCCACAAGAACTTGACATGCTGCAGAGAATATTTTCTCAAGTAGGGTCTTTTCGGGATTGTTAAAACTTGAGAGTGTACGACATGGGTTTGTTAGATTGAAGAGTATCAAGCGGCTCGACAACGAATTTCGTCGGATATGGCCGAACATGCGAATATTATTCGAAGCTTTTTAATTCGTGCTGAAGACGCACGGTTAATTGGTGACATGTAAGTGAAGCAAATTGAAAGAAAACGATTAGTTGAGTCGATATCTTATAGATCGGTTATGAAACGACATTATATCGATTTATTAAACTTGAATCGCGATTTAATCAATGGATACAAGATTCGCTGTACAAATCATGAGGAGCTAATGAAGAACTTACGATATCTGAACCAAATGGTGCAAAAGGCAGGCAATTTGCGAAGTAGGAAGATTTTTTTCTCGAGAGTTTCCATGATGAAAATGATTTGCATTTTTTCAGTTGGAAAGTTTAAAACAACAACTGTGAATCAATGTCGTGCAGCAATCAAATCAAATAATACTCAATTATTGATGAAATCTATCAAAACAGGCAGTGCCTAGCGTATTCATTCATTTATAAATAATACCTTTCCGAATCTTCTCTTTCTTTTTTTTCTACTGTTTGATGTTGTTATTTTAATAAATTATAAATCTATTGAAAATATCAATTACAAATGCCAAGGAAACGACAGCATTTCAAGTCTTCCTCTTATCACTGTAGTAACGTGTAATTAATATTCAATTGACGAGATACATTTCTTTTTATTGAATAGAGGTCGCTTTGATTGGTAGACGTAACATATATATACATCATAAGTCGCTAGGTGAACAATGATGGAGGAAATGTCATAACTAAAATTTTCACTATGCCTACTTTGTCATTCAACTGAAATAAAAAACATTCGGAAGAATTGTCAATATGGCAACGTCTGTCTCTGTTAGAACAACTTCACATTCAGTACACCATTCGCTCACCATTGATGAGCAAAACCAATACTATGGTACGACCAATGATGATATCATCTGTAGAGATTATCTCAATGAAATGACACCTCCTCAAAAACTGCAGTCCAAGTAAAAGTAGAAAATTTGGAAAAAATTTATATTGAATTTGTCTTTGCAGAGATGCACTTCATCGTCAAAATACAGATCCGTACAGTGTACCACCACGTGCTTCATCGGCTACTACCAAACAAATTATATCACCTTATCTACAGAAATTACCTCATTCTAATTATATTCAAACTGTTCTACCACCGCCGGCATCGGCGCAACAACGACGACAACAACAACGTCGTCGTCGGTCTACCTCTATGGCTCGAACGCGAGATGAACAATTGGATTCTGCCTATCAACCATCCAATGTCGATCATCTTGACTTAAGCACATTCTTTGGGCACGGTAATCGTTCATCGGGTCGTCCAACAAGTGCTCCGATACGACCGTACGTTTCCGCAATCGAAGAGAAATCTTTTTCCATTGCCAAGATCTTCTTTTATTTTCAGTAATACATCCACTACATCAAAAAAACGTACTAAAACGTCAACGCAACGCTCAAGTTCGAAATCTCAATCATTCCTCATCACAATCTATCGCAATGGCAATCATGAAAAGCATTGTTATTGTAAAGCCACGTCTTTGAATGCCGTAAGTTTCGTAACAGACATTTGATCGTATCTCATCGATGAAAACTTAGATTTTTCAATATGCAACTGAAAAACTTCATATGGCATCGGCTGCTCGTCGTTTATTTGATGCCAACGGACAGGAAATATATCGCAGTGAAGATGTTCATTCGAATCAAGAGTACTTTGTTTCCAGTGGAGAAAATTTCAAAGATCCCTATCGATCAATTAAAGGTAAGATACCATACATTGCTCGATAAGCAAAATACGCATTTATATTTAGTTCAAACGGAATACAGTCTAAATTCAACATGGACAATGAGAGGTTTACAAACGGACACGACGAAACCGAAATCATTCACAACAACAGCAGCTATATCGAAACGTTTAGAGTATGCTTTACATTGATTGGTCGATACATAAACACTGTTTGCTGGTAATTTTAGCAAACAAATCAAAACAAGTATAAATTTAATGATTTTCGAGAATGGCCTAGGCCACGATACAAATGCCTATCATATTTTAATTGATTCGCTCGTTAGAGACAATCTAGAAAAGGTTCCGTTAAGAATTATCTCTCTAATTTGAATTCACTATTACCTATTTTAGTTCCTTGATTATTCGACGCAACGATTACAAATGACTGGACATGGACGAAAGGCATTTACTTATCGGGGTGATCCCATCAGATCGCTCAAACTTTGTAAATAACTATTCGAATAACTTTGATTTTATTATAAATCAAATTATGTTTTCAGTCTTGGAATCGGACGATTGTAAAATGCAAACTGTAAACGATGGCATCATCTACGGACCAGTTTGGGTTAGCAAAGGCGAGAAATTTCGTCCAACAGGTGCTTATGTGTTTCTCGAATCGCGTTACAAGGAATGTCAAAGTCAGTTGAAAATCTACCGGGCTGAGTATCGAGAAATTAAGACTGTGATTAAAAAACGTCAACGAAGAACAATGAATGGTAATGAACAAAGTGACACAGGTGATGAACTACGTGTGTCAACAACAGAAGGAACCGATGGAGAAGATGAGAAAGACAATCACAAAACAGCTGTTAAAAACAAAAGTCTGTTATCAATGACAAAGAAAGAGCTGAAAGAGCTGAAAGAGGTACGTAGTGGAAATCATACGTGTAGGAATGACGTTTTGTTTGTTTTAGGCATCAGAAGCTAAAATTGAGGATGTAAAAGAATTGATGAAGTTCTATCAAACTAAGATGGAAGAAATTGAGGATATGAAAAAGGACGAAGAAGTAACACATCAATCTTTGACTTGATAAAAAAAATTGTGTTTTTCCGATATTTCAGAATTTGGGAGCAAACTTTGCCACAGAACACATCAAAGAAGTAAAATTTGAAGATAAAATTGTCGGATTACATCCAATTTGCTTATTTGTATGTGATCTATTCCTCCTTGCACATCTTTCATGTCAAAGCTATTCTAGGTGCATGAAAATGGATCATATCATAAATCGGATCCAACAATCTTCTTAAATCTTCGTAGTTTACCATCAAAAACTATCCCACAGACGCCAATCGAATATTTACTCACTTATTTACAAACATCGGTCGCCGTATTCGGACGACAGCGACCAAAACGTGTCTTTGATATCAATGGAACTGAATTAAAACTTCTCGGACACTTAAAATCCAAGCAGCATATATTCATATCCTATGGAGAAGACTATCGACCGGCGTTCGGTACGAATTTTCTTTCGCGGAAAATGATGACTGTTGATAAAATGTATTTCTCCATTGTAGAACCATGTCTTGCGATTCAATTGCATAGCGTAGAAGTTTATAACCGAGAAGCTGGGCTGACATTATTGAAAATATTTCGGACAGACGATGACATGATGGCGGAGAATGAAAAGCGATCGGCTAAGTAAGAAAATGTTACGAAATATATCGATTGAATATTCATTTTCATTTTTTGTAGGCAAGTTGCAGCAGCTTGGCAAGTGACGGACACGATTCCCGAGAATGTTAAAACCATCAATACCAAAGATCTTAAAGACGACGAAAAACAAGCTGTCGAAGGCAAACCAATCGATGAACGTGTTGATCAACGTGTCACATTTCTTACCAAGGACAAGAAATTGATCTATCCTGAATTGAAAATCAGTCAAATCACCGCGTCGATCGGAAAGCAAAAATCATCAGGTGGAAAGCCATCGAAAAAAGTTTTCTCCGATACTGATTTACAAACTTGGTACTACGACAAAGTATGTTCCATGTTCTTTCCAACAACTTTAGTTCATATCCAATTGATTTTAGGATGGCTATATCTACAACAAGCAGATCAACACTTTGGTATTGACAACTATACCTGAGGAAAACGTTCAGATGACATGGACAGCAAGTAAATTATCGAAAGCTCAAAATCGATCACAAGAACTCAATGGTTTCCGAGTTCAATTGCGAAGCCGAGCAACCGAACCATCGGAAAAGCAAATTTGGGACTTTACTGCTGATGGTTATATTGTATCTAGAGCATATCCAAATTATGCACTGACAAGTTTTGCAACGATCATTCCCGGCGAGGACGAGACGTTTGTAGCAGGCGGAAAACGAATGAATGAAAACGACGCGTTTGTTTCATTTGTTGCACTTTGTCCGAAATGTTCAGCAGATTCGCCATTCATGCATCGACAGCGGTAAAACTAGTTAGTTAACAAACGATTGATAAATCTGGTTTTTTTTTTCGTCGAAAATAGTTGGGGTATTCGACAAACGTCTGGTTTTACGATTGGCGATTGGAAGCATTCGAAAGTAGAAAACCCTATTTGGCATAAGATGGCTTTGACATGGCCAGTTGATGCTAATGGCTCGATGATACCTGTAAATATTTACACATACCTGAACTATTTGAATAATCGAGAGTATTTTTCTAGGATTTACAATGGCCAATTGAAGGTTGTTTTATACCAGGTGTTCCGCCAATAAAATCACTTAAATATTCTCAAGCACCAGAAACTTGTACGTATAGTCTGGACGTCTCGAAATGTATCTACTGCTTTTATTATAGTTGTTCCAATTCGTTTACAAGTTTTGAAAAATGGAGAACGTGACACTAGCAAGGCAGTATTCGTCGTTGGACCTGATATTTCTAATGTGAGTAATTGCTCTTTTGCTTTCTGATTCTCTAATTTCGTATGTCTTTTGTAGCTCATTCTGGAACCAAAATCTTCTTCCGATATGTATCGACGTTTACGTATTCCCGAACCTGAGAAAGAACAACGTGCACATCGACAAATCAAACGTATGGCTGATGCTCGTCAACGTGAAATGAAATTAGTTCGTTTTGAAAAGAGTTTCTTACTGGAAAAAAAGTAAAAGTTCATTTGTATTTTGTAGTTCTTAGAAAACTGTACCACCCTCTGTGGCCTTCCATTCGCTGCTCGCCGTTTATTTGATGAACATGGCACCGAATTATTTGATTTAACATCTATCAGACGCGATTCCTTGGTCTATGCAACATGTGGCGAACAGTGGATCGATCCTGAGTTAACCAAAGCTGAACAGCAACGTCGTTTGTTATTAGCCTATTTGAGCTATGATGTTCGAATGATATATTTCTACTGTGCGTTGAGATATCCGACAGGTAAAAAAATCTTTTGTACGATTTACTCTTGAAGAAGACTTTTACTTTAATAGAATATGTCGTTTCGACGGAAACGGCTTTGGGTGAGAATTCACGATTAGTTCTGAGTAAATGTGTCTTGACTGTTGGACAACGCAAACGTATTGTACAAGGTGAATCAGTTCAACATGTGATGGAAAGTAAAGAACCTGTTGAAGCACCAGCAACCGAAGCCGAGCCAAGGTAGGATAGTATTTCCTCTTACTTTAGCGTTTTTTCTCAATTTCTCTCCTTCTCTTTCTCCGATTCTAGTGATGAGTATGTATCTACTGATGTAATCTTGTCATCATGTGTGTTTTGTTTGTTTTTTGTGATGCGATTAATATGTTTTGAATCTAATGATGAATAGTTATTGAATGATTTTATTTGTTCTATAGGACAGCGCATGAACGCACTCATAAACGACTTGATCATAGAAATGAAGACAAATTTCGTTGGCCATGGGAACGCATTGCTAATAAGAGTCTGGATCTCGGCGGAGACAACGAAGATAAAACTAATCGCGATAGTGATGATGATGATGTTATCAATCCAGGAGATTTATCACCGAAACCCATGTCAACTTTACCGAAAACAGCATTACTTTCTATGCAACAATTTCGTTGGGATCCATCGGGTGGTTATATCTCAAGTATGGACGACTCGAACCTGGTATTTGGTGTCAAAGAAATCGAGAGTAAAGTAGTAGATGTCATATTAAAACGCCGAAATCCTGATGATATATTTCAACGATGGGTTCTTGTCCCATCCAATGATGGCGATGCAAATTCATCGGATATCGATTTTACTAAACCATTGTGAGTGTTAATTACTTCACGCATATGCGAATAAGTTGATGTTTTGATTAGTTTGATCGCTTCAAAAGCTCGACCAACGATGGTTTTAACTGTATTACTTCCATCATGCACTTTAAATGAATCAAGTGAAGTTACCATTTCTTGTATTGGTTGCCTAGTTACGTTACAACCACGGCGATATGAAGAGAATGGTTGTGCTAATCAAAAATGGGCGTATGACGAAAAACTTGGATTTCTCTATCCTTTCAATGCTACAATTACCGACCGAGGTGAGAATTTCGCTTCATATCTTTACAAAAGTCTAGCGAATAGTTCGTTTCAGAAATCACCGCAGCTAATCGAGCGAATATTTGCTCATATACAGTGAACTATGAAGCATTGTCTCAACCGGTAAGTGTTGCTGTTTTCGAAAGGGTTGCGAAAAATATTGATTTGACATCTGCGTAGGGATTTAATGTTTCAATTTTGAATACAAATGATCAGTCTGAAGACGTACCTGTTTGTCTTGCTTGTGCGCAAGCAATGCGTGGAAAATATCGACTAGTTAAGATCGAACCCGAGAAGAAATTTCCATGTGCTATCGGAAAAAGTAAAATTTCCATTTGTCCTTACTCAAATAACGAGAAGTTTGCATTGGTTTTGTCTAGGAACTGATTTGAAATTTCATGGTCCATTTCATTGTCTTAATCATAAAGTCGATTTGACACGCGATGAAGCTGAGAACACACTCTTTCAACGGCAAGAACAACTTGAACAGTATGATGATATTTCCTTTGCTAATTATGAAAAAACAACTGTTCGTACTCTTTTTGAAGACTTCGACAAGAAGCGAGCGTTCGAAATATTGCAAAAGAGCTAGCAGCTGCAAAACAAGTTCAAATTGTTCATTTACTTGCTTATCGAAATGGAGATGGCCATACACGACAAGGCAAAATCTTAGTTGGTTCAAGCATTATCGGTGTAAGTATTCTCATTCCTGTCAGTTCAAGATTATCGATCATACGTAATACTTTCCATTTAGTTGCTTGACCAAGCAACACATCGATTGGATTTAACAAATGCTGCTCGACGTTTTTACGTCGGTGATGGTACAGTTATTCTTAGCATTGAAGATCTCATTGATTGGGTTACCGAATATTACAAAAAGTGCTATACGAAATTATCGAAGCAACCACGTAAGTCTTTCGACGCTATCGTTCATATAATATATTCTTTCGTAGAAACTCAACTTCTCGATAAAGTAGAACTGAATACACCTTTACCACTCCAAAGTAATTCACAGTGGAGATCGTCATGGAGCATCCTCTTTACTGTCCTGCTTAGCCTTCGGAGAAAGCTTCGTTTCAGGTTCAATTAGTTACATAGAAATGAATTGAAAACATTTTTCTAAAGAGGATATAGGACAGGAGGATATATTGCTTTGTGACGGTCTCCAATTGGCAAGCTTTTATCTACATGATTATTGATGTTGATTTGTTTCTAGATCCCGAAGCACAACGACGTTCGAGTACTGATAGTCAATCGGAAAAAACGACGTTTTCTGCTAAGATGCGGGATATAAGTCCAAATAAGCAACATTTTCAAGGTTTACCAAAATCTTCGGATTTAAAACGAGCAATAAAACAAAATTCAGCGAAACGAGGACTTGACATCGATATGAATTATCTGCTTAAATTCCCTATTGAAGTTTGGGTTTCATCAGGCGAAGGATTCGTCAATCCATCTGGTTTGTTTCAATACATCTTCGACTGCTTCTTTACGTAAACTAGTTGATTATAGATGTTGACCAACGTCATAATGTTCGTATTGTTCAACGCGAAGAACGCACACCTGTCGTTCATGAATTGGAACGGGAAAAGCATGCCTTACGTCTTATGAAAGGTTGAATATCAACTTGTACTATGATGATTTGCATTGAGTTTTACATTTAGGACGACGCATTTCGAGCCAGTCGACAGGTGAATTAGTCAGTCAACAAAATCCTGATATACCTGTTGTAAAACAAGGACATTGGACACAACGTTCCGATACTGAACTCGATCAAGAAGATAATGTTGAGAAAATACAAGTAAGATTCGCCTCTCTTCAGAAAATCTTCTAATCAATTGTTTGATTCAATTTAAGACATCATTAGATGCAATTATCTCGTCGCAACAACCTGAACATACACGTCCTGCCTCATCCGCTGCTCTGGATCGACTTTCTCAACATTCAAAATTGGTATTTTGAAAAAACAACGAGATTAGGAGGAAGTTTCGAATATTGATATTTGTTTAGAAACGCATTGCGATCTATTTGAATGGTGACTCGACTGAATCAGCTGTTCAATGCTTTGGTAGTAATCTTCAAGAGATGATGGAAAATGCCAAACAAAAGTTGGGTTTAATGCAACCAGTTCTAGCCTTATACGATGAAAATGGGCGCATTGTAAGTAATTCGCATTCGAGGAGAATTTTGGCGGAATATTTTTATGATCGTTTAGATTGAACGATTTGACCAATTAACTCGTGATCAATTAGTTTGTGTCTCTACAACACGAACTTATATCGCTTCATCGGAACGTCAACGTGAAGTCGATATAAAAGCTGAGTGGGCGCGTACCCGCAACAAATATGGCGATCAAGCCACAGATATTCGTGTTAATTCAACACTAGCATCATTTCCTCATGCTGCCGATCCATTCGGTCCACCATTATTAACATCAGAAGATCGAGAACAATCCCGTCCAATGACGAAACCACCACCTGCACCCTATCGACGCTTAGCTATTGAACAGCCAGCACCCAAAACTACCACTGTAACGGAAATTACACCCTCACCCTCAATGATGAAAGATTCATTGATGTTGAGTGATGACGATGAATCAAATAGTGAAATCGAACGTATAACTAATAGCGGAACGGATGGCATTGAAAGTAGTCGTCCAATATCCCCAAGAATTGGTACACAACCCAGCAAAAGTCCATTTTCCCAACTATTCACAACTGAACGAGCGCCGTCAGTAGCAACAAGAAATCCACCATCGACAAATAAGTCAGATAGTGATGAAGATGAATTTATCAAGATGTTAAGAAAATAAAAGAATTTGAATTTCGGAACAAAAAAAAACCTATTGTTGTAAGCGTGCGTGTTCATGTGTGTGTGTTGTTTAACAAGGATTTAATAAAAACTATCATGAAAAACGGTTCGATGATCACTTTATCTGGAATGTTCACAAAGTAACGGATGAATTGATGATGGTCGACTATCTGGATAGCAACATGAATGTTCTGTTTGATTCAAATAATGAAATCCATCGTTCATTGTTTGAATGAACGGGAATCCAGCGTGTCTTTTTAACCGATTGAATAAATCACGCATTTCAATCGAGTTTTTACTTCCATGCACGAGAATAAATGCTGTGTGACAGAATTCTGTACAGTGATGTTGACGTGCTTCATAGACCGAGAGAAAAGTAAAGAAAGGATCTATTTTACACAGAGTATGATTAGCTTTTGCTTTCCATAGGAGAACATTGATGCCTGTTTCATCATAGTTAGCACCAAGGAAATATCCTTTCTGCATGTAAGTGAGCGCTTCTCTCAGAAATGCATACGAACGAAACGTCCATAGTAAATGTGCGTGTATGTACGGTGTTGTGCGATTAGAAAAATCCAATTCGAATTGTTTTAAGAATCGTTTGTAGTTTCGCGGATCATCTGGATGACGAGGAGCTATTGGCAACGCGTATGGCCATTGATGTAGAACATCAAAAAGTACATCGACATTCCAATTAACTAACGTATCAGTTTCGATATAGATTCCATACCTGACGTTACTACGCACGATTGCAGCTAGTTTACAAAAATAAATCGATTGGCCGCAATCGCTTTGTTTTAAACGTCGTTGAATTGAACGAGGATATTTTTGAAAGTTAAGCTTTAAATCAACATCGATTCCATAGACGATAATTGGACGAGTTGAAAAGAGATGAACAGAATCAAGAACAGTTTCTAATAAAGCAAGATAATCAGGATTACTATCACAAAATGTAACAAATGCTTCTTCAATTGATTCGGGAATGGAGGTTTTCACAGAAGGGTTTGTCGTTTGTGAAAAATGTTTTAAAGTATAGATGATAAATAACAGAGTGAAGCAAAATGCGATTATTTTTGTAGTACGCGATTGTAACATTGAAATATTGAATTGAGAAAGAAATGTTTCTTGATGTGATTTATTTTGATCATAAATGACGGAAGTAATTTGTGACTGGAATGCGACAATTCCCTGCGGAGTTATCAAATTTTAATCATATAGATTGATGACAAGCAAGACTTAGTGCTATTTTCTTTAGAACGCTTTGGATTATCTGTTTGATTTGTTCATCGGTAGCTTGTTTTCGATGTTCCTTCAAGCACTCTCGACCTCGAGAGAGTATGTGTATTTTGTTCGCCAACAGAAAAGAGTAATTATGTGATCTGAACAGTTCGAGAAAAATTATTCATCATCAACGCCAGTAACGGTCTTTTTCTCTGTGAATTCATCGAAGAGATCATTACATTAAGCATTTATTATCTTTGCAATTCATTTACTTGCAAGCATAATCAATGACAGAGTTCATTTCCTTGCGTTTCTGATATTCATAGTGTCGTTTAGTACTGTTTTGGCAACACATACGTTTTCAAAAAATTCACTGCGTTGTTTCCGTTTGTCACTAACTAGTTCCGAAGTTGAATGCAATAAAATACTCTTCAAATCAACTTCATTGCTAGTCCTAGTCACATTCACAAGTATAGCGTAATGAGCAAGGTTATGTTATTTCAAATCTATCACAAAGCTAAGAGTGTAACGGGACATATCATCCTCTGCTGGCCTGGCATGATCGTAGTACTTGAGCGATATTCATTGTTTCCTGTTGTCTATAAAACTTTTGTGAATGAAGTGGGAACCTGTAACATAAAGAAGTCAAATATGTGTATGACTATCTCACAGACACTTCTCTCCATTTCGTTACAAGCACCGACCGGTTATAACGTGGGTTCAGTGCAAAGATTCACAACATTTGTACAGAATGTAATGTTGCTTTTTGTTTTCCAAGTAAATGAAGAAACCATCATAGAAAGCTAAGTAGATTTTCCTTTTGTTCGATCACAACTTGCGTAAACTTATCAGATATTCTAACCAACCGTAACATTACCATTGAAAATTCAACATATCGTCGAATAATAACATATTTTATTCATAATCATAATTTCTATAACTAAATTTTCTGCTACATCACGTTAACAACAAACAGTCCTTGATGTCATATTTTTGTTAAAAGAAAAAAAAAGATCTTTTCAAGCATTCTTGCATTCAATAGGCGTCTTACATAGAAGAAAAAAGTTTGCTGTTGTTTTTTTTCTTGAACGATGGTCAATATCGAACTTTGGTTTATTCCAATTGATATTATTTCCATAATTGGTACAAGTATAACTATTTTATTAGGTATCATATTTCTTCTTCTTATAATATTCAATAAAACAAGTCGTACAATTCCAATGATATTAATTGCAAACACATCATTGAGCGCAATTGCTTGGGGATCAAGTATGCTTAGTATAGCAATATTTACATTACAAAATGATCTTCAACGAATTGAAACTTATGACATATTTTGTATTATTCGACCTTTTTTTGGTTATGGTCTATGCGGCACATTTCATTTTTCATTGACTTTACAATCTCTATATCGATATATGATTGTTGTTCATCCAAAACGTTTATTTTATCAATCTATAAGATTTCAATTATTTCTTATGATATTAACATGGATTTCTGGTTTTGTTATTCCAATTGAATCCATTGCACGAAATGAATTAGTCTATAACATTGAGAATCAAATATGTCAAATTCCACTTCGATTCTCATTTTCGATAATTTATATGGCCAATTGTATTTATTTAATTCCAATTGCAATAACAATATTTATCTATTATAAATTAGTTCGTTATGTTAAGTCAATAAATACACATACAACATCTATTAATGTTATTATTCGTGCACGACGTCAATTAAAAATGGTAACACGTATTATAACAATAATTCTCATTCTATTATTTCTTGGTATTCCATATCTTAGTTTTATTTTAATGTCATTTTTTACAATACCATTCAAATATCATTTTCGAATTGCTTTTGTATTTGTTGATGTATCTATGGCTGCAGTTATGATTGTTTTGTTTCAATTTACCGAACAATTCCAAAGTTTTCTAATAGCAAAAAGAAAAGCACATCACAATATTGTGGCAGTTCTACCGGTTGTACTCAATTGAAATCAACGCTGTGGAAAATTTTCTTTTTAGTTCCATCAAAATTCATTGATTATGTCATAAGACACATTGAATGATACTTTATTTCAAAAGTAAATCGTCGGATCGCGTAACCATCGACTCATTTTCTTTTTTTGGTAATTCTTGCAGAAGATCTTCTAATCGTAACGTTTTACTATGTGTGTTAGTGTGAATAGTATGAATTCTTCATGACTTTCGATCATTACAATTGGTAAAGTTAATCGATGTCCCGAATCAAAATTTGGTGTTTTAAAGAAGTTTTATACGATCGATTACTTCTTGTTGTTTCTTTCAATCATCTTTTTTATGGCTGATGTCGTATTTGGATTAATCAACTTCAACAATTGTCTTTATGGTGGCAAATATGGCTCTTTGCCTAAACAGATTGCTCTTGGACTTGCTATCCTTTTGATTCAATCGATGGCTGTTTTGTATCGGTAAGATCACCATAATTTTTCTTGTTGAACTTATTTGCTAATTTCATTTTTTGTTAAAAGCAATGTGTATTCTGGAGATAATAGTTTGTATACTTTTGTTTTTCAGGAAGACACCAAACAACATAATACATTCTCCACTAAAACTGCGTATATAATTTCCACATTGATTGTTTGGTGTTCCAATATCTTCATTATAGTTTTCATCTTTGGGTTTTTCGCTCATCAGATGATAACGTTTCTTAGTTTACCTGGGATATCATGTTTTGTTGCAATTTGTTATCCTCAGAAAATTATCACTGCGATGGAAATCGTTCTATTTAAAAAAAGATCTAAAAGTAATAGCTATGATTTTGGTTGGAGTTATACGATGAAACTGAACAATGATCGGACATATAGTGTGTAGTTTTCGTCTTCTTTTCGGACTAATTTGAAGTAATAAATAAATTCTTTTTTTTAGAAGAATAGAAAACATTCCATCAAAAGAAGTTAGATATAATTTATGTACAATGATTTGTCAATGCTGTGTTCTTTCTTCTTTTTTTCTATACAAACACACACAAACACCGATAAATTTGATCTTCATGTTATTCGATAGCTATGTAGCATTTGATTTAATTCTCTGATTCTTATTACAAATCACACTCATCGTCAATTGTTCACTGCGGTGCATCTTGGTTTTGATTAAAACTAATGGAGCATTACAAAACCTTATGCTCAAATGAATTCTCGTTCATAAAAATATCACTATTCGAGATACTTGTTTCACACAGATTGTTATTATTTCTCATGAGAGATACATTTAGCAAAGTAGATTTTTGTTTCGTTCGATCACCATATATATCTCATACATTTTACAGATGTCTCTCTTGTACAGAATTACTAGTCATAGTTACGATTGGTTAATGACTTTACTTATACTATTAACCTCCTTCACATTCGATCAGCTGTTGGTTATTCCTATCCTTAAAGTTTTCTCTCTTTTTCAAAAAGAAACTCATTCATTCATTCATTCAATAGTCGCGACCGATGAGATGAGTACTCTGAATTCATTATCTTCTAGTCCTTCACCGACTTTACAAAATTCAATTAATACTAATTCGCAATTAGTTCTATGCATCAATCCACTCTTAACATATAAACCAGATACTCTTCCAACACCTTTGATCACACCAAAAGCTTCGAATTTCTTTGATAACAATCATTCTCATGAACTTCTTCAACGACTTTGCGACCAAAAATCTCGACTAATTCAATTCTATGATACAGAAATCGATCGTCGACAATCATCTTCCCATTTATTAACATTTCTCAATCAAATCGATCAACTACTAAATGAATACCAAAGTCGAAACACGACCAATACGATTATCAGTAAATCGTATCCTACAAAGTTGCACTCTAGTCTTACGAATTCTACTTCAGATGATCCAACTAGACCAGTCGATGATGAATCTTATTCGACGTATTTTCATGGTAAGAATACACAAACATCTCCCGAAAAGGTACTTCTAGTCATTCAGATGGAACGTCTCTTGATGATTCTGATGAAATCGATGTATGTAACGTTCAAGAAAAAGTAACATTCAATCAAATTAATGAGAAGAGTTCGTACACCGACTAGTAAGAAACAAAGTTGGACGATAAATAATTCCAATGTTATTTTCTTCTAGTGATGATCACTCCTACTCGAAACTCAGTCGAAATCAGAAATATTCAACGAAAAAATCGACTGTAAAAGAAGACGAGCTTCATTACTATCTATGTGACTATACTCTTTAGATTCTTCAACTAAAACGTTATAAATACGAAGGATGTTGTCCATTGACGACACGTACTTATGGTCTTGATTCTCAAAAACATGGTATACGTCATTTTCCTTGTACGCGCGTCACAGCACCAATCAATCTCTGTAAGCATATCTTACTTTTTCTTTATTATGATCTGTTTACTTGATTAGATAAACATTTAATTCAATACCATCAATTAACTCATTCACCAGCTATGCAAATCGTTCGTTTAATTGCGGATGACAACGAAGAAGGTGATATTGATTTATTTTCATCGAAAGCGAACAGTTTAATTGCCACGCATCCAACAATATATCGTGCTAAATGTCCATTGAATGAATACGGCAAGTTTGGTATAACTGCAGAACACAAGATTCGTCTATGTACTCAACCGAATCAAACCGTCGGTGCGCCATCCGTACCGCCGAAAGACGTGTGTCTATATGATCATTTTGGTTCGTCTCCAATGATAGTCTTTCATCATCTGTTGATTGTCTTTTCTTTCAGTTGTTTATCATCAAATGAAACGTTCCTGTGCTCAACGTTTAGCTGAAGCAATTGTAAAAAACAAAGTCGAACAAGTCTTTCGTCCCGATGAAGAATTACTCAATGATACCTTTTACGTTCAATGTCCACTCCGACATCCGAAATCGATCTGTTGGAAATCTCCCATATCCACACGTCACATGGGTCAACACTTAACTGGCATTCACAAACTTGATCGTGCAGCACGACGTCAAATAATGCTTACATTACGTAAACAACCATCAGCATCCGTATCTGATGAAAATTAGACTGAACGAAATGTGTTTTGTTTTCCATTCCCTCTATGTTTTATATGCCTTGTGAACAGTATCAACATATACATATATACGTGATAGATATATATTTTTTTCGGTTTTTTCAGATATGATGTCTTCAATAAATAAAACTGAACATCAACAAAATGAATCTGTGTCGTCCGATGATGAAGAGAATTTCCTTGATGACGAACAAGATGAAGAACAAATCAATGTACTTGAACAAGTACAAGGATTGTTTTCATCAGATGTTTTTCCCAATGTTGTGGATATGTTCCGAGCATATCAATCGCAGTTTGATCTGATAGATTTTCTTAAAAAACATCAGATTCATTCGCAATACGATTACATTCGATTGATTAATTATATTCGTTCGGAAGTGCGTGTTGTAACTTCTGCTTCATTGACAATCATATTTTGTTTTTAGAAGCCTTCGGTTGAGACTTTGAAACAATTGAAATCATCGTCATCACCGCCTTGGACAGATGAAAAATACTTCGAAACAGTGATTGATAATGATCCAGCATTACAGTTTGGTAAGAAAAACGAAATAGAAAATACTATCATTGCCTGTGCTTTTAGATATTGAAGAAGATTTGAATCAACTCGGTGATTTAAGTATAACAACTAATGGACATGATCATGATGAATTGAAACAAGCAAAAGAAAGAATCCGACAGTTGGAAGATATGGTTGAAACATTGAAGTAATTGAAAGAAACACATTGTATTATAGTTCATGTTTTCTCTCTTAGATCGATGACATCTCGATTCTTGGATGATCAATCTTCCAAAGTGACAACAAGTGTTAAAACGAAAAATCAAGACGACGTGCAAGATGAAGGTTATTTTGCCACATATAATCATTACGATATTCACAAAGAAATGCTTCAGGTATGGTAAGTAAAGATTTGCATAGATACATGTCTATGAATGTTCTATCTGTCTTAGGATACCGTTCGTACGGAGAGTTATCTAGAATGTATCAAATCGAATGTTGACGTGTTTCGAAATAAAGTTGTCTTGGATGTTGGATGTGGAACAGGAATACTCTCGATGGCATGTCTTAAATATGGACAAGCGAAAATGGTTATTGCTGTTGATATGTCAGATATGATTTATGATGCTATGGCTATTGCAAAGTAGAATTGTGTATTTGAACAAGAATGAGAGAAAGAAAGAATTTGGTTTTAGAGAGAATAATATGGATGAATCGAAACTCGTTTTCATTCATGGCAGAATCGAAGATGTGACTTTACCCGTTGAGAAAGTAATTGATGAATTGAACCTGTAAATATCTATGTTACTTCCTTTTTCAAAGGTTGATATCATCATTTCTGAGTGGATGGGTAAGACACAAATACAAAACAAGATTTACGTGAATGAGTGACGAGATTTTTAGGTTATTTTCTTTTGTTTGAATGTATGTTGGAATCGATCATCTTTGCTCGAAATCAATATTTAGACAAAGAAAATGGTTTAGGTACGTTATTCATATTCCGTTCAATCTCGAATTGGGTTTTCTATTGATTTGTTTTAGTTTTACCCGATGATTTTTCGATAAATATGTCCGCGTTTCATTCCGATCGTCTCTATCACGAACATGTTGATTATTGGTCGAATGTTTATGGTTTCGAAATGAATACGATCACGAAAAATATTCTTGCCGATGGACATGTCATGATCGTCCCAGCTGAAGACATAGTCACCAGTGATTGCTGTATCAAAGTAGATAGACGTGTTCATCAGCGAAAGATTTGTGATGAAAGAAAACTTTTCAATTTAGAATTTGGATGTTTATACATGTTCAAATGATGATATCGGTTTTACACATCCATTTACACTTCAAGTACTGAAATCCGGTTCCATATCAGGTTTTGTATGTCATTTCGATGTGAATTTTTCCAAGAATCTTATTGAAAAGGTAAACACTTTCTTTCACGATCTCAGTCATTCTTATAACGAAGCCTCATCTAGGTTCATTTTTCGACTTCGCCTCGATCTCCGAGCACTCATTGGAAACAAACCGTATTCTTTCTTCCACGTCTATACAGCGTTCAAGAAGGTAATTCCGACATTCATTCATCGAATTTTCTTTCAGACTTTTGCTTTCTAGGTGAAGATATTCAAGGTAAACTGGTCTGTCAACGGCATCCACATGAAAAACGTGGTCTCATCATTCACATTCATGTGTTCGATTCGAAATTCAAATTCTATTTAGAATAAACTGCCGAAGTTGTTTTATACGTTGTTACAACAGAAAATAAAAATCAAACATCGATGATGACAGATGAAGAAGAATAAAAACGAGATTTGAATTTAATTTTTATCCAAGAAAGAAAAAGAAAAAACGACATAGTTTACTTTTGCGTTGCCGATGTTTTCTTTGCAAAAGAAAAATGACGGGCGCGCACTTTTTTTTTACACTTGTTTTTCATCGTGATGTTACAGATTGCCTTTCAATTGTCGTGCACTAGAGAATCTGAAAACGGATCTTTTTCTCTGCATTACTTACTTAAGATGTAAACGGCAACGGATGCCGATTGTTTATATTGTCAAATTTCCTTTGCATAATACTCATAGCGACAGACAGTTCGAAAAAAAATTCAAGCGAAAATTGTTAGATTTGTGTGACGAGGTAAGATGAATCAAGTTCATTTGATTATAACGAGCGTTTGCATTGTTAACAGATCACTTCTGTCATAAGTTTTGTTTTTCTCATCTTCTAGACTTTGTTTTAATCTAGTTCACTAGAGTCAAGTTATGAGTGGCAAAGAAAGTACAGGACATGATCTTGTTAGTATGATAAAAACGAATCCATTGATTTCACAGCCGAATGATGAACAATCAAATAAGAAACATGAGAAAGAATCAGGTGATTTTGATAATGATGACATTCAAAAGAAAATGAGTGGTTTAATTCATAATTTACAATCAGGATCGCCTGATCAGTCTGATAAAACTCCAACGAAAGTCGATGCCGAACGAATACGATCACCAGTGGCTGAGAAACAAGCAGAACGACCATCACGATCGACGAGTCCGCAAGTATCAAAACCACATGAAGTCTCCAAAATACGACCAGCGTCATTAAGTTCATCAAGTGATGATGAAAAGAAGAAGAAAAAAGGGGCCCAACGAGATTCATCCGATGAACATCATCGAAACTCATCGAAGTTCGTTAAAAACTTTTTCTCAAAATCATAAAACATTCTTTTTCTCTTAACAGGTCACCTAAACCAGAAATGAAACACGATAGGTGCGCACGAAACAGACAAAATAAAGTTCTTTGATTGTTTCCGTTCGTTTAGTTCTCAGACAAAACACGATACAACCGCTACAGCGAATACTCATAAGAATGCTCGTTCTTCATCAACGGATTCGGAGGACCTTCCCCGTTCGACATCGAAAAAAACTCAAGCGAAACATTCTCCACGCGATGGTGAAAAAGTACAGGCTATGTTTTTCTCTTTCATCGTCCAATAATTTCTTCTTTCAAGCGTTCGTCATCGCGAGAATCTAAAAAAGAACGTTTGAACAATTCCAAAGCATCTCAAAAAGAAAAACCTAAACCTAAATCTACGCATTCGACTGATGACGATACAACCGATGACGAACATCACACGTCTAAATCAAAGAAAAAGACAACCAATGGTACGAAACCCTATGTTTATTATTCATCAATCAACGTCAGTATTTAGATGAACATCATAAAACAACCGATGAAGATACCCACGTAAAGAAGACACATAGTATTCAAGATCTCGTTAATAAATCGATCAAACCATCAGGTATGTCTACGAAATAAAAACGGCTTTAAACGCTTTTTTCTCGAATAGATCCACATTCGGACACGGAACAAGCAAAACCTAAACGCCGACGACCGAAACGTATTTCTCGTACAACACAAACGTATGAACATATCTTCCGACGAATGGAACGTGACCAGCATGAGGAATTAGTTCCAACGAATGATACAGACAAAAATTGTCAAACACGAAAATCTCAATTATCTCCGCAAAAACGATCGTCGAAAAAATCCTATTCGATCTATATATCCAGCGATGACTACAAGTTGTTCTAGTCTCTGTTTCTCTCATGGAGTTATTCTCATTCTTTTATTTGTTTCAGATTTGAACCGGTTAACTCAAAAAAGTCTTCATCTGATCAACGAAAGTCGTCGAATACGCGTAAATCTGCACCAGAAAGCGGTAAATTATTGATTCTTCGTCCGACACAATCGGACCATCATAGCAAGGCTATTAGCACACAGCGTATTACTTCTGAACAAGCTATTGATTTGATTCGAAATGATAAAAAACAAGATTCATCATCAGCCGACCAACGAGCGAAATCCAAAACACGTAAACAACCTGAACACGCTCAGAAATTACCTCGAGTGAATTCCCCAGCATCGTCAACGGAACACGATCATCCACATAAAGCGAATGCTAAAGGAAAAACTAAAAAGAACGCCGCAGATGATTCGTTATAATCATTTGGAAAATTTCCAAAGACTTTATTTTTCTTCTTAAATAAACGATTCTTTTTAATAAAAAAATAAAAATCACCGCGATTCTTTATTTGTCGGCTTCAGCGACTTCTTTCGTTTTTTGCATTGCGTTCAAAACTACTTGTTTCGGGACGTTCCATGAGACTCGTTCGCCGTTCTTATCCGCTTCCCAATATTCTAACAAGCCTGTATCAGGATTGTACACATTAAAATGTACTTTATCGTCATCGAGAAGATCAGCTCGAACTTGAAAACGTGATTTGTCGAAATATATATTTTCCCGCAAAACCTTTCCATTAAGAGTCATCTCCCGATAGATTTCCTTTGCATGATCCTTTTCCGTTACTTTCACATCGGTTACCGGTAAATACTTGCTTGTGTTGTACATTTTGTCTACCATGGCTTCCCAGACTCGTTCCGGTGATGCTTTAATCGGTGTTGTCAATTGAACACCGAAGCCAGCGATTTCACTCGATTGATTAGCTGCTTGATCACTCATACCGTCTATGTTGTTATGATTTGATGAAAAGAAAAGATAGGAAAGGAAAGGAACAATGTCATATATTATATACAATCATCGTACGACAAAGAAAAAAAGCAATCATGTTGCAAAAATGCCCTGTTCGCATTTGTCACCTTAGTTATGATTACAATGACGCACACGCTTGATGGCTACATACGTCAGGACTTTTACATCTGAAAGATAATCAGATTTGCTTATTTATTCGATATTTTAATACGTTTATGCTAATTAGGAAGTGAAAATAGACGTCGTTCACAAAAGAACTACGACGTGTTTTCATCTAGTATTGACTGGTTGTCACATAATCATTTGAGTAAATAAAGGAATGTCATGTCATCGGTGCCCAATCCGAAATCCGTTAGACAACAAATAAGCTCGAAAAGAAAATACCTATAAATCGACTATAATCATCCATGTACGCGTACATTTGTTCATCTCCGTTCAAACTCATTATCGGTTAGATCGTAGAGAAGAACGATGAAAAAAAAAATTTCTATTTTTGATACTCATTCTTCTTCTCTCCATTCAATCGCTCGAACATTTCCTGTAAGTAAACGTAAACTCATAACAATGAACTTGGTTAATGTTGCAAATCGAGTCACTTGCATATTGATTAGGAATGTTATTTAGTAATTATGAGAAGAGAAGAAAAAGAAAGGTCAACTAAGATTGTAACAGAGATGATGGCGATCATATACTTGTTAACAGAACACATATGCACGTCCATTCAAGGTTTGATACATTTCCTTTCTTCATTCCTCTTCGAGAATAGCTTAGCTGAACACGTTAACTAGAATTTCTTTCTATATTTGCCTTCGTTTCTCTTTCTCCATCTTCGCGTTCGAGAAGCAAACAGATACGCGTATATACATCCCTGTTGAAACATACACAACACACGCATCGCCATTTAACGTATGTATCCATGTCAAATAATGATTAAGCGAGGTAATTTTTTTGTTCTCTGGTCGATGTAATCTAACAAGATACTAATGGAAGAAAAACTCCAAGGTCGAAAGATACTCGGTATCGTGTGTGTGTTTTTTTTTCGTTTTTATACAACAAATTCAACGTTTGATCTATGGATTTTCGGGTCACGAGTCAAACATTCTGCTGACTGAGCTATCCAAGCATTGTTCAAGGTTTGTGATAAGCATTTTCTCATCTTACGTAATCTGTCAGTAAAAACATGAATTTTAAATGCTTCACCACGCGTTTGTTTGCTTCTACTTTCTTCCGATGCGATAGCAAACGAGTTATAATCATACCCGACATGACAATACAAATTATCTCTAAAAGTTCTCCTTGCACTAACAAAATTCTTCTTTCCATTTCGGTGGTAAGCGGCAGAGCATAAAGTGCATTACATTATGATATGTTCTGTTTTTTCTTCTTCTCTTTCTTTTCTGTATTCTGAAAATTCTCATGACTTTTGCTCGTCGTTAAACACAGAATGAACTCACAACCTCGAAGTTTGTCAGAGACAAAGACACAAGTACGCTATCTAAATATAGTTTGATTACATCTAGGGCCCGAAAAAGGATTATATAAGAAGAATTAGGCTCCTTTGTCATGCATGATTATCATGTTTTTCATTTAAAAAACAAATTCTTCTTCTTCTTCGATACAAAACGTTCGGTTCAAAACCGTCATAGTTCTCTCGTAAGTCCCACTTACTCACGTTTACTAATTCTAGTCTATTTAAGGATTTTTTCTTCGAAGAATTTTCAACAACAACTGTATACACATGCTAGACGAATGACTAATTGCCGAGCACATGTTCGCGTGCATGTGCGGAGAGTGTGATACTATGCGCCTCGAACAGAACTAGACAAAGACATGACGCAAAAAAAGCCGAAGAAAACTACTGTTATTTTTCCCTCTCTCTCTCCTCCGCTCATCTCTTATCATTTATTCGTAATGTGGTGCACTTGAACACTATACGTTTATTCTTCTCTGTTCAACAATTAGTCGTCTATAAATTGCGTACGTTCCGAAGCGTTTCTGTTTTACTTTATACTAGATAACATTCATCGATAAGTGGAGAAAAAACGGAAATACATTTAGTCTCTATTTACGAATCAACGGTACGATGAAAAGGAAGGAGAGAAAGAGTGTTTTCTCATATCTGAAATGTTAATTTTCCAAATAATAATGTCAATATTGAATATAAAAAAATAGGATGTAGGTTGGAGCAAACATTAATTTTTCTTCTGGTAGTGACTCAAGGTAGGAAGAGGAAAAATCAGCGGTAATCTACTTTTTTTTTCTTAATATTACTCGTTTCTTTGATTAAATATTATAATCCTCCCATAGTTCTAAAGGAGAAAGAATATAAAAAGGGATGTTGCTGGTCGAGAGCAAAAATAAAATATGTTCTATTCGAGAGCCAGATGGATATTTTTTGCCATTCTTTTTCCTTTGTATTATTTTTAATTTATACTCATATGGAATGGTATCACATTTGTCCTTCTTCGATACATCGACATCTGAAGCCTCGTTTTTCTTTTCTTTATTCTAGATTATTTCATTTAAAGCATTGCTCTCCAAGACAATTATATCTCCATTCTCTATTCAAGCCGATGGAGACAACCAACGATCTGCTGCCAACTGTCGCCGATGCCAACGAACGTTTTCGTACCATACGTGAACTCGGCTCAGGTACATATGGTCGCGTCGTTCTTGCACTGGACCGCGAACTACAACAGCGGTGTGCATTGAAAATTCTTCAAAAGTCAACGACGAAGTATCGAGATTTTCATCGAGAATATAACTATTCAATTGTCTTATCAGCACATCGTTCGATTATCAATACATTTGCAGGACGGTGTTTTCAAACAGCTGATGCATATATTATCGTTCAAGAATATGCTCCATTAGGTGACTTATTTGAATCGATCCCACCTCAACGTGGCCTCCCTGAACGAGCTGTGAAAACGATTATGAAACAAGTCGCGTCAGCACTGGAATTTATGCATGAACAAGGATTGGTATGTCGCTCAAGGCATCGTTAACAAATAAGTAAATGTCTCTTTTATTCCTTTTTTTCCAGGTACATCGTGATGTAAAGCCAGAAAATATCATGATCTTTGATGCTGATTTTCGTAAAGTCAAACTAATTGATTTTGGTATGACGAGACGATGTGGTTCGTACGTTCGACGTCTCATCGGCAGTATACCTTATTCACCACCGGAAGTGTGTGACGCACATAGTAATGATATCCTGGTTTCGTCATCGATGGATGTCTGGGCGTTCGGTGTTTTGCTTTTCTGCAGTTTAACAGGTACTGAGACAAAACGTATATTATTTCATAGATTATCCGTGTGGAAAATTGTTTCTAGGTAATTTTCCTTGGGAACATGCTCAAGAATCAGATGTTTACTACAACGAATACCTACAATGGTTGCGACATCATCAAATGCAATCGAGATACAAATTACCATCGCAATGGTATAAATTTAGCAGTCGTTTAATGAGAATCTTTCGTAAAATGCTTGGTGAGTAGTGATTCGAGATAGTTGGACTAATTCGATTTTGGACAAATTTAGATCCTGACCCGTTGAAACGATGTGAAATCATTGAAATAAGTAAATATTACGATGATCGATGGATCAACGATCAATTCAATAGTCATCGACGTTCATCGAACGAAGACGAAGGTGTCGAAGAAGATTTTTCCTCGTCAGGTAGCGGTACCGAGTGTAATACAATCAATTCCAGTACAACGAGTAACACTGACTTCGAAGAATTAACTCAATTGATGAGAAATTCGTTAACTGGTTTTGATAATCTACTCACAAATGATAATCTAAAATCATCGTCATCGGCAGCAACGGCTAAGACGTGCTGTTGAACCCTTTCTGTTTTCTTCGTTGTTCTTCTTGTCGAATCTCAATTCCGAGTGCAATATATTCTTTCGTCTGTTACACACAGTGAACTCGTGACCAGTCAAAAACAAAACAGTGTGTGTACGTAGGATTCAAGTGGCTTTTTGTCAAATATAAATTCCGTCCGTTGTACATTTTATCGTTAAAAAAGAAACGAATGAACACACACCATATTATCCTTATTTATCCTCTTTTTCTCTTCGTGCTCGTTTAACTGTTCACATTTAAAGTTTTCTTGGGTCTATTCAAATAAAGAAAACGACGAAAAAACGATTATCGTGTGCTTCCGTGCGATGTTTTCTCTGGAGATTTCGGCGATTTGTCTGTATGCATACAGAGTAATTATATATGTAGAGAGAGAGAGAAAGGGCGGTTTTATCTAATTATTATGGAACTGCCGAAAAAATGAGAACATTAACAGAAAAAAGAACTTGAAATACTCGATTAATTTTCGCTTTCTGCTTTATCAATCCAACGTTCCTCTAAAATCAAGGAAAGTTATTAACTTCGACGTTGCAATAAAACATTCAAAGCAGAAATTTCCTTATAATTTATATTCTTAAGATCATTTCTAATAATAATGTTTCTCACTGACGTCAATGCCTGTATAATTAATCATATCCTTTTATATTATCTCTTATTCCGATTGTTGGATGCATTTATCTTGAGTATCGCTGAAGTATGGCCACAAGTTTGTTTTAATTTAAAGTGATTCTCTTCATACTACTTGAATATTCTCGAGTGTCTTGTCAATATGAGAACTACGAACGATTTTTCTGTAGAAAAAATAGATCGGAATGATGATTTACTGTTAAATTAGAAAAAGACGAGAAAAAAACACGCAAATCTCATATCGAACATCGTTTCTGAATCTTGTCCAATTGAAGATACGATCTTTGCAATGCAGTATTTTCATCCAGATCGGTCTTCGGTTCAAATGATTCCAGAATTTGTTCTCGCAGTGATCGCACTACGATCGTCTGTGGTTGTAGCAAGTTCGATTTTTGATGAAGAAAAAAGTTCGGATGTTTTCGTTTGAACTTTGTTTTGCACGATGTTGGTATACACGACGATAGAGACGGTTGTGCCCGGCATGAACACAGCGATAAATCACTTTGACTATTTTCCGTTGGTAAACGTTGATTATGCAATGGACCAGCTAGTGATGGTGTGTCTTCGTCGTCCTCCAATGTGACAAGACGACCATTAGATGAAATCACATCGCCAACAACTCGAACTTGTTGTCGACGACGTTCTTCCATTTCGTACCGTTCGTTTCTCGATCGTTTCGTGTTCGTTTCAACAAAACGTAGAATGAGTAGATTACCACTCGAAGCAACAATCGTCAAGCCCGTCAAAATAAACATTATACAGAATAAGATATACAACCATCCGATGCTTCCGTAGTCATCCTTTTGCATAGGAACTAAATCTCCGAAACCTAGAAAGGATAGCAAGTCGAACTAATGATAAAATCGACTTTCTTACGTACCGATCGTCGTTCTAAAATAGGAAAAAGAAAGAAAATTAATGAAGACATGAATATCCTTCCGTGGAAGTCGATAGTGGGTGATTTGGTACTTCGTTTCTGATTTTCTCGACTAAATTTAGAAGAGAGTCAAGCGGAAAAACGAGATAGTGCTCTGCAGTCTTGAGGCTATGAGGAACAAATTTTCTTTCACAACTGACGTAATCGAATGGGCGAGAAACATAAATGTCTGTAAGATGTTTTCTATTCGAACTATAAAGGTAACTTACAAGGTTAGTAAACAATAATAAAATGCATCAAAATAGCGCCAATTTTCATATCGATGGAAAACATATGAACCCGTTGCTAACGTTAACACAGTTAACAACGCTTCACACGTCAGTAATTCCATAGCAGTTACTTGAGGTTCGCGTTTCCGTTTAAAATGTCGTTTGATACGTTTTAACACGAAAGTTATCAGTGAATTTAATCGTTCACCAACGCTCTGAATCATAATCAGCCACATTGGAATGCCGATCAGTGCATAAGCGATGGTGACAGCGCGTCCAGCTTTCGTGTAAGGTATTGCGTGACCATAACCCACAAGTGCAAGAACGACAGTAGCGTAATAGAACGAACCGATGAATTTCCATTGCTTTTTGCGGTAATTCAAACGGAATTGGACAGTTCGAGTGAGATTTTCGAATTCACCTTCGCTCATATTATGCTGATGTCGAAAAACATCAATACGAGCTTGAAGATTTGCTAAGCGAAGCGACTCTTGTGTCGATTCTAATCGATCAAATATGGCGGCGCCAATAACAAGATAGACAAGTGTCGTAAGAACATAGGCTAATGTACGATAGTTTTGAATACGAAAAGGTGTTCCAGATGTTACTGTTAAAATAACATCTCCACTGGCTGGCCTAATGGAAACAAAGAGAAATCAGGAGAGAAAGCTTTGCGAAACAAAAATCGATCATTTTACATACATATTTATTCAGATGATTACGTCATACTATATCGATGATGAGACAAGAGAGAGAACGGAGATCTGCAAATCTCTTTTGTTGTGACAGCTGGTATCTAGAAAGACAAACGAAGCATTTAATCGATGAAATACTAATAAAAACACCTGGATTTCTTCTATTTTAATAATCCATTAACATTTCTATGTTTGCGGATCTATTATCCAAGATTTAATGTCATATAATCGATAACAAACATCAATTTCCTCCATTACTCGAAAGGAAACTTGAAACTTTATATAAACATATCTAAATTGACCAATTTTACTCAGAAAACGCATCTAAACATGAAAAGCCGTTTTCTTCGGAACAAAACGCGCTCGACAAATGTGTAAATTGCAAAAAAAGCTTAGCGTTTTTCTAGATGAGAAACTCGTCGCTAACTCGAAACGATCAGCTCTGTGAGAAGAAGAAAAAAACTTCTCTTTCTAAGCATCATCGTTCGATCTTATCTTTAAGAAGACATTGTCTGATTGCAAATTCTACTCACTGTTTATCATGGTTCGCTCACCATCAATCGATCATAATCTAATAAAATAAACTTAAGAAGCAAAGAAGAAGAAGAAGAAGAAGGAAACGACAACGACGAAAGTATAGAACGATGATTCGTAATATTTCTTGTTCGCTACTAATGATGATCGATGAGTGAACACAAGCGACAAATGTCTTTCGACATGCTCATGTCAACGCAATACGAGAAAACAACAAAGAAAAACATATCTTTGAACTATCAAGTCTCAACGAATCGAAGCGCAAGACAAGACAAGCTAAGATATCAATAAATGCTCGAAAGGAAACAGACAAAGAGGGAAGACAACACTCGAAATACATATAGATTTTTTTTATTACTATTATTAATATTGTTTTATTCAACCACATCCGTTTGGTGAACTCTCTAGAAAGTCTGATTCAATGCTGCGTACTCTCATTGTTAATTGGAGCGCAAATCTATCAAGACTAAGATGAAAAGAGAGAATTTCAAGTCAGAGTCATTTAGATAAGTCAGCTAAACGAATATCTAGCACGACATGTGAGATAAACAAAAGCAACGAAGATTTGCAGAACACTTCGTTGCAAGCTGATGTCGACGAATGATTGAGTCCGAACAAAAACGCGATCAAATCATCGAATATGATTGAGATGTTTCTTTCATTCTCTTTCCATCCATGTAATAGTTTTGTATCTTCGAGGATTTTATGAATAGATGCGATTATTGCTTGCTATTCTCTTAGTTTCTACTTTCTATCCTGCCTACATGTGCTACGGAATGAAACGAGACTGCCCTATGTGTATATATATATATATCTCACTCCTTCCTCATCAAGCAACATCCTATCTCGCGAGAAACAGAGAAAAACGAGGATGACATGGAAAATCTTTTCTTTTTTTAAATGAACATGCAACAATAACAGATAATAATAAAAGCAAAAAAAGAAAGATAGTTTTTTATGGTTGCTTTCCATTATTATTTTTCTCAAATTGCCGACTCATAGTCGTCTTTTTTCTTCTTTCTCTTTCAAGATCCTATCGATAAGGATGAAAGAGAGGGAGAGAGACAGAGAAAATAACCGATGATAAAAGTTTTCCCCGATGAAATAAATTTATTTTGATTTGTCAGGTATGATTAGCATTAGTGAATAGCAAAACAAGAATCGTGCTATATCAGTCACTTGTCACGAGCAGGCGACACCTAAGATTTGACAAGTTCTTTGAAAAAATAACTTCTTGGCGAAATCATATAACTCCACATCGTCACTGTTTATTTGTCGAAGATGAGTCCTTTCCACGGACGTGAGGATCTTTTCGAGATAATCGTTTGTTTGATTGTTTCGTACGTCTTGTTCGAGATAGAATTGAAATGAACAGATACGGAATAATTTACAATAACTTGTCTGTTCGAATAAACGTTGACTCAGATGAATATGTTCGGTTAGACCGAAGAACTCCATGGACTCGAGATTCCTTTTCGCACTTGACAAATCAATTAAATCCGAATACGTGAATGACGGTGACTGACAATTTCTTATCGACGATGAAAGCATACGAGTTTGACGATTTATGGCAGAGTTAAATGGGCAACGAATGAAGCCAGTTAGGTTTGTATCTAATAAAATGTAGGTGATTAACAAAGAGAGGAAATATTCAGAAAAAGTGTTAGTACTTTTCCAGCAAGAATTCTGATGACGAAGTTGTTGTGCTTTGTGACAGGGTAAACGTTCCGACAGCCAGGTCGCACCACGAAGATTATGAAGGTATTCACTGATGAAACGACTGACTGGTTCGCGAAGTAAGGTAGCGTACAGAAATCTAGATATACAAACGGAAATGCTTCGATAAACAACAATATCATCGATCTACAACATTAACAAGAACGATCTATTCATTGTTAGTCTAATGAGAGAGCTTAGGTTAGATAAACAAAACAACATGCCAGCTCATTATTACTACGAGACATTGATTCTAAACGCAAACAGGTTCCTCTACGTACTTGCGTTGGTTTAATCCATAATCGAAATTCATTTTTGTTGGTAAACAACGGTGATATGTTATCCAGTCTGCATGCACTCCGCATAACCATCCGACGCTGAATCGACTGATAAGCCAGGGCTCATTATTTCTTGAGCAATCACATCTTAATTTAATCGCTGGTCGATTAGTCTGATTCTGTTTCGGCATCGTCGGACAGCGACAACTTGGTTGCGAATCGAAATTCAAACGACGAACAATCGATCGTTCAAACGTTGAACCCGCCGTTTTTTGGATATGAATGAAAACTAGTACTGTCACTGGATGTTCACGACTGAAAAGTGTTAAGTCATGTAACTGCTGTTTTAATTGACTGGTTAAATAAGTCAAAATAATGAGAACAATCAACAGAGTTGTTCCCAACTTCCACTTGACCATCGGTACATCAGTCGAACGCGAAGAAGAGAAAAAGAGGATGATTTGTACTGTCGACAGACAATCGAGTACTGGCATCGCTGACCGGCATCATCTTTGTTTCTTTCTCCTTTGACGGGAAAAGAAACAGATAGGTCAATAGGAAGAGAGAGAGAAAATAAAAATTAGATGTGCGAACACATCTGTTCAGTTCAATTTTATCTCTCTGTCCATTGTCTATTCACTAACGAAAAACACATTTCAAGAACATTCTGTACGATTTTTGATTGCAAGTTAAAGGCACATTCAACATTCAGCTTTGTTCGCACAGAATGATGAGAAATCATGACAATCGGATAGAGTTCACATGCAGATAATGTAGCTGGTCAACATTCGATTTGTTTCTTTCTTTGCCTATCTGTATTACTTACAAACAAATGCTTAAATTTAGTCAAAAGAGATTTCTTTCGTTTTTTTTTGAGTTCGAATAACACAACATTTTACTGAAAATGACATGAATATATATATATCAATCTATCTATGTATATACAACAATTAGAAAGTTAAAAATTGGAAAGAAGATTTAAACGACATCGTAATGACTTCGAATTGTCGAATTTTTATGAATGATATTAGTTGGCATTGTATCCGAATGGCCATTCGAATTTAGAAACCGATGAGTTTCATGAAGTTGTTGACGTTTAACGCTACGTAGAGTTGCTGATTGAGGTGTCTAGAACAAAAATTCATGAACTTCTTCTCTCAATCGACTTTTTTAGCTTCGTACCTCATAACGATGCGGCGTTGTTTGAGCATAATGTGAAGTAGTAGGTATCGGTGTGTATGTTGGCCATGAGCTCATACAGCACGGCGACCAGAGACAAGAAATGACTGCTCCAATGAGAGATAGAAGTGTTTGAACAAGAGCCAGTGTAAATGTAATTAAAAGTGCTAAATTATCGAATGTTGCTGGTTCTTCAAACGGAACAAGTACGCGGCTAATCAAATAACAAGATTATCAAGAATCGATTCAATTGAAACTTACGTCAAGAGAAATGGTGACATTGTCGTTGTTGTCGATGAAGCCAACGTCGTTCTATACCGAGTGGATGAAATTGTTTGCCAGTATTCAAGTGTATGGACAATCAAAAGACCAACGTAGATCGATGAAGCGAAGAAACTCATCATCGACGATATGCAAATGAAAATTGGCTAAAGTTTTGAAGACGAAGAACATTCATTATTCGTGATTCGAAATTCGTTTTGTTTACCGTTATTGGCCGTTTGAATAAAGTATAGGTCACACAGGAAAGAAATGGGATGATTGTCTAGAAGAAATGAAAGTTCTCACGTATTTAATCATTAACATTCAAAACTGGGTGGAGTAAACGCGAACATGAAATGTAATCATTAGTCGATGAACGACCAGTTCATTTAATTGAAAGCAAATAACCTGAAGATATCTGCCAGTAGATTTCACACTCTCCTCGAAATCTATGTTATCGATTATTCAACCAAGCGAAAGATGTAATGATAGAAGTAAAATACTCGAGATTTCTTTCAATGACATTTGATTGGGATAATGAATATAAATATCATCTGTCAGCGAGTTCTTTGTAAGATGCTGATGAACTGATCGAATAAGACGATGGTTTTGTCTTTTCGTTTACTTAAGTTTAAAGAAATAGAGAATTTCGTTTGTTGATCAAGATTAGAAAGAGTAAAGCGGCTTTAGTCACTTTTTTCTTCTCTTAGTTATCAGCACATCTGACATTTTGATGTGTCCTTACGTGTTCATATCTTTTAACTTGCTGATCGTTTCACGCTTTTGCTTCTGATTAAAACGCAAGAAAAAAAAACTTACGATCGTAGCTGATGGATAAATATACCAAAGATGAATATCATTGATCGTAAATGCCGTGGGAAGGAAACTGTGTAGATTGATGTTTTTATTTTGATGAATCGTTTTCTCCGTTATGTATCGGTGACTGATGGTAATGCATATCTGTGCCAGACCAGTTAAGAATAAGAATATTCCGTAGATAAGTAATGTTTCAGCTTGAGCGACGAATGCATGAGAAGACTTGCGTGGTGTCATTATATGTATGAATGAAAATGAAGATGAAAAGAAAGAAATACAATAGTTGTCGTTGTTACTTTGCCTGATCTCATTTAATGAACTCGTTTTTTCTCTCTCTCTTTCTCTCTTCTTCGATGGATGTCTGTCTGTCTATCTGTCTTAGTTATTGCGTGAATGTGTGATGAAAGAGAAAAAAGAGAGTAAGTGAATAGAGTCGTTTAGTCTTCGAGTAACTGAACAAGAGAAAAAGAGACAGAGAGTGAGAGAGGAAAAAAAAACGAGAGAAGCAAGCTGAAACTGATTTGTCAAGATGTAAGAACAGCAGGACAGATTTTTATCTGCTGTAGAAGTTGAACTTGTGAAGAAGAAAGAGAAGAAGAACAAGTCGAGAAAAAGGAAGAGGTACTATTATGCTTTCTTTTGTTCTTTCACTACAAACAAATAGGCTTTCATCAAGTTCAGTGCGGCTGTCTAAAGGTGACAAGGACAATCATATATAACCTCGTTGTCGACGAGGAAATGAGAACTATCGGAAATCTTAGCGAATAGGTTAGAAACTTTCCATACATCCATCATGATCAGTTTCGATTTGTTAATCATCATCATCATCATCATCACATCTGACCGATGATTCGCTCGTCTAATGATTTTCCCATACGTTTGCGACTGATATATTTACATATACTTAAGACAGCAAAAAGAATTGTCTGAATAGAAACAACTGTCATTCATCAAAACTTATGAATTTTTATTGGCCAGATCAAGCAGAAGAAAAGCGCAGTCGTATGAATATTTTCGATCAATATTAATTCCACAGGCTTTGTCTTGCATTGAGAAACAAATTTGATAGATTGACAAGAGAATTCATTAGACAGTTTAGCGAATGCTTAGTTAGGTCTTGATTTGAACAATTCTTCGCAGATGGAAATAATTACCTTCATGAACGGCCCAGGAAGTTACTTTATGAAATAATCAAACGTATTCATCAAAAATTCTATCTTATTTGCTTCTAAGCTAATCGTATTATGATTCGTGAGTTTTCAGAGAATAGAATAAGAGTTTCTCGTCTTGAAATGCAGTGCACGTTGAGAGAATCAAATTCTGGTTTAGCTTCAAGTTCTCCCAGTAAGAAAGACGAATCGCATTTCAGTGCGCATCCCCGGAAGTCAAACAATATTATGTTTATTCTTCGTTGACTTTCTGTGCACATCCTATTTCAACATTGTTAATTATAAAGAACTTGTCCTCGCCGTTCACATCCGCCAGGTGAGAAAAAGTGCGTTCATGTTTACCCAGGCCACTTGAAACAAGTCTTTTTTTTTCTGTGTTGTATCCATATTAGAAATAATCTTCGTACAGAAAATTAGTAAAAACTATTGATTAAAATATTAAAAAGGCCAAGCAAAGAAAAATTTTGGTTATTTAGTCGTCGTCAATACATATCACATCAGTTGATGATGAGAAAGGTTTGGTATTTGATTTTGTATCCGTTTGTTCGATTAGACTACTTGATGGTATAATTGGCAACCAGCACAATTCACTGTCGATTGATATTTCTGATATGTCATGATTCTGAATGGATTGTAAAATTGAGTCCATGTAACAATCGATTTGTAAATCTTCGTATAGAGCTGGTTTGTTACAAACCGGACACATCCATTTGTTCGATTTTTCGTTCAAGCCTAAAATCAATCAATTGAATAACTCATCGTTAGTCGATATTCGTCCTTACTGATATAATTTGTCAGATCGAAACATTGTAAATGTTGACATGTAGTTGCTCGAACTGGCTTCTTCAGTCGTTTTTGATCGATGGGACATATTAGTTTTAATTTTTGATCGCTCACTTCAAGCCCCAGATCACGATCATGTGCACTTGCTTTTGACAACAGTTTTATTAGATCTTCACGATTGAATTTCATTGGTTTCCTCAGCACATGCTCGCATAGACTCTCCATGGTTAAACATTCAGCGAGAAAGACATGTAAAGCATATTCCGCGTCCTTATACTGAGGAGCTAGGTTTTTATTATCAGCAGGATATGTCCAAAGGATAGTTATGTCGTTTTTCAGAATGGGATTGAACATACAATGCGGTGTTATATCGATTTCACGGCCGACTCGAACGTAATCTTTTTGCAGACGAGTGCATGGCTTCGGTGCTGGTAGATTTGTCAAAACATGACCATTAACCTGAATCACAACATTCACAGGAAGGCTATCCTCGTACTTTCCATTGAATGTCGGAGGTTGATCAAGGCGTGCGAGACGTAAGAGAAGACATTTGCTCGTTTTGTTGCAATCCAAGACTGGATCGTAGTCGTAGGATAATGCTAGTTGATTGCATACCTCGAGTGGCAAAATAAATTGATCGCGAGATGTGAATTGTTTACGGTAGGCATCATAAATAAAGATGTTATATCGTTCATGAACACAGCCGAGCACATAATAGAATGGCAGGTTTTTGTAGGCGATTTTAGTTATCGGTGGTCGTAAAGTCGGATATGTTTTGGAAGGAATTGGCGTTGTGAGTGGAGCCTGATGGCGTCGTGCACCAGATTGAAGAGGTGGTACAGTAGAGTGTGGAATATGATCTGGGATTGAGTATAATGAGGCTGAACGGGATTGTTGTTGTGGTTGCTGAGAGCGAAGATTGATTTGTGATGAGGAAATTGGATTTGGTCGAACTGAAAGCAAAGAAGAACATCGATTTTTCTTTTGAAACTCGAAATCAACTAGTTTACTTGGTCGTAATTGCTGCATTACGGCAGTCGGTGTTGTAAAGCGATAATTTGGTCGTGCATTATACTGTTCAGGTTGTTGAGGAATGAAATACGGTTGTGGAAAACGCGGAAAAAGCTCGTTCGAATGTTTTTTCTGGACTAAACTTCTCAATTTTTGCTCTAACTCCATCGAATAAAAATTATCAAACAGCAGAAAACTTTGATGAATCAGTTGTTCACGCGCATTCGGCCCAAACTGATTTACTAATGAAGATTTTTGTACATGATTACTGAGAAAGTTGTGTAATTGTTCATTATCCAGTTCGCATATGAGACTATAGAGTCGTTTACGATGCTCCTGTGTTAACGAATGTGTTCGACTGCTGGAGGAAGTCATAGCGGATGATGGTTGCATTGCATTAAAGAAATATCAAATATTAAACGTACTATTGACTGACACCATGCTTATGTCTGTCATATTGAAGACATTGAATCTACATTCGTTGAAAAAGAACGAATCAAATTGATTCTCACGTAATCGATCTTCATTTAAAATGAAAAATAATTCGCAATTTCCAATGAATTCAAACATTTTCATACAAATAAATAAAATCAGTCAATAAATATTTCACCTATTACTAGCGACGTCTATTTGACAGATAAATTTGTCTTAGAAACAATACAAAAGACATTAGTCCATGGCTCAATGACAAAGAAATATGGTATCGTTTCCTGAACAAGTCAAATTACATCTAATATCTATTTGTCAATTATTTTCTTCCTGTTTGCAAAGATATGCCTTACATTGTAGTACAGATGGTCATTTCGCTCAATTAATCTTCGGTGCCGATTTACTTCGCGCATATCAATCTTCATCAAAGACGAATTCTTCGCCTGCAATTCTCGCACTGTTAAACAAACATTTCAGTAGTTTCGAAGAACAGCTAGGAACTTATGTGAAAGTCTTCGCATTTTTTCTCCGCGACACTTGCCTCGATCAAACTTTCATTCAGCTGAACGCACATGAACGACGAACATTCTTATCTAATATCGATGATAAATTACAAGCATTAGAATATAAATCAAGCATCTTTCAATGGAGAGAAGAGATTGATATTGATTTATTGGTTAACCATATACTGAATACGTTGCCAAAAGCAATTTTCGATCGCAAAGGTTTCTATCAGAATCTGCTTTGTCAATTAATCAAACGTTCGTATGAATTACTCAGACAGAAATCATCGGAAAGACAAACTCTTGTTTGTTTTTAGATAATCTCGATCGAATTGATGATTATTTGGTTTACAATCAACAATTATCGTTTTCTACAGTCGGATCAACGATTCAACAATCGCGATTGATTGATGGAATACTTTTACCTGTTCATAATTCTCAAAAACTTTTACCTTCGTTCATATCGAATAGTCCAATTACGGTTGTTTTTTTAAATCTTGATTCCGATGACTCGTCATTCACAATCTCCGACAAGAACCAAGCATTTTTATCCTATGATACACTTGTCTATCGCCAATTTGTACAGAATTATTTAAGCGATGTTCAATTGATCATTTCGTTAACATATCTAAATGGAAAATTCCTTTTTGAATTGCATCAAGCCAATATCAATGTCATCGATTCATTAGATGATCAAACATTTGAATTTTTACTAAAAGTTTATCGATGTTTACCATGTAATCGTTTGTTCATCGCAGACGATGACAAACTCGATAAAATCTCGACATTTTTAATCGACCGTCACGTTCAAATCAATCAACAATCCTACATCTACTTATCATCAAACGGTTCGTTTGTCCAATCATCTTCAATTACATCATTTTAAACAAATTTTATTTAGGTTCACATCAAACTCTTCTCACTTGTGTACCAACACCTACTCTCATGTTAACAACGCAAAAGATTTTGATAAACATCGTTCGTTTGGTGAAATATCTTCTCGAAAAATTGAAAACATCAGGAATGTTAGCAGTTAGTAGAGAACAGGATTATTTAAAATTCGTTGGAGAAGAAATTCCTGAACTCAGACACATCTTAGAACATCGCTGTATTCATTTGACTAAATCAGATTACATTTCACTTCCCGTTTGTCTTTTTCAACAGTATCTGCGTAATGGAATTCAGTTTCTATGTTATATTCATAAAATCGATGGTGTACACAGTACTACAAAAAAAGTTGTAGTCGAAAAAAGTTAGATCAATACAAAAAAAAAGCTCCGAGATTACGTGTATATCTCTCTCTCTTTCTTTGTGATTATTTTGTTTTACTTAATTAATAAATATGTCTTTTTCTATTGGTGTTTGTTTCGATTGTTTATTACATAAGATTGCAACAGCAATAACCACCATATGGTCCTGTACCACAGGCAGGCGGATAGCTTCTTTCGTAGACGGGCATCCAATATTCACGTTTCGTGTAATTTCTTGAGGGTGAAGGTGGAGGTAATTCAATCGTTAAGATTTGATTTGCATCCATTCGAGCACGTACTTGATCGGGGTCGATATTCGACGGTAATTGATATTGTCGATAATATTCACGATTAATATGATTACCCGATGTATTATCGAAATGTTGAGCGTTGATTTTTAATAGACCATGTCGATTAATACGTACAGTGATATTTTCCGGTCGATAACCTTGTAAATCAAATGTAAATGTGTCGTTTGCGTTTGCATGTGAATCATAACGTCGTGGTCGCACATCAATATCTACACGAAGACGTCCTCGACTATCGATTGTATTTCTCACGAGTGTTGTGTCCACATTCGGTCCGCCAAGATTATATTCACGTTTGAATTCACGACATGGTGGACGATGAGCACGTATACGTAAGGTGCCGTTCTCGTCAAGTAGAACAGTTATTTCTTCTGGTTCATAGTCCGGTAAATCAAACTCGTATGAATATGTTCGATAGCCTTGTCCGTGATCTTGAATTGAATAGTGATGTGAAGATGACGGTGGTGATCGTAAACGACATTTTTCTGTTGGATGTTGAGTATAAACAACAGGAATAATTGTCGAGGAAGCCATTCAGTATATATTATAACAACGATAATATTATAAAGACGAATAGGATACCTTATTCGTTTAGTTTGTTCTTTCTTTCATCGCTTGTATGCGCTTCGTTCTGTACAAAAACATACTCTGTCATCAAATAGAAATAACTAACTGTATCCTTGACATTATTTTTAGCATGTATTCTCTGTATATGCGCATGTGTATATATGTGTGCCTTTCTTCCCCTTCTCTTCTGTTTGATGTGTTGACATGCATACACATATGTCTACAAATGCTAAGAAAAATGGATAAGGGAGAGAAGAGAGGGGAGAAAACGAACGCTTTTGATAGACGTACCCATTATATGCAATTCTTATTATCGCTAACTAACCACAATGAGACGAGTCGTTGGACACCTACTCATCTAATCATCAATGACATGATATTAAAAAGGAAAGAAATGAGAGAATTATTGAGATGAAGTTCTAATCTACGTATGCATGAAATTTGAATTCTAATGATGAGAATTGAATTTCGATGAACGAGAAAGATGAACGAAAATCTTCGTTTTGACATTCCACGCTCCAGTTCAATCAACCTAATATGGCACACTGATGTGGAGATAATCGAAAGCGAGTTATATAATCTTGAAGAATCAACGTTTGGTGTACAGTGTCAGGAAAGCAATTGATTAGATCATTTGTTGCATGTGGTAACACTGTCAAGGGAGAAGAAGTAGCTGTTTATGTTTAAAGACTCCATTGTATGAGGAGAAGTAAAAAAAAGAACGGTTATGTAATGGTCAATTGAATATGTACGAAGAAATCATTTCCATTGATATATATGTGTGTGTATTTGACATTGACGAAAGAATGTCGAGCAAGAATTTGTACGATTATGCGTAATGACGTTGAGCAGAATGATTTGAAAAAAAAAGCCAAGGAAATTTATGGAAACTGTCGGCAAACAAAGATAAATGACTTTCATTGAAGTAGAAGTGATAAATTCATAGCCGTCAGCGATTCGAAAGGATGCTGAGTTCTTGTTCTATACGAGCGAACTTTAAATAATCAGTTCACTAGTTTCACTTATCCTTGATTCTGACTGAAGCACTTGATATCGACTATTCAGAGTCACTCATTGAGAAAGCCTCTTGGCGAAATGAAACCTTCGGAAGGTCTTGCAGACGACCGTTGCGTTTGAGGACATTCCAGAACCTTCTCGTCGGTTCAATTTTCAAAACAGATAAATATATTTATATATTAAATTGCATACAACATTAAAAACTATGGCGTAAAAGAATAGAACAATCTTTTTGTTATACTGCACAAAAGATAATGTAAATTATTGGCACTTTGTCTATTTGATATCACAGAGAATTGCGACACCTCGCAATGTCCAAACGTTTGGTCCTGTTTTGTCACCTGGAGGACATTCCAATTTCAACGTACATACGTAGTTTCGATCAGTTCGGCGTGGTTTTTTATATACAGGTGCATAATATACTGGTCGACGTTCTTGTTTCGCCGGTGCACCACTTGTACTAACCTCGGCTTCCGCTGAGATATGTATAATCGGCATAGGATGTGTGAGAAGTTTTTCATTGGCTTTTAACTCATCCAGAACACCATTACGTATCTTCGCTCCTTCGACATACAGACCGTAAACATAAACGCCTTCGCGTGGTGCCTCTTTTAGTGAGTCACGATCCATGCGAGTTATTTTATTTGTGAGCACGACGTTATCAAGTGACCAGCCTGGATTAGCTCGTGTAATTTCCTAAAATGAAGAGAGAATTTATGAAGCGTGTCCTTCAATCTGTTTGTTACCTGTCGCATAGCTGTGAGAAATCCTTGTGGATTGAAAAATCCTGTCATCCAGAATGCGATCGGTCGAGTGTCTTTATCAAGTTTTAACCACGAACGATACTGTTCGTTTCGCGCATATAAATCGGAAAACCAAGCGCCTAATGTTGATGATTCCCACGACAATTTCAGCCAAAGTGTTGGAATCTTCGCATCGTACATTCGATCTAAAGCATCACGCAAATCTTCGTTCATAACGATCGTACCATCGATAGCTAATTTCAATTCAACCAATGTACGCCGTACAATGTTCAATACGCGTTGAAAACGATCGATTTCTTGTCGAAGAAAGATATTCATTGGCTCAAGTTTGGAAAGACGTTCTTTGACTTCATATGCAATATAATCAGCGGGTAATTTATCTAAGGCTTCGCTTGCTAGACGATAGATAACCGCTTCGCGTGTCTCACCCACACCGCCACGAGCTTCTTTCGGTTGAATACTCAAAATCGTATCGAGAACTTTTCGTGTTGTATCTTCTTGGTATCTAGAAAACAATGATGTTAATTGGAGTTTAAGAAATCTGGAATTTACTTACCGGTCATTTGCTAATGGACTTAATCCGAAGACTTTTCCACTGTCATAGTTTGGTATTGTGTCGATGTAATTAAATATATCATCCATATGTGTGATTTTCGGTATTCGATAGGTTTTTTCTTCGAATTGAAAATTAGGATCGAACATTTCATCGCGAAACCAACTTTGAACGTAAGTTTTCAACAAACGTTTATCGAAATCATCCGTTACACGACCTAAAAATCAATCAAACTTCTTTCCAGTCAAATTTCTCCATATGTCTACCTCCATATTGTACTTCCGATATCATATAGTGAATCATTTTCCATTGCATCGGCTAACAATCAATGAAGTTTAGACTATAATTATCTAAGAAAAACTTGTTCACTTACCTTATTTGTATCCATTTCATCGAGATAGTTTTGAATAAATTGGACAGTGGCATTGAAATCCGATTGATTAAATTCATAGGGTATATTCCATCCGAGTGGACCAAACTTTCGTCGTTCTTGAACAATGGTATGCAAAAACGCGACTGTGTATAGTAACGGTCGCCATTTCTCTTGTGTATTTGCTTCCAATTGTTGTTCTTGCGTTAAACCAGCGAAGGTCCGTTTCAAGCCAGCTTTAATGCCCTGTGGTGGTTCAGCTGTATATTTAAGAGAAATTTGTAGTAAACCGATGGGAAATTTAGGATGAACTTCCGTAGTGATCCATAGACGAAAATCGGGATGAATACGATCGGTATTGTCGGTCAATTGTACTAAGAATTCCTCACAAAATTCTATAGACAAATGACAATTTTGTAACAGAACCCAAGTTCCATTCGCATATGCTTGTGATAATAATCGTCGAGCGTGAACTTCTTGTCCTTGACCCATGGATATTGCGTGACAATCAAGACCTTTCTTCTTTGCTAGAGTTTCAATTTGAACCGATGGATCCGAACCCATCGAGAGAAAGCAAATCATCGGTGAACATTTATCTGATTCTTCCCACATCTTATCCATCTCGAGTACAACACCTTCGCCATATTTCGGTCCCAAGGAATCGATGATGTAATCATTCGCTGATTTCACGAAACGCGATGGCGTTATTGAGCGAATTAATAATAAACGACGAAATTTGTCTAGTTGTAGTTCCCATCCATCGGGCAATTCAATGCGTTCAGGTTCGTCTTTCTACAAAAGGAAAACGAGTTGATTACGAAAGATAAGGATCAATGCAGAACGAGAGAAGTGCAATTTAGCAGAGGATACGAACGTGCGGAAGAATAGTTTGTGAAACCTATCGTGAGGCAAAGTGCATGTTTTCCCTTTTTGTCAAGTAAACAAGATGTTTCTACATACTTTAAACCATGTTTCCCATGCTGATCCAGCTCGATGGAACTAAAAATAAAACGAAATATACTTCTTCGTCTTCAACAAACCACAAGCTGATTACTGAATGAAGAATATCGCTGAATTGATAAAGTTTCGATAGTTCAACCAGATTGAGCCATGCATCATTCTGCAACCATTTGTACGAAGGCTTTGGCGGTACTACAGATATTCCACTAGTTACTGTTAAGCTCAAGACATCGATATACCTGTGCTCGTATCCAATGACGCTCCGCCTTTGATTAATGTTTGAAATTCGTCAAATTTAATTCGACTAGCTTGTAAATCGATCTTCAAAGCCAGCAAAAGTGTGAACATAAATTTGTGTTCTTCATAATATCCTCGAACAGCATATTTGTAGATTTCGTAGGTCAAATACTCCATAATATTCGTAATGCGTTTCGCGGTGACAGGTGACTAAAATAATGAGAAACCTCATCAAAGACTAGTGTCAATCTGGGATGAAAATTACTCGTGGTGAACGTTCGAGTGCTTGATCGAATAATTGGAGAAATTGTTTGAGAGACGTTTGATACATAACATTCACTAGGGACATTTCAACAATGAGAAAATAGATGATCGAACCACGTGTAGCGACAGGACGGTATTCTTCACGAGCGATGTTGATCTTCTGACTTGTTTCCGTAGCGATCTGAAGTTTGTGTTTCACGTCATTCGAGGTGATTTTGGTTGTTTTCAATGTTTGAATAAGATCATCATCGTCAACTAATGAACCCTAGAAGAATGAAATCCAGTGAAGTGCAACACTAGAGCTTAGCAAATCGCCTGTCTTACTTTCGAATTGGTTAATCGTAACAAAAGGTTATCTTCCAATTCTTTCATTCGTTTATTATTTGCCTGGATATCTTCTAACATTTTCACACGTTCCGCTTCTAACTCTGCTTTTTCTTTCAGAATAGTTAAACCTAACAGTTGATCTTCTAGACCTTTCATTGTAACAGTGAAATCAATCACCGATGTTTTCGCTGAAATCTCAGGCGTAAATGACGGATTGGCCAATTTCGTTGTGATATACAAATTAAACCCTTTCAATATATCGATTTCTCGATCTCCGATTTTAACTTTCAACGATGTTCCCGTTCGAATGAAATTCTTTTCTAAGATATTGTCTAAAGCGGGATCGAGCTCTTCGCCGACATCTTCGATCAGTAATGGCCGTCCGAGTGATAAGGAATCTTCTAAATGTTGTCGAAAGTGTTTCGAATGCAAATTTGTTGTTTGTAGATCATTATACAATTCTTTGTTTCTAATCCACGCTTTGCCTTGACCTTGCGGGTCAATTAACAATGGATAACGTTTAGCACGCGTAACGATAATTGCGTTCTGAATCGATAATTCATCGTTTGGTAAACCTTGTAGTTTCCATTCGCCAACCATTGTTACATCAGTTAGATATTCCGAAACATTCAATGTCCGAGTGAATGGGATATTTCGTTCGGTTAATAGTTTTTGCCAATCTTTTGCGAGTAACATACGAAAATCTTGATTGAATGGACTTTGATAGGAAAGGAAGCCAGTGCAGAGAAGAACATCACCAACCAGTCTATTGAATTACAAACAAACGAGTTCGATGTTTACATCTCAAAACTTCTTACCGGCCAATCTGTGCTCGGAATTGTTTACTTTGTTCGGTCCATCGTTCTTGTTCATCAGCTAGGCCAGCAATTAATTCTTTGGCAGCATTCATTCGTTTCAACGTTCGATCAAGATTGTCTTGTAAGCGTTGTTTGATTCCCATCGCTACATCGTATTCTGATTGAGCTTCAGCTAGTTCTTCTTCACGTCGATCTAATTCGTCTTGTGCGATTTGCAATTGTTTATTCGCTTTGACTAGTCGAGCTTCCTGTTTGGCTAAATTACCTTTCAACGGCATGACACGTTTGTTTACGTAGAAGAAATCAGCCATTGACCGGGTCCATGTTAACAAGCCGGCAATAGCATCAGCAGCGACTTTCGCACCTTCAGGTGTGTAATCCGGTACGCGAAAATAAGGTTGAAGTAGTTCGATTTGTTCATCGTTAATACGATCTCGCGGGAATGTTCGAAGATTTTGAAGAAAATTTGTATCATTCATCATCTAAATGAACGTGTGAGATATTCAAGTGAAAAAATTCAAATATTCGTACTTTTAATGAATTATCCCAACTGGGCTCAGGACCACCAATATCTGTATCGAATCTAATTGGATTTTTCAATGGACGTCCAGAAAGAATCAAAACGCAGTCCATCATTTGTCGAATCAAACGTGGCGGACGACCAAGCCGTTTGACAACAGCAATATCGTTCTGTGTAATCGTCTCTAACGCTTCTTCAGCAGCCTAAAAATACACGAATACGAAAGATTACATTTCGTTTTGAAACTGCTTTACAATCAAAGCTGGTTTAGCCGTTTCTAACTCAGCATTGGCTTGCATTCGATCTCGGTCAATCTCATCGACGAGCGATTGTGCTGTATCTTTGACTTTTTGCACCTCTTGTCGAACAACTTCCGCGGCATTTTTCTTCACAGCGACTTCTTTCAAAACTTCATCGGCCTTTCGATTGGCTGTGTCCAATTCTTTCTCTTTAACAACTAATTCTTCCTTCATGACAATCACTGCCTTCTCCGCATCAACCAAACGGGTCAAACCATCGTTCATACGTCGAGCCATCGATTCGATTTCATATAATTTCTCAGAATAAATCTCTTTATAACCATTGAGAAACGAGAGATACGATTTCGGTGTAACATGAGTTGCACGACGGTATTTTTGAAAATATTGTAAACAGTATTCTGCAACACCATCATGGACAGAGCCCATACATTGAACAAGTTCTTTCTTAATTGCGTCCGTACAGGAAATCGAAAACGATGAAAGAAAATGATCAGCGACAGCGACAAGTGCATCACGTGGCCATCGAAGAAACCAGTCGATGGTACAATTTGCTACTAGACCAGGGAATTGTAGACCTAGAAGAGCAAAGATGTCACAGTGAAAATAAAATACTTTTGTGAATGTCTTAACCATACCTCGTTTGCGGAATTTTTCGCCTACGGGTGAAAAGCATAGCACAACGTGTAGATTTTGTCGGACACGAGAGAGAAAATAATCATAGAGATTTTCGTTCGTCGCTGGCTTTCGTGGATATTGTTTTTTCATGATTGGCACTAGTTCTTGACAGATCTCATCAATTTCATCTCGAGCAAACATTCCGGGAACCTAGAATCTCATTATATCTGTACCGAAATCTCTCGTTAAAACAAAAATTTTACTTACCACTCCGGATGAGAGCACATTGTTGATATATTCCAGAAAAGATTCATCTTTCACATCTTGATCGGAGAATATAAATGTTATTCCTTTCCCTTCTCTTCCAGCAATACGATAAAGAGCTTTTAAATCTTCTAAGAGATTATTGATGTTGTACGCCCGTGTTAACGTGATTTGAAATATTTTGTAACCAGCAATAAATGACGCTAATTTAGTTAACGACTGTTTACCACTGCCACCCACGCCTACTAGTAGAGCATTGCCACGCGGTGTACGAATGATACGAGAAATCTTTATTAAATGCTGCATGGCATCTTTGAAGAAAACTAAATCCAATCCAGAACCACGAATCGTCTCATTATATTGTCCCAGGTACATTTTTAAACGTTCTCGAAAAACATCAAAAGATGGTATGGACTCATATACCTTCGGAGCATCAAAATCAGCATCATCACGTTCATCGCCCGTCGGTTCTGGCGCATCTCTGCAAGTGAGAAACAATTCCATATAATTTTCCTAATAATTCTTTAAAAAAATCATACCTTAAGAAGTCAACAAACCAATCTTCGTGTCTGATCATTGATTGGTATTTATTTCCAAGTTCTTCTTCAGCTACACGATCGATTATTTTTGAGAACCATCGGTAATCCTCAGCTTCGGTGAATCTACACAATCAAAATAATAAAAACGAATCTTTCATGTTTGTTCGATTTACCGATCACAGATGACTCGTGTACATTCATGTTTCCATAATGACAAGAGAATCTTTTCAGTGTTGAGCACTTGTGACGTTGTATTGATCATTCCTTGCCAGATACGTGAAAGATCTCGTAGATTGAAAATGTAATGAAATTTAGCCGGTGTTGGTAACATTTTCACTTTTGTCAATTGCCACAAGCGTCGTGTGGCCGGGACAAGTTTTTCAATCAACGAACGCACTTCATCATTGAATCCACGTTCTTTTACGTAATGTCCAGTCGCAATAACAGAGAAAATCTTATCGATAGAAGCGTTTGATGGTAACGTACAATTGAATATACAAAATTGTCGTTTGAGACGTTGTGGAATGTCATTTCGACCACCACCGGGATGAATCATTGCAGCCAGAAATTGGATATCAACAATAGTTGTAAATTCACCTGGTTTTTCTAGCGAATAAAAGCCACCCTGTTCCATCAATTGTCGGATTATTTCATTAGTTATTTGATCGCCCCATTCATTGACTGTTGGCATATTGACTATCAAGGAAAATTGAAATTTACTTTCATTCGAAAGGCGAATATTTCCAATTACTTACTATCATCAATGAAGATCGTCATTTTCTTGCCTGCTGATGGACCATAAGTTGTTCCTACGCGTTTATCGACATACGATTCAATAATTCGCTGTACCATATTCGGTGTTGTCGCAGATGAAAAATTAACTTTCTTTTGTGAATGCTGCTCTGCATTCAATCGTGTCATGTAAGATTGCATAATAACGGTTTTCGCCGAGCCTTGTTCACCGATGAGTAGCACGGGCTAGAAGAACACGAATCAAATCTATCCTAACAAAGCATGACTCAGCTAATTTTACTTTCTGTTGTTTGGCAATCGTATGAATGAGGAAATCGGTCCGGACATTGTCAACATTGGGAACAAGAATTGAGGCATATTCCGGATCGTGATCTTTCGGATAGATATATTCAGTGACAACTGTATTCCAATGTTTCCATGCACCAGTTTTCTCATGAACAAAATAATCGAAGATCGTGTCTTCACTATCAGCTGGTACAACGGGAAGATCAAGTTGAAAGTTACCATCGGTATTGTGGGAAAGATATTCTTGCAAACGAGATCGATCGTCTAATTCGAGAAAAGCACCCACAGACCACATGATAGCGAAAATGTAAAGACGTTCGATGTGTTTTGCATTTAATTGATCTTTTGCTTCTTTCGATGGTAACAAACCGTTTAATAATCGACACGCCTAAATCAAAATTTTTAGAACAGAAACTTTCAAAGATCAAAACTCTACTTGAGTAACGATCATGCATTCTAGAACGGACATTTTCGATTTGAGATAGAGTGCAAAGTAACGATAGATATATGAAAATGATGCTTCGAATAGACGCATCAGAATATCACCATCCACTGCAGATCGTTCACGTTTAATCCAACCCTATTTCAACACATAAACTTCATAACAACGATATTATTCTTCGTAATCCTACTTGTATTAATGGTCGCCAGTCTAAACCCGAACTGCTCATGTAGACCATTCCATTTCGACTAACTGTGGCTGGCGACGCATTGTCAATATTGTGTACTTCGAAGATGATTTTACAATTGGGCGCCATTGATATTCGATCGCCATTAGCTAATGTTAAAGATTTGTTATCATCCAAGACGGAATTTAAGTTTTCAATCCAGATCGCATCGACAGGACCATCTAAAACTAACCAAATGTTTTCACCTCTTTTCGTACGTAGTGTTCGTCTCCACAACGTTGAAAATATGCCGTCTGTCCAATCATTAGTTGCCGAATCTAATCGTCCGAACATCTGCGGTGCTGTTATTGCCTTTGGATTCATTCGCATTTCACGGTGCGGTTCACCGCAAATAGTCAATGCTCTCATCAATGTATGGATACAGCTTGTTTTGCCAACACCGGAAGGTCCTAGTGCCATCATACCATGGCGAACACGTTGAGTTTCATATAGCTAAAGACAAAAAAAAAGAGTATTGGCAAAGAACACTGCGTCTAAACTAACTTGAATTAGCTTCAAAATCCACGGTGGGTGACAGATCAGTCCAGCTGATTGAGTTTCTTTATTAATTGCTGCTTCTAATTCAGCATAAATATCTTTCTCTAGTTTTATATTCGGGAAAAGATCATTGATCAACGATATAAATAACGGTTCATCTTCATCAACCTACACAGAAGCATGTTTGAGATGAGTTCTCCATTGATCATTAAGTCCCTTACTAATTTCGATAAATTCATATCCCGAAGTACTCGCATGACGATCGTCTTCTCTGAATCATCTCTGCTCGCGCGTTTTACCGCGCCAAGCGTGCGAAGAACAGATAGAATATTTCGGAGACCGAAATCGTAATGCACCTAAAGTAATTCATACAGACTAAACAATGAAGTTCATCAGTTTCATTCCTCACTTGTTTACTTAATTGCTCTTCACATAATTTGTACAATGTGTAAAATTTCTTCGAAAGTGGAACATTTTCTCGGAAGCCACACGCGGCCATTTTCACGCGAATGATCGGTAAGCGATCAGGGACCATCATAGCCACCGATCGAAAATTAATCTTCAAGTTTTCAGGTAGTTCTTGTCGTCCAGCATAGCCGGGATTCATGGTTAGAAATATTCCAAATCCCATATTCATTTCGACAACATCACCGTCCGTGAAGACAAACTGACGTTTCTTTTCCTTTTTACATGCAAGAACGATGGCAATTTGTTGAGCGGCAACAGAAAGTACAGGCAAATCAATACGATTGAACTCATCGAAACAGCCAAACGAGCCGGATTGTGCTAAACCTTTGAATATTCGACCCAAGCCACGAAAATCCATTTGATCGGAACAATTGAAAACCTATTCACAAATGTTTATCGCAAAAAAAAGATCTTATTTCCTACTTACCACAACATATTTGCCAAGACATCGACCCATATCTTTAACAGTCTCAGTTTTACCTGAAGAAAAGAAGCAACAACAAGAAAACGCGAGTTAAAGTCATCACCATGCGGCTACTGTCTCACCCGTCCCGGCTGGTCCTGCAGGTGCTCCACCCATGCTCATATGTAAAGCTTGCGCTAATGTGATATAACATCGATCAGTTAGCGGTGTTATAACTAAGCGTTCGTTGCAACCAAGAAATTCATTCATATAATAAAAATCGACGTCGGTGATCGAGATTTGAACTTTATCAAGTTCTTCATTGAAATAAAAACGTGTTTGTTTGAGCCAGTCGAAGTCAGTCGCTGAACGAATATTAGTTTGAAGCAATTCATCGAAAATATCTTTTTGATGGACGTGGATGGTAATCAATGTTTCGAATTTCGTCCGTTCAACATGTGTCAGATTTCTGGTTGTTTGATCAATCAACAAGTCTAAAAGATCACTGAATGTCTTCGCCGTTGCTCGCATGACATTTCGATCGGATTTTGCATTCCGTAGAGCATAGGTCGCTTCGCGTGTCCAAACTAATTGAAGACCGAGAAGACCAACTTGAGCAGGAAAACTGTTGAGAAATTCAATAAAATTTATTGTTGATAATTCAGTTATCGCGTGGTAAGCTTGACGAATAACACCGTGCAACGATCGCTGAGCTTCTTTCAACAGCGACATTAGCCAAACTTCCACATTTCCTTCGGCTTTGACAGGTTTTTCAAGCTGAAAGACGCAGTGTGAAAATCACTAGAACAAATTCTCTCAACTTACATCAATGGTTTCACCTTCTGATGACTTGATTGTAAGAATTTTATCGTATTCTTTCTCGTGAAATCGCACTGTGCTGATATTATCGAAAACACTCCGTAAATGTGACTTAATTGTATGTGGATCACTTGCTTGTCCGAGAATTTCCAACAAAGCTGGATCCGAGACAAAGAAGAATCGTGGAAACAAAAGACGTTTGCGTTCTAAGTAGCCAGTTAACGACTTCTGACATAATTCCAACTGTTCAAGAAGATGTGGCAATAACTGTTTCAATGCTTCATCACTTGCACAGCATAGGACAACAGCTGGCTGTTCATGTGCTTTAGACATGATTTTAAGCCAGGATTTGTCAATCGATGCAAAACGCTTCGCTTCTTGTGGTAATTGTTTAGCAATATCTCCGCCGACAAAAACAGCTTCGAGATAAACCCACAAGTTTTGTACACGCATCCAATTTTCGATGATTTCATTGGTATCGGTGAGATCTTTTACCCATTTCTGGATTTGCTTTCGAAATGGTACATTATATCTAAACAAAATGACAGTCACCACACGCTCGACTCGGGAAAAGGAAAGACAAACCTATTGGACATCAGTGAGCCTAAGAGCATCAACGAATCTTCTAATAAACTGATGACGTCTTGAATTCGATCGCCTTTCAATAACAATTCTCCTCGACCTTTAAACTGAGCGAAACTAAACTCCTGCATTCTCCAGTCTGCTTCCACTTGCCGCAATTTAGCTTCAATATCGCGTTCTTTCACAGCAGCGATACATATATCTTCGATATCTTCCTTACACTTCAACAGAGGTAGTTCCATAATGTTTCGCAATCGTAGATCCTCTGCTTCGATATCGAGATGTCGTACACCAGTCACGTCAGCAATTCGTTGCCAATGTCGAAGTTGCATAGCACGATTGGACATCATTTCCAATAGAGGACAACCTTGAAGAAACAGATGTGCAAACTCAGGCATACATCAACTACTTACATTCACTGAAATCATCAATTGTTTTCTTCAATGCATAATAAGCAGGAAATTCTCGTAAACCTTTCGGTAATTTCCGACAAGCGGTTTGAAACTCTGATAACTCTTGATTGATTCGGTCGATATTCACATCAACCCATGCAATATCATAATATCCTGCAACGGTATCCAACACTCGATTGTACAGTCCATAGAGACGTTGCAATAGAATTAGATCTCTTCTAATCTTTTCCAATTGTGGATATTCGGTCACTGGTAATGCAAATAATTGTTCTCCACCGTGGTATGTCTCGTATTTTTTGTACAGATTTTCGACTCGACTCTGAAATAGAATTTGTCGATCACTTGATTCTCGTGGACTAAGACCTGGTCGTGTCGGTCCATTTTTTTCATAATCGCGATAGAATTGTTTGCATTCTTCATGAAACAATTTCACGTTTTTCAATAATTCTGAACGATATGTCGGTTGAATTTCGAGTAAATGCGATGTCATATTCGCCTGCAGCAGAAAGTAAACAAACTTTTCTTGTCAAATGGACAATGTCTAATACTTACACAACGACTTTGTAATCGTCCCCACCGGTATCGAAGTGTTTCCGATCGTTCCACTTCTTCTCGAGGGATTTTCACATCATGTAATTGTAGCATCGCATAGCACTCTTCAATAGGTGTGATGCTCATATCAATACGAATTTCCTGTTCACGCAAATCTTTTACAGCAATCATAATTAAACGAATATCTTCCAGATCTTTGATTTCCCGTGACAAACGTTTTTCGATATCCTCAATAAATGTCAACACTTCATTCATTTCTTTTCGATATCTAGCATTGCAGGCTTGACCATAGAGAATAACCCAATCGCGGACTTCTTGGTTCAACGCAAACTTCAAGTGTTCTACAAGCAAATAGAAAAGTTTCTAATCCATAACAAAACAAAATCTAACCAGTAAAGATTGCCAATGATCCAACAGACAGATACTCCGGCTGGGAATTGATATTCATGGAAAGATTTTCATAAAATTTGATTTCGTTTTCAAATTCTGAGACATGGGGATCATTCGCAAGAAATTGTCGCAGTTCATCATCGTGATCTTCGAGCCACAAGCGATTGTATTGAAGAAAGATTTCCAATGCTATTGCGATATCCTATAGATAAAAGTTACAACGAACGATGAGAAAGGAAAGGTATGACAAACTTTTTTCGTCGCATTGATACATGTTGCTAGTTGTGCAATGAGTTTCGCAATATCTTTGTTGTCAGTAACGTTTCGGAAGAAATTGTTCGACGTAGAAAATTGTACTTTGGGCGTTTGTTGTTGATCATCGAGTGTATTGACTCGTGAACGAGAAAGTGTGTTGTCGGTCGAAGAATCAGTATTATTGATGATTATCGGCGGGTTCACTGCATCGCTACGATCGGTTGCACGATGTTGATTATCATCTCCTTGATTCTCAGTTTCATTTTCCTTACTCTCGCCTTGTTTTTTCTGAAAGATAACCATATGAATGAACGTCTTCAACTGACTCTCAGCATTACCTTTGGCTTTTCTCTACGCCATTGAGACACATGTTTTGAGACCGATATGATCGTTTGTACCACTCGATTGACATAGATCTGCACATCATCAGCAGGAGGATGTATGGTCACATTCGGTATCGTTAATTCAGCAAACACTTTGAATAAAGGAGGTTCGAGGCGATTTCGACCTACAAAAAACAAAATGCCGCGATAGAAAATTCAAGTTTGATTTTGCTTCGCTCTTCTATACCATAAGTGCCCGTTGATGTCACTCTCTTTTTGATTTTCTCTAATGTTAACCGAATAACACGTATAATTGCTTCGAGATTTCGATGACTGAAATGGCTGAGCAAATCGGCAATAGCATTGGGTAGATTTTCGATTTGTTGTTCTCGTTTACGTTGAGATGATGCTCGCAGAATCACAGCTGATTTCTTCTGTTCACTCGCTGATGATACCGATGAGGTTTGTCGCGTCTGATTGACGACTGTCAGCCGAGTTGATCTTCTCGAGCGATGATCAGTAGCTCCTGCTCCTTCGTCTAAATTCAAATCACATTTTCGAGTGAACATCATGTCGAAGCACCCTCACCCTTACCATCCGATTCTTCATTATCTAGACCTAAACCTACACTTGAATATTGAATTTGCAAATCAACATCGGTCTCAGCAAGAACAATGTCGCCGCATAGAAGGTCGATGACTTCGAAGACAGCGTTTTCAATATTATAAGATTTGAGTTGAATTTCTTTTGCTGCTTGATTACATAATTCCTAATAAAAATCGAATCGATCCTAATCGTTCATTTTTCTTTCTTTTCAATCGTACTTGTGTATCCTTCAAGAACTTTTCCGGAGTGATCGCTTCATCATCAGGTATATCGCAGAGAGATATTGTACCAATCTCATGAAGTAATGCTTCGATTCGATAAGTAATCAGATTATTCATTCGTTCTAACATCAAATCGAATTCATCCAAAGCTGAGTTGACCTAAAAGTAAATGTTATCTGTCAAGAAATCGGAGGAAAGTGATTTAACCAACTGTAGTGATGAAATCATCGATGTTCAACGACGACCAAGTGATGGATGTAAGACCCGGTTTGATAATATCGTTCAAACGATGAATTTTCGGTGCTAAGAGCGCTTCGAATGGTTGTTCGATTTTCTCTCTCAATTGTTTATTTTTTTCCACTAATTGCGTCAAATTTTGATAGTGTCTCTTGATCACATCTTCCCGTTTAGTCAAAAGAACTGCCTCATTCGGAATTTCCAGACCTAGTCGTGCTAAGCATTGCGTTTCACGTATCAATTCCAAGATGTTCGCATCGAGATTCACAAAATATTCAGGATTCGTTTGTGATGTTGATGTTACGATGGTGTTCGAGGGCGTATGTATCGATGATCCGCTCAATGGAATCTCTTCGCGATTCACTCGAACTAAAATACTCGAATGGACACTGTTTGCCACGACGTCCACTTGGCGAAGCCAGCCTTGATGATACAAAAGTTCGTATGAGAGCAAAACTTTAGATAATTGGTTATAATTCTTGATGATTTTCTTCGCTTCGGGATATTGAAGAAGCGTTTCATTGCTGGAGAAAACTTCCATTGGTTCATGAATACGTCTGTATAATTGTCTTGCCCAGACAATGCGACCTCAAGAGAAGAAAAATGTTGATGAATTCTCGAAGAGAAAACTGATCATACTTACCAGCTATCGGTGGTAAATCTCGTGGAATCGGCGGTTCTTTGGAATTCTTCTGATAGATCTTTGCGACTAAGTCCAAGTCTTTCGAATATTGAAGTAGAACTTTGCCGTATTTTTCAATCAAACCAATATTCGGTAATTGCAATTTCTCGAAGCGTTTCAGTGTTGTTAGCGCACGTGTGGTACCTTTGATTGAATTGAAGTGTTTGTCGAGAAATTCGTTCAGACTTTGATGAAGATCAGCGATCGAACGACGAAAATCTTCGATGTCGTTATCAACTTCTTGTTTACGCTGATCGACGAAATCATAATCCTTGCGTTTGATTGTCATGACGATAGAATTGAATTTGGTATGATAAGCTGATATACCTTCGATTCTCGATTCAGCTAAACATGAGTACATGTTCATTGTTTCGAACATTTCAATAATTTTCTTGCATCGTCGTTCGAACGCGTCGAACTTGCCGAAAATGTACATTTCACTGAAATCAAATGGTCGCTCGTTCGGTGTCGAAGCTAATTTCGCTTTCGTCAAATGAAAATGTCGTTGATATTCTTCATTCAATTTGATACAATCACGTAGTTTCGAAATGACTTGCACTTGAGGCTGAGACCAAATCGTTTGCGTATAACTATTCGTGATATACTGTTTCGACGTTGTGATCATTTGATTTGTAATCTAAACTATGAAATGAATTTCACTGTTTAATTTTCAAGAATAGTTACTTTGACGAATAATGACATCATGCATTCGGAGGTGTTGTAATATCTCGATATGGAATGGATCATTCGAACAGCATTGATCAAGCCCGGAATAGATTCTAGCATTGTTACCGGATCCAAGTTGTACAATGGTTCGCAGAATTTCTCTAAGGTGTACAGATATCGAACATTATCTTTAGCTTCATTAGCAGCATCGGTTATCTTCATATCCAATGTTTTCCATTGCTAGGTGAAAGAGAGAGAGAGAGAGAAATGAACGTTGTTCAATAAACAGAATTTACTTGAATGAATTTGGACTTCGCGGTTTGTAGAATGGTCAAAACACCTCGAACATTTTGAGATTTGATCTGATTGAGTAGAAAGTTGAATTTGGTCAGCCGACGTTTCCAATAATCCAATTCAGCTCGTGGCCCAATATTATCCGCTTCGCGACGAATTTGTTCACTTTCTGCCAAGACCTTTATTTAAAGACAAGCAAAATTCCTCTAATTATTAATGAAAAATTCTTCTTTTACTTGTTCCATTTGACGGATCCATGTCTTCATCGTTTCTTCGATTAATGCTAAACTTTCCGGATTAGATGCAATCGTCGCATAATCAGCTGGGCTTTGTATTTGTGTTAGATCAATCCGATCGCATGGTTTAAGCAAGATACGTTCATTAATACTCTCCTGTGCATTGTTTAACGTATCAACGAAATTAGTTAAACGCCCGATAAAATCGATTTTAATCATTTGACCATTTTCCAAACCCCAACTGTTCTCCGACGCTTGAAAATACGGTAAATAGACATCCGATATCGATCGAATTAATGTTTGAAGAATCGGTTCAGTTTGACATTCGAGTGTATGGAAAAAAACTTCCTAAACATAAAACATCGAATAGGCTTTCATAGAAAGGAATCATACATTCGCGATATTTTGTTCGGTGATGAGCGTAGTCTTCGAATTTCGAAGAAAACATAGACATATGCCTTGCAAACTTTGTTGACTCAGATCAGCGATGGTCACTTTCGGCTTCATTGGTTTGGTACTACTCGTACCGGAATGACTCGAATGTATTGAATAACGTGAACGATATCCATCAGCTAGGAAAACAAAGATAAATATGGGATAAAGTATTTCAAAGATCGTTTTACATCCACTGTGATGACTTTCACTGTCGGGTTCTTGATAGAAGAAGATTAGATATTGATTACCATTTTCAGCAAAGAACTGATCCATAAAGTTAAACTAGATGCAGAAATTTGGTGGATTTTAATGAAGAGACTATGAATATTTACATTTGGACTCTCGAGTACGTTATCTTCGATTTCATTCCGATCGACTTCCAATCGTGTAGCAATAATATCGAATAAATATCGATTTCGTTCGTCGAGATGAGCTCGTTTTTGTTCTCGTTCATCCCGAAGGCGTTGCTAAAACAAAAACAATATAACTTAACTATTTCCATCGTTGTCAATGCATCACCTACAGCATATTCAACAGCAGAGACATTCTGTCTCGTACGTGAAAACATCTTACTGATTGTATTCGCAGTTACTTCTTTTATTTCATATATAGAAATAAAACAGAACTGTTATTGTCGTTATAGTTACTATCTTTGTCATGTTAACATGTCTTATCACATCAGAAGAATTAACATACGGAATCTTTCATGTGCTGCTAAGTGAATCGATGTGAAAACGTTTTTCAACAAAGTAAAGTGCTGTTTAATAGTGAAAGAAACCTATTGATTGATCGTTCCGAGTTCCGTAATAGTCTGTTCGTTGAGTTATGCTTTATCGGTGAGAGAACAAAGTTAATTTTTTCTTTTAATAATCGATATCGATTCATTAATGTCAAATGAATGCATGAGAATTGGTCTTATGTACACAAAGGAACTTTCTCTTTCTTTTGTCGACGAGAACCGATTAAATTTCTCTCTTTGTCAATATTTCTATTTCGAAAACAGGATAAGTTATTACCTGCATATCATTTATATTCTCCCGACTAATTGTATTAATTCGCGGACGAGCCGTTGCCGATGAGGGTTGTTGTAACTGGTGAGCTCTCGATGGTAATGATGCCATCAGAATTTCGTATTAAAAATAACGACGAAACTTCTGTTCTGTGAAAGAGTGAGACTGTTCTTTTCTTTTATTGATCCGTTATCTGAAAATCAAAGAGGGTAATAGAGACACTCTTTAGATAAGATGATTTACTCTGCTCGAAGTCATATCATTATACTGTTTGAAATACTATGACAACGACAATTATTTGATTGATGTATGACTATGATTGGGTCAATTTTGTTCGTTTCTTAGATTGGGAAAAGAAAATTAGGAAGATTCATTTTTGTTTTTTTTCAAGAATAGATTGGAACTAGTAGATCAGTAGATGCCACTGATGAGCATATATTGATAAAAAACTCGGTGTTATCAGTGATGCTTTCGAGAAATTGTTCGTTTTAACGATGATATCAATCAGTTTTTGATTTGAAGAAAGCCGATTTAGATCGTACTCGAAGTGCATAGTAGACTTGTAAAAAGCAGTGATATTCAAAGATATTCTCCTTGGAAACTGTGACTGCGTCATAAATGACGAAGAAAAAAAAAGAGTAAAAATATTCTTTTCATTAAAATAAAAGGAAGGGAAGACTTGACACCGTTCTTTTTCTCTATCTAAGCGTTTGAATTTAAATGCGTAATCACGCAACAAAGACATTCCTCTTCTCCGCAGTTGGAGAACGCCCATTGACAGTTCATGTCCCTCGAAGGTATTCTTTCACAATATCGTGTTTGAAAATATTGCTGAAAGTGTGAACCAATGGAAAAGTCATTTGATTGGAAAAAAGATCGAATACCAGCAACGAAAAAACACCAGTCATCTTTGTTCGAGAATTTGCGGCCACGGAGTCCTGTCGATCATCATTATTAAAATCACCCAGGACTACTGAAGACAGATGAGCATTCTTGACAGAATTTATTGGTTCTTTTCGAAAGGCCTGTATGTTTTCGAGGAAGAGTAGAATGCACCGGAAAAGAATCTAACATTGACATTTCATTTGTTTCGATTATTCATTTCGTCGAAAAAATAACAATATGTTGTGTCAACTACTTCCGATAGTATTTGGATGGATCATCTATCCTCGATTTTTTTGTTCTTGTGAATGTTTGAATTTCACAAATGTTCATTGCAATAAAGTAGAAGAGAAACGATTTCCCGATAGGCAGCCTTTGGACATTATTCTACTAAAATGATAAAAAATTGCACCGAAATTGACAGGTTTTGTAATTTATTTTCAGAATATACATATACAGACAAATAGATTTAACTTTCACAGGGATTTTTTCAAACGAAATGATGATCTATGGAAAGATAATTTTTGATAATTCCACTGCTGTCGATGTAACTGGTGTCACGCTGGCATCAACAAACAAGAATTTCTTTTCTTTCTCCTGTTGATGATTGAGATTTATTGGTTGATACGAACCTCGACCGGCATTCGACGTCGATCCATTACAACCAGTTCGATAGCCACTAACAGAAACCGGACGTTTCAGATATTCCTTGCAATCGAGAACAGGCGATGAACGACGTTCCTTCGCATTCGGACAGCAGCTTTTAGAAAGACGAACGAAACTTTGACGGAACTTTGTTGACATTATTGAATACAATAATGGATTGATCTAAAAGTAGGATTAATTGAATGACCTTTTTTCTCCTAGTGTTTTCTCGCATGACTCGAACGAATTAGTTTTTGTCGGAGTCTGCGTCATCAAAGCTATTGTTAAATAGAGCACCTGTTAATCACTCGAGTTAAACGAGTACACAAAAGAGCAGCGCGTTTTGAACATTTCCGCAGAAAAACGCACCTTTTTCTCTCGTTATTAAGACAAAAGACAACTTACGGCGGAATTTAAATAGAGCAACAAACGTGTGATGATGATAAGTAATGAATGTCGACGAAATCCTAATCGATGAAATTGTTCTAGACTTAATTGAGGCTGAATGATTCCCCAGATTTTGTACGGTAGAATCAAAACAAAAAACGAAACAATCAGAACAATAAGCAGTTGGGCGACTTGTCGTCGATAACGTGTGACAATTGTGTTATCACGCAGAAGAGCTTCGCGGTTAAATAATACCGAACAAATGGAATAATGCCAACAGATAAGCATGATAGCAATGATTATATAAATCATCACTGTACATGGTATAAGATACCAAATCGACCAACTCGGATGGAATTGGGTTAAACCTATCAACGAAAAAGAAACGGATGGAATGCAGAATAACATGTGTGTTGATTTCTTACAGATTGTAATTGTTTCGTTGTATGTTGATCCAACAGAATATGTATTTGTGAAGATAAAGAAAGGACTTGACATACAACAAGATATAATCCAAAAGATGATAACTGTTGGTAACGTGTGAAATACCGTTAAACGAAGAGAATTTGTCTAAAAGTTTTCTTTGAAAATTATCGATTTAGTTTTCAACCTTAGATTTACCTTGAATGGTTGACATATAGCAATGTATCTTTCGTAACTGATCGCCATGATTGTTAAAACTGAACAAGTTGCAGTTGCATTTTGTACGAACGGACTAAATCTACCTGCAAAAAACGATTTTGTCTTTTGAAATCTGACAAGTTTCCCCTTTACATACACATGAAAGTTCCTAGACGATGTTTATCTTTCCCATACAAATGTTGGTAACCATCCGCCGTACAAAATAATAAAACGGAAAGGTCAGCAATCGATAAATTGGTAAGAAGATAATTGGTTGCATTGCGCATATCTCGATATTTCGTCACGATAGTAATCACCAAGGCGTTACCGATCACACCAACGACAAGAATAAGACTGTAGAAAAGACACGCTGTAAGTTGTAAACCGGGATACCATTCGATTGGCGAAACTGTTTCGTTACTATCGCCATTTACTTCCATATCTGTTAGTAACAAAATGATGTTCTCTACGAGACTACTGAATGGAATAGAATTGTCATCTGAAAGAAACATACAAAAATACTTAAGAATTGTATTATGTTCTTCACAGCGTAGGCGATTGGCGTATAATTGAAAAAAAACCCTAATTTGAAGAGAATTTAGATAACAATATATATATTTATTCTCAAGGATACATGACATTCTTAATAACTACCTTAATTCTCTTCAAAATGCTTATGTATTCAACACGTAATTAGTCGTTTTATTTTCGTCGCTAAAGAACAGTTGTAGTATCGAGTTCATCTACACTAACTGAAACTCATTGAAGATGACCTTCTCCTCGACTTCGTCTATCTGAATTGTTGTTTTGGAAATGAGAGAATAACTGTCATATAGATGTGTACTCGTTCGTTCTATTAACTATGATACCGACAAGCTGTCACCCCCTCTTACTATTGACGTTAGTTATTCTAGCAGGTTGATAATCATTGTTTACAATTCGTCTATTCTTTCTTTCTCTATGTCATTATTGTTGATTTTATTCCGGTGTCAGCGTCATTCGGAATGTCGAGTAAAGAAAGTTAAATGTCTCGGTACTTGATTAATATTCGACTTCGACTCATTGTCAGAAAAAAGGACGTCACAATGAACTACAGTCAAGAAAATTGATCATTTTTTCACGAATGCTAAATGATCCGCAACTTCCGGCTGTACCAAGACGAATGATAGTATTTTTCAGGGAAACTAACGAGAAAAAAAGAAATATCCGCTTGTCGAGCTTAACTAACGACTGTCGAGCTGACATGTGAAGAAAGACAGTAACATCTAGTTTAAAGGCAATGCAACGTGTGATGAAATGTCAGCTTAGAGAAAGTGTTTTCCATTTTGTCGAAATTAATAAAAAAAAACTCGTCCTTAGGATGATAATTAACGATAAAAAATTGACATAAAGTTTAGAAGAAAAGAAATAATTATAAATGGCACATCTCATCAGCTGAATTCGTTTGACACTCATACATTTCCAGGGCTGTAACATTTTAAAAAAGAGAAGGTCTAAATATTTGATAATGATCTTTTACGCAGGAACATTTCTATTCGTCTTAGCATACTAAATATCTGATTTTTTGTAACAAAATGCTCAGAAATCTTTTATTAATAGACATCGATGAGAATATTTCATATTATTGTCGAAAAGAAAAGAAAAGAAAACAATAAGACAAAATAAACTAACCTTGTTGACATCAGTTTCAATCAATAATGTAAGTCTAATATAATCAAGAATTCTAGCCGAATTAATTTTCATATAAACATCATAAGTAAATGTTATCACAGCACATTAGTCAAGTGAAACGACTTACAGATGATTATTTTTCGTTTATTCGAACAAAAAAAGCCAAAGAGAATGTTATCGACATCGAACAGATTTTTCTATCCTGTTTGATGATAGGCCAGGCTCGTTCTCGACAATACGACGAAGAAATGAAACGCACTGCAAGTGCTATTAATGCAGCTTCAATGCATTCTATCAATGAATAATCTGTCTAATAGTACTATTTTACTCTGAAACATGAATGCGACGTAATGACGCGAAATTAGATCGTTGTTTTTCTTTTCTAGAAAGAGTTTCATAGGACAATTCATGCTTAATTGTTCAAATAACGCGCACGAAGCTGTGATCAATCGAAGAAGAAAGTGAGATTTCTTATCTGAATAATTTAGTCATGAAGTTGTTTTTCTTGTCAGACTCTCATGAGAATTTCCGATGACTATCACTGATTAGAAACAATTCCAATTAAAACTATCTGCATAGAATGCAACTGTCGAAGTCCTTTCGATACTTCAGACATGGTTTTCATCTTGAAATTGTTTTTTTTTCTCACACTAGATTGAACAAATCATATTCTCGTATTTCTGACTGATCTTTTAAATGGTCTAAGATCATATTGATCAAATTGAGCGATCATTATCATATTGTCAGTTAATCTGCTTATCCAAAACTGCACTTTTCTGAGCAAATAACGATACTCTCCTCACTTTTATGTCTATTTTAGAGCACTCATGCTGTTAGAAACAGAGCACGAACTGCTACTGACACAACATGCCCATCTACAATGATGGAAGCTTTTATTGGCAGAGATAGCTAATTGGTAAAGCACCCGAGGACGCTACAAGCTGTCACAAGTATCGAAAGACAAAAATTGCATTCTTCTAATGAACATCAGTTAGCATGTAGTACTTACAAAATTGAAGTAGATTGACAATGCATTGTTTGCTCATGCCTAGATGACTTCGCTATTAGACGATAATGAACGTCGATTGATTGTGTGGGGGTGTGAATATCGAAGTTTTCTTGGTTATTTATAGGCGCACTGAGCGAATATTAACTGACGAGCGAGAAACGTTATTTTCTGTTTTCCGTTCGCTTATTTTGCGAGAGTAGACACGAGTACTCTTTTAGAACTCTCATTGACCTTTTGCGTGTTTCTTTTCGGAACTACACAAGATACGAATGATTAATATATGCTTGCGGTAGAATAACATATTCGATTTCATATTTCTTTGATCAACATGGACGATTGAATGATCATTTCAGATTTTCAAAGAGTTAGGCACATTTTGTGACCATATCGAAGTTGGAAACATGATAAAAAGACATTTCTTTTTCTTCGATTCATCAATGTCAACATCTTCCTTCCTGGTACAAGTTTTGTTTGAGAAATTTTCTCATCAACTATCCATTTATGTTTGTGCATGAATTCGAAAACAAATAGCAAAATAGTTATTTGATAATATCAATCTTTGATTAATGAAGTTTTCCCAAAGCTAAATGATAGTATCGATCTCCCAGAGCAAGTAATTCTGCATGAGTACCACATTCAACGATGACGCCATTGTGCAGGACGCAAATCATGTCTGCATTTTGGATTGTTGATAGGCGATGTGCGATGGTGATAGACGTTCGATTTTCTTGAGCACGATCTAAAGCTTCTTGAACAATCTTCTCGCTTTCAGTATCCAGTGCGCTCGTTGCTAAAAAACAAACAAACAAACTTGATTTATTGGTCTCATCGTTTACCTTTTGTCTTACCTTCATCGAACAAGAGGATCTTTGGATTGCGTATCAATGCTCGAGCAATTGCTACAACAACATCAATAAGAATCTCATTCAATTGTATATAACTTCATACCAATTCGTTGCTTTTGTCCACCAGATAATTGAACACCTTTTGCACCACATCTGGTTTCATATCTCTATGGAAATCGTCTTGACTAAGGTGAGACAATATCTAAAGTTACAACTTACATCGGGTAAAAGTTGAATGAAATCGTGTACATTAGCACTTTTTGCAGCTTGGATGATTTCTTCTATAGGAATATTCTCTCGACTATTATCACCGTAGGCAATATTTTCTCGAATGGACATATCGAACAGTATTGGTTCTTGTGAAACAAGTCCGACTAGAATATAGAGAAAATCGCGAGAAAATGTTCAAAAAAACACTATTGTGACAAACTTTGAGATCGATACCAATACAAATCAAGATTTCTTATATCTTCCGAATCAACTAACTGAACAGAAGTAGACTTATTTCAAACGAAATGAAATCCGTATTTACCAAACCACCGCCGATCGGGTCGTAGAAACGTTCAATTAGTTGGATAGTTGTTGATTTGCCACATCCAGATGTACCTGTTAACTCTCTGATGGAATAAACAGTAAAAGCATCAATTCAGAGCACTTACCAATCAAAGCGACTTTTTGCCCTTGAACGACAAACATTTGTGATAAATGAGACTGTTAACATCGAAAATACGTACCAGATTTAATTTGTAGTTTAAAATGTTTCAGAACTGTAGCCTCTGGTCTGCTTGGATAATGAAAAGTAACATCGTCGAATTGAATTCGTCCAGTAAAATCCGACTAAATTGGCAGAATGAAATGTAATCTCTATGAGACAATGTTACTTACAATCTGACGACCTTTTCGAGATTCATTATCGATCAATGGTTTTCGATTCAATAGATCAAAGATATTCTCTGCAGCTTTTATCGCTTTACCATAATCAGGAGATCTACAGCACATCATGCTCATTTTATACGAAATAATCGATTCAAACAATTTACAATGTTAAGGTTTGACTGGCAATCCGAGCAGTAAGAACAATAGAATCAAAGACCCTAAATTAATCAATGATTCACAGCGTTGCAACACACATGCGTGACTTACATAAAAAAATCTTCAAATGTGATCATCTGTCGATTGATTAGATAAGCCCCGAGAGCAATCAGTGCAGCCATTGCAAAGAAAAACATTGCGCTCGTCGTAGCATACAGAATACTTAACATTTGTATACGTTTTCGTGATGAACTGGGTAAATCGCTATGATAGAATTTACGAAATAATTAAAAGTAAAAGTACTCACCGATGTACCGTATCGATACATTTCGTGTATTGATCGTAGAAATAAGTTTCTTTAGACAATTGCATGACCGTTCGAATATTTTGTATTGCCTCCATTGCGATCTAAGATAGATGTACAATACTAGGAAACTGTACGCATTCTCAAACTTTTCCGGCATTTTCTAAATGTTCTTTGTCTTTCTTTTCGAATTTTGTAATCAAACGAAGTTGTAGGACTGCACCAAAGATGATCAATGGCAAGAAACCGATGATCAATAATGTCAATTGCCAAGAAAAGATGAAACCAATGAGAATTCCAGCACCAACAGTGACAAAATTCTGAAGCAGAACGCCTAAACGAACCCCGCTGGCACCTTGTACAGCAGATGCTTCCGTTGCAAGATATGTACACAATGCCCCGCTACTATGAGCAGGCTCATCGAAGAACGCAACGTCTTGACGAAGAATCGCGCGAAAAGTTTTTGAACGAAGTCGTTTCGTCAAAGCTTCACCGGCCCAAGCAAACAGGAAAATCTGGAAAAGGGAAATTGAGAAAAATTGAAGAAACTGCTTCATACCTGTGACGATTGAACAATGAAGCCACAGATTCCAAAACCGATGTAGATGAGAGAGCAGAGCAGCACTTGTTTTGCTTGCTTGTCTTTATCACATTCTTCGAAAGCCTATGAAAATGTTCGTTAATCAGATTCGAAGATGCGAATACGCAGATGAATGTCGCTTACTGTCACTAGTTTTGTTTGTACAATCGCTGATGTTGGTTCGAGTGTACCATTCACGAGAGCAGCAACACATCCGAGAACAATTAATAACCATTCAGGTTTGTTCATTTTCAAAATCGATAAAGTCGTGTTCGAATCAATGCGCTCGAAAGAAGAAGAACAAGAGATGTATTTCTATGAGAAACAAGATCGATTTAGATTTTATGTACCTTTTGCACTTCTTCAATTGATTTTCTTTTCGGATGAAAAGTATTGATCATAGATGCAGCAATATTTGCCAGTGTTGACCGGCGTTTCTTATTTAGGTCATATCGAGCGGCGGATGTTAGAATTGGTTCAGGTTTTTCAACTTGTATCGCTTCGATTTCTTCCACCTGTTGCAACTGTTGATGTTCAACAAGACCAAAGTAGATGCCATGCATTTTCATCAACAAATCATGGTCACCTTCTTCAACTACTTCACCTTTCTGTAGAACGATAATTTTATTCGCATGACGAATTGTTGAAAGACGATGTGCAATGATGATTGTGGTTCGACCTATTTATGTTACAAAAGCATAGTTGTGAACTTTCCTGTGCGATCAAATATACCTTGAGCAGCACGATCCAGTGCCTCTTGTACTAATTTTTCACTTTCGTTATCGAGTGCGCTTGTAGCTATGATAAAATCAATAGATGTGAACGAGAATTAGAAAAAGTCATTTACCTTCATCAAGAAGTAGAATTTTTGGATTTCGAATCAATGCTCGAGCAATGGCTAGAAGAAGGAACGAACACTGCAATAGAATCATCGAACTATGCAACTTCGTTACCAATTCTTTGTTTTTGTCCACCAGATAATGCCACACCACGTTCACCAACATGGGTCTCATATTTCTACAAAAAGGAGCTTTATACAAACGAAAGGTTTCTACCGTTATCCTACATGTGGTAATGACATGATAAAATTGTGTGCATTAGCCATCTTAGCTGCTTCGTATATCTGTTCATCCGTAGCTGATTGGCATCCGAACAAGATATTCTCACGAATAGTTGTTTGAAACAAGATCGGCTCTTGACTAACAACACCAATATGTTGTCGTAACCATTGTAGATTATAATCGTTGACTTTGACACCATCGAGAAGAATCGCACCCGATTGATAACTATAAAATCGTTGGAGTAATTGAATACATGTTGATTTACCGGATCCGGAAGCGCCGACTAATGCAATGGTTTGACCGTGTTCAACGTTGAATGAAACACCATGAAGTATCGGAACATTCAATCGTGTTGGATAGGAAAAATGAACATTACAAAACTGTATAGTACCCGTAAGATGTTTTTTCTTTAAACCCTTGTCTAACGTATTTTTGCTAGTTGATGGCTGAACAAAAGTAAAATCAATGAATTGTAGGAGGCAATAGCAACTGTTCTCCGGTTACCTCGTCGATGATACTCAAGACAATACTAATGGCTTCTCGAGCTTGAATAACTGCTTGAAAAAATGGACTTGCTTGTTCCAAACAAAGAACGCCCATGTAGATACCCATGAAAATCTAAAACGTCAACATGTCACAATTTCCAACAGTTCCGCATTCTTACTGTGAAAACATTGCCAATACTATAATTTTCCTCTCGAACTAATTTCGCTCCATACCAGAATCCTACACAAGTCAAACATCGTATTATTCATTTCAAAATCCGTTTTCTTTCACCTAATGCAAATATGGAATAGATTAAACATAATAATAATCCATTTGCTATACCATCCACAAGACTCTTCTTCATCCCACTCTTTTTCGCTACATCCAAATGCCGTTCATATCTGTGGAATACAAAAATCATCTCATTTGCGTATAATTATCTTCACAAACCTATGTGTTTCTCGTTCTTGACCATTGTAGCACAAAACTGTACGAATCGAACTAATCACTTCTTCGGCAACTGCACCTGCTTTACCATACGCTTTCAGTTCTTTCGAAACCATCTTTCCAATAATCTAAACACAGATATTTCCATTCGCATCATATTGTGTCGAACTTGCTACACTTACTCTACTCGAAATGATAATCGCCAGGAAAACAATCGGTAGCATTGACAACACAACAAGTGTTAATTTCCATCCTTTGATAAAGCCTACATTATTCAATAAAAATCAAACAGATCCTCTGCCAATCCAATCTTACCAATAATTAAACAACTAATGAAAGTTGATCCTATTTCTATCACTGTTCCGAGTTTGTCTCCAATCCCATTGGCAATTTTATTAATATCGTCAGTTAAACATGTACTCAATTCGCCAGTCTTGTGCTGATCGAAGAAATAAACGTCTTTCTGCAGAATAGATCGAAAAAATCTATGACGAATGATTCGACTCTGTCGATCTGCTAAGGAATTAAATCCCACAGTTCGAATATAACCACCCAGAAACGCTACACAACCAATAATAACCGAATAAACTATTTGCTTATGTATCCGAACATTCGTATCCACACTGATACCAGTAATATTACATATTCTAAAGAAAGCTATACCATTAGAACATTAATTCATATTCATTAACTCACGATAATGTTGAATAGAAATTTGATGATGTTAAAATGATTCCCGGTGGACAATACATTTCAGTTAAAGACGTATAATTCAATGAACAAAGATTGGTTGTGCTATCAATAAATGCATCAATCGATTCGCCGAAGATTACCATGGATAACGGTAATGTAAGACCAAGTACTCCAGCTGCTAAGCTCGCCAATGAGAAATACAGTAAGTCAATCGGCGTGAAGAATCGATACTAAAACGTGACAGTTCTGTAGTAAACGCAAAACATAGGAAGATTTGTCTATTTACAAGATTTCGAAAGCTCGTTGATTTTTCCTTTTGGATTTCTTCAGGTTTGACATTGTAAAAGGTCTTTTCGTCATTTGTATCATAAGCACTAAATATCGGATAGGTTCATGAAAGCAGCAAACGCATTTTTCATTTACCCCTTTTCCGGAATGCTTTGTATTTTTAAAAGAACAACATCGCTATTCTTAGGGATTATATTCGAGATTCTTTTACTAGGCATTTCGCAAGACTTTGATCTATGAAATACAAGAAAAAACTCATCTTGTTTATCGTCAAACAAAGGAATTATTGGAATGCGTATCATTAGTGTAACTTACTTGTTCAAAGGTTGTTTTTGAAGACACAACTGCAGACAGACATATCTATAAATATTGTGTTAAGAATTCAATCGAAGTCGATTTATTGATCGTGATATCTAAATATTTGACGAATCCAACTTAATATTTGCTATTATCTATCAATATTTTTCTACACTCGACATTTGACGAAAATATGTTGATCAAATCAAATATTATCACAGTCGAGTAAAAAGTTAGCACACAGGTCAAATCCCGGATGGTAAAGAATTGTATACTGGCGACATCTATAACGTCCGTGTAAGACTCCGATGTGTTCTTCAGCCAATCTATCTTTCGTTGATCTTAACCGATTGGTGTTGTCCGGTCGTAGATCACTTTTTTTCGAATTGAAATGAATTAACATTGAAATTGTCTTGTAGATGGTTGCAAAATCGAAAAAACCCAAATCTCAAGCATCTACTCCGTTGAAAAAGTCTGAGCTCTTGTTCAAAGTGGGTAAAGATCTTCCGAAATGGTATTCAATCGAAACTCCATTATCATCATCATCCAAATCAAACGACAAATATGACAAACAAAAATGCGAGCAAATCTATCGAGCAGAGTGTGATCTATACCAATCGCTTTATCAGCAAGATCAATCCTCCGATTATCAATGGCTACAAACATCTCTTTCGACGACATCCAAAGTATGGAAATTGTTCAGTGAAGAAAATCTTACTTCTGTCTTTATAGGATCGTCTAGCAGCTTTAGTCACACTGATTCGTCGTTCACCTGTTCATGCCGTAGGAGAACTCGACAATTTAATAAAATTATTACGAACGAATATTGCCCGTCGTCGTGACGCATTAACCATCGCCGAAGTTCTTGAAGATGTTTTCCTTAATATTTACCTACCTGAAAATCGTCGTTTGTTGAATATTAATCAACAAACACCTTCTTCCAAACAAGCAGCAGCACTTGCATATGTCGAAGATACGGTCAAACAACTTTACTCTAGTTTTATCGATCTTATCCAAGTTTGTAGAGAAGATTTTCATAAGGAACACTGATTGACTGAATTTTCTAGCAAATAGCACATGATCCAATCGGTCAAATACGAACCAAAGCAGTATCGATGCTGGAGCGTTTATTATCTCAACGACCGGAACAAGAAAAGCGTTTGTTAGAATTGATTGTCGATAAACTAGGTGATCCAGACTCTACCGTTGCCTCTAAAACATTACATCTACTCACTCAACTTCGTAAGTAACAACAAGAAGCCAAGGAAAGTCACATTTATTGTTTGTTTTACAGTGGAACAACATCCTGGTATGAAAACAGTTGTTGTGAACGAAGTCGAACGACTTCTTTTCCGACAAAACGTTCGTCAAAGTGCGCAGTATGTTAAAAAAGACGTTCCTTTTCTTCTTTCGAATTTGTTCAATTCTCGATAGACATTATGGTCTGTGTTGCTTGACAGCAATAACATTTTCCAGTCAAGATAACGATTTAGCAAATAAATTGATTAAGATATATTTTGCTCTTTTTCGAGTAAGTCAAAACTGATCGGCTAATTCAATGTGAAATTCGATATTTTAGTTAATCAGTGTCAAAGAAGATGCCAGTTCGAAGTTCTTTGCAATACTTCTGGGTGGTGTAACACGTGCGATTTCCTTTGCTCAAGGTAAAGGAAAGCCTAGTCTTTTATTCCTAATTCAAGACTCACGAGGTTACTTCTTTTGTCAGACTGAGCATATTTATGCAATTATCGCTTCGCAGAAATCAGATCTCCTATTCTCACTTAATTAGATAGAGACGATAAATACAGTTCGATTCGTCTCTCCCAATACGTTATACAAATCGGATACAAGGTTAGGAAAGAATAGCAAATCGTCCCTTGATTCCCGGATCACATAGTGCAGTGATGTTCATCAAACAGATGTTTTGGTTGATTCATTGATGACCTTTAGTACGAAATTTCTGCATATGGTCTCATCAGGAAATGGCTCTTGAGGTATGCAATATGCCGTAATAAAAAAAATAAACTGCGATGTTCAGTAATGAGAATTTGACGCCCGATGGGTAAAAGAAAGCCTGGATAAACAGAATCTGGAATGTGTTTGTAATCGTAACTTTGTTGTAGTTGACCTTGATAATATCGTTGAACATCTCAATTATCTCTTTCGGATTGTTCATGCAACTAATTTCAAAACAAGTGTTCGAGCATTACAATTACTCTTTCGTCTTTCCGAACAACGGTAAATCTTGTCTTCGTTCTAAAATTTCATCAAATTTTGTCTTTGATTCAGATCGGAAATTGACGATCGATATTACAATGCATTATACAAGAAATTATCCGAACCCGAATGGAAAAATTCGAAGATGCTTTCGACTTTTCTCAATTTGATCTTTAAGTCTATGCTCAAGGATTCCATGGAATCTCGAATTCGAGTTTGTTTGTCTTTCAATCTTTTTCACAACTTATCATCTTTTCAAAGGCATTCATTAAACGTTTGTTGCAACTAAGTCTCTTTAATGATGTTCCATTCATTTGCGGAATACTTCTATTGATCTCCGAACTCGTCAAGCGACATCCAAATGGTTCAAGATTACTTCTATTTTCTCAGAAAGCAGCTTTAACAATTGATCAGAACACTGGCGGCAACGATGACGATGACGAAGAAGAACATTTTCACGATGTCCCAACAGATGATGAACAACCGCTACAAACAGTTCCCGAAATCTCCTCCTGGGATCATAAGACTCTGAATAAATCGAAGCAAACCAATCTTGATCATTATGATATCTTTAAACGTAATCCACTGTACTGTGGAAGTGAATACACATGTTTACACGAATTGTTATTCCTTCGTCAACATTCACATCCAACTGTTGCTCTTTTCGCACAGAATGTTTTTAATGTATGTACATTTGCTTCTGCTCGTGAATTTTTATCGATTGTTTGCTTTTATTAGGGTAAACCAATTGAATATAATGGAAATCCATTAGTAGATTTTAATCCGATGCGATTTCTCGATCGGTTCGTTTACAAAAATCCGAAAAAACAAATTACTAAACATGGTATGTGTGCCCATCGAATTTCTATGAAAATTCATCGATTCATCTCTGTTCAGAACTTCTTCGCAAGAAATCGCGTCATGCAGTCGGACGGCTCTACCTTCCAAAAGGTGTCAAAGCTGTTCCTGTCGATAGCAGTGAATATGCGCGATTAAATCCAGCGAATATTCCTGCCGACGAACGTTTTCTTTATACGTATGTTTGAAAGAAATACTACTCCGAAACATCAACAACGCTCTTTTTCTTTTTATCTTTAGTTTCATGAAAATGCGACAGGAGAATAGTGACGCAGTTCAATCGCGAAAGAAAGACAAATCCACCGATGATTTTGAAGGCGATATCGATGACAACGAAAGTATCGAAAGTGTTTCTGACGATGAATTCGATAAATATTTGGGTAAGTAAAGCCTCTCTTGACGTATTCATACATTGACAATAATCTACTCTGACAGTACTCATCTACGAATGAATGACTATCAAATCGAAAATATCCGAAGCCTTTCATTCGTATTTTTTCATATTACTCGAGTTCTAATGCATATGTACTTCATCTTATTGATTTGTTATTGTTGGCGTACAGAGTACAACGAGAGAAATAAGAGTTGACAAGTGTTGATCTAATGATTATTTTTCCCATTGGATTTCTTTGAAGGACATACGAAGAAAAAAAATGAAGACAGTCATGTCGAGTTCTAACGATGACAAATTATATTTCGAGAATAGTTTTATAATTGAAGTCATAAAATCTACGAAAAGATAAAAACTCTTGAGTAGCAACTCGACTGGCCATGGTCAACTAATAAAAATCAAGTGACATAAGTTGAGTTTGACACTTGTATCACTTTTCATATAACCTTTCAGTTCTATAAAAGCAAAAGAGAGGATCAACGATTACTCGCTTAGAATGTTTAATTATATTTTAATCTTATCTTGTGTGACAAATCATTCTTCTATTCGTTGTTCATTAGACCATTTTATGGACGATGTTGATAAAGATGAAATTGATGTTGATGAAGATGATAACAATAGTGTCGAAGATATTGCAAGGTTAGTCATTATGATTAAAATAAATGAAGAACGAAAAGAGAAACATCGAGCAAAATTCTCTATTTCTAGTACTGTACAACGTGTTCGTCGTACTGATGAATTAGTTGATGATGACGATGATGATGATGATGTGACCAATCGTCCTTCTACATTAAATGATGGTGATGAACACTCCGATGATGAACAACTTGATGATAATGAACATGAATCAATTAGTAACCAACATATTCGTGATAATTTTAAAGTAGATAATGAACGAGGTAGGAGGAACACGATCAATGTTCGGGGTGATTATGCATGCGAAATATTTGTTCTTCTAGAAATGAAACAGATCAAATGGGAAATGGATCGTGAACGAACGTTTGCGCAACGTTCGCGTCGTTATGACAAACACATGAAGAAAACGGGAAAACGAAAACCGAAATTGACCCGTCGAGAAAAACGTCGACAAATGAATGAGACGAACTTGAAAAAGAAGAAACGTGTTCATTTTAGTTGATGATTTTCATTTTTGGTGTTTGAGTAAAGGAGAGAGAAAAAAAAAGAATGTGTAGTAATCGATTGATTGCATTAAAATCTTTTCCATTTTTGTTTTTCTTAATTGTTCGAAGATTGCAAAGACAAGAAAAAAAAAGATCTTAACGATTTATGCGAGGTATTTGTCAAGATGTTAAACCTTGAACTTTGAGGATCGAGGGAAAAGAGCGAGAAAGAGATGCGTATAGAATCACTGCACATTTCTAAAGGCTATATGATGAAATTGTAAACCTGTTGTTGTTATTGTGGATGTCGACTGATATTTAATGAAGAGAAACCGTAAAGATCAATATTATTTCTAGTGATCGCTGTCTGTTCTACCTTCTCTTGACGATATATGTGGATATACATATATCAAGGTTAATATTTTACTAGTCGCAATTTATTCGCAGACACGAACAAAGACACACACACGCACACGTTATATTGTTATCAGATGTGACGTGTATATGTATGTCGTTGAGGGTAATCCATTGAAAGGACCCTAAAGAATATTTTTACTAGTTCAGTCGATGACACATTGCGGCAGGAAGAAAGAGATGAATGACCCTTATGAGACCGACCTACCAACCCACAATCATATATACAATACCGTTTATATAGAGATGCATGTGTGCGTGGTCACTAGCAGTCAAGACATGAATTAGCCATTCCGGTGTTCGCACTCGGTAGGCTGAGCGTTAGCGCATGTTCATTGTCTGACTTTTTCTCTCGTTCTCACGTTATTATGTTTGGTATTCATGGCGAGAGCACGACTGGAGGGCGCGTTAATGTATCATCATTAGTATTGTATGTATTGGATAGATCCGATTAGACGACAGAACGAATAGCGAAAGAAGTGATTATCATTCGTCACTTGTGTATGCTCGATTGCATTTGCAGATTGAATTGCTTTACCTTTCATTCTTGTCTTTTTTTTTTTCTTTTTATGTTTTTCCCTTTTCTTTACCCTTTTTGGAAAATCAGTTGAAAAGAAAAAGAAACGCCATCAATCAGTTCTATTTTGAAGTTTTCTATTAAACTACATTTAGTTGTTTTAGTTTAAACAGCGATTGACTTATCTCATCTGTGCTCTTTTCTACATCTCTGACTGCGGCGCCGGTGGTAGTAGTAGTTACAACAACCGCAACCATTCTGTACCTTAAATTGCCAAAAAAAAAAGAACGAAAATATTCTCTACTACACTCGTACACACATCACAAACGGAAGAAAGAAGAGAGAAAGAAGAGAAGGGAAGAGAAGAGAGACAAAAAAGAGGTTCGTTTTTCTTCTTCTTCTCTTTCTCCTTCTCGACGTTTGTTCTTCATCGACCATCTCATCATTCAGACATCGTTGGTGCTACTCGTCTTGAACTGTTATATTGGTCGTCATTGACTCATTCTACTTTGATGTTGTGACTTGTTGTCAACTAATCGACGACGGTACTCATTATGATGCGAAAATTCAGGAAAATCTTTCGTCCGGTTACGCATAAGAATGACTCGGTCCTCGCCTCACTCAATGGTCAATTGCCATCGCCTAATACGTCTCCCTTCAAACAAAATTCTTCGATGATCAACAATCAACTCTTAACAGGTAGACACAAAGACATTTTTTTCGAGTTTCGTTTTTCAGTTTTTTACTTACTCGAGATTACGAACCAAGGACAAATCTTTATGTGGAAAAGAATGAATTCGTCATCGCTTTTCTTCTTTTTTTTTATGACAATCAATCAGCTTTATTTGTTTGTTTTGCGAAATGAAATGCTTCTAACAACATTAGCATGTGTACAAGAAAAGTTATTCCTCCAAGGTTAAGTTAAAATCTAATCGAAGATTACGAAACAGTTCTCTTGTTCAACGGCTTATTTTCGTCGAATTTCGATTACAGAAATGCAATTGCAAACAGAAAAATGATTATGTCTTGAAATTGATCGAATATCGCTTTAGTCACGCGCATAAGCAACTCGTTGCTTTGATAATCTCCATACTAGTCAAGAGAATTAAGCATGTGACTACGTATGTACGCGCTACTCGACCGATATATTTCACTGCGTCATTCTTTGTTCGGAGAACCGATAGATATACTGCTCATACGTCCTATCTCTTCTTACATTTTGACATTCTCACAAGATATATACAGAGATAGAGGAACAGTAATAGTCATTTAGCTTCGCTCTGCTCATGATGATGTGAGATATCGATAATAATAAAATGAAATATGTTCTTCGTCGTTGGACACATGACATACATTGCTGTCAAATGTTGAAGATATATACTAGAAGAAAAAACCTCAATTTATATACTCTACTGTATTATTAAAGTATATCTATATGACAATGAATAGATGAGAGAAAGAAATTTCATGCTACTTTAGTGGTCAACTGATAATTTGTTAAGAATACAAAGAGAAAGTTTCGTTTTTTTTTTATATCTGTCGTTGAACCTTGATGAGTCAGTCTATTCGGAAAGGTTGAAAATAAAAGGTTCACGGAGCAAGGTTAGCCGATTTCTTTGTGTTCAATATGCTATTCATCATAGAATAGCTTCGTTTTACGTATTCGTGCTATCGAAGGATAAGTTACTGTTCAGAATAAAATGCTTTAATGATATTTCAATAGATGTCGTCGGATTCGTCATAATCTACCGCAGAAAATCGCCGTTTGAAATAGAAAGAGTATGGATATCTGATATCTTTTGTCCTGCTAAGTCAATATCGATCGTTTTCAAACGGAGAAATTTAAGAATTGTTCACATTATGCAAAAACAGATCGATTTGACTTGAAATGATCGTTTCAAAACTCGACCTGATTTATGTTCGATGGATTGAAGACTTTCAAGCAAACAAAAGTTTGTCTGTCTGAAAATCGATTCAATCGTCGGAGATTGTGTCATTATTCTGAACACACAGCGTGCTGAACAAACATACGATCATTAGTTGCAATGCAAAAAGCACAGCGAGGTGACGATGCGTATAGTATGAGCACTTGTGTTGATAACCTCTTTCTCTCGTGTGTCAAGGCGTTCACTACGTACATTTATACGTAGTTAGAGAGAGAGAAAAGAGGATGCAGTGAAGCTTCTTTCTCTCTCTGTCTCTATCTCCTGTTTAATGATCAGACACAAAAACGTTGAACATCCGTTTCATCGTCGTTGATCGTTCGATATAATCAATAACACGATATAAGCAAGCCAGTACAAAGGAGAACAATAGCAGCAGCAGCAACAACAAGAAAATCTCTCATCTATCTTCCATGAAAGCCTCTTCATTTTGCTTAATGAAAACTATTCGTATTGTTGCTGATTAACAAACCAATAAGAGTCTCTAAACCGCATCGATCGATTCTTTTTTTCTCTTTCGCACTGCTTATTTATTATTCCTACTATTGGTAATTTATTGTTATAATGAAGCGTTATAAGCGTAAACGAGGGAAGAAAACATCATCAATACAACAAGGTGAGATGTTTTTCGACGAAGTTTGAATGTCCGAAGTGAAATAATATTTTCATAAGAGCATTTTTTATTCATCTTTTGTTATCTTTACTCTTCTAGAACTACCTGAATCTTCCACTGACATTAACTGCGATCTAACTAATGAACATCGGATAGATTCTTCTTGTCTGACTTCGAAATCGTGTAATGAGAAGATCAAGACAGATCGATTTTTTTTTTCTTTCGTTTAATTCCATTTTGAACTATCAGTATTGACTTGTGTGTATACACACGTGTTATGTATTGACGGATTAATTGCCGATCGAATCCATTCTTTTATCCTTTGAGGCAAGTGTAGACTTGAAAAGTCATAAGAACAGCAATAGATATACTCGAGCTTCGCTTTTTCTCCTTTCATTCTTTTCTATTGTGTCTGTTTTGAAGTTACTCGTTCTAGGCAGACAAAACCTCTTCGTGCATATGCGAGGCTGTTGTTTTGTGCTAGTTGTTAAGAACGAACAAAAACTCGAATAAATGAATGATTGCTTCTTTGCAAACAAGAGACGTATCGAAAGCCATGACGTTCGGTAAGACTTCGAGCAAGGCTGGTCCTTTCTCAATGTGTTGAGAAATTTGTTTTGTGAAGGTTAGAAAGACGCCGATTAACTTTTAACGAGAGATTGATAGTTCTGCGGCTTTCTCGTCCTCTACCTACATAACGTTTGACTTGATCAAGCAGCTGCTGTTCATTTTCTTTTTCTTATGAATATGGTGACAGATTGGGAGTATTCAGTGACCGATTGATAGATTTCTTTGTTCTTATTTGTCATTTATTTAAATGAAACTGACTTTGATCAGCGATGAAAATGATAGGAGAAGAATAAAACATTCGTGTGTGTGTGTACGTTATTCTCTTTTTTTTCTTCAGCTAAGAAAAATAATCAACATCAGGAGTCTATTCAATTTCTTTCTCATAAAACCGCACAAGAAACACCTTCCTCGTTCTCCTATTTCTGTTTGTCAAGCAAAACGAGCGCTATTTAGATCGGGTATTACCTTGAAGATCAGATATCTATTAACGATATCGAAAGCGACTAACTTACCTAAAACATGTCTACATATTCAATGAAAGAAGCGATTATGTCATGAAATTATCTATTCTCGACTACTTATGGTTCCTATTACTATTTCTTTGCAAGTTTTTCTTCTGTTTGTGTTGTAAACTTTGCACATACACATGGTATATCATCATAAATGTCTACTATCTTGAAGCGAGTAAGATTTCCTTTTTTTTTCTTTTTCTTCTTCTTCATTTTTTGCTCGTCGCTCTTTTTTCAATAGTCAAAAAAAGAAAGAAAAGAAGGAGCTCTGTAGTGCAGTACACTATACAAAGTACCAACCGAAGTGCGCGCGTCTATACTGCCATAATTTGTTTTTGATAGGTAAACTGAAAAGACCTCCCATATACACGAGCTTTCAAATAGACTGCATCACTTAAATTCTCTGTCATTGTTACTATAGGTGGATGTGATAAGGTCGACATATTTCTTTCGGTCGTATATATATATATTGTCTCCTTGTCTCTCTTCCTCCAATCGCCCTTCATTCATTCTTTACCGTCCATTGTATATGTACACATCGATCGATGTATATGTGTATACATACACAGCAAGGGTGCTCATCTCTACTTCTTCTTCTCGGCGAGAACAAAACAATTAGTATTGGTAAAAGCAGGTAGCTGACGTGACCGTAGTTGTTGTGTTATTATCGATGGACATGCAGCCCGATAAGTTTAATTCGGGTAAGTTGCGCAAACACGAAGTTATTATCGACAATCTCCCATGATGGGGATAGTGGCTATTCATTTACACGATGTTCGTCTTCATTTTTTGATTTGTATTGTACGAAAAAAAAAGATGAAGAACGAACAAATGTCTGGCAAAGTATCCGATTACTTTGTATCGTACTAACGATACAAGACGAAGAAAAAGAAAAGTAGAAAGAATACTGATGAATTGTTCTCTTATCCAAGTTTGACTCTGATGGGATAAAGAAGTGAAGAACTCTTCAGTCAGGTCGCTTCTTTTTTGTTTGTGTCGATCAATATTAGTTTATCCGGTAAATGATTCGATTTGAAATTTGATGAATCGACATGTTAGAAGGAGTGAAGAAGACAAATCAACGATCTCGATATATATCGTTGTTTGATAAGAACAACAACAAAATCGAAATATCGATGAATCACTGTTATTTTTTTCGTCTAAGAAAAACAACAATATTTAGACAGTTAAAGACTTAATCATTTACATGAATAACCTTCTCCTTTCTTGCCTGTTTTTTTTTCATATCGAAATTGATACGCGGTTAAATCAACATCATACAAAAAAAAAGAGACACCCTTTATTCTCTGTTTAGAATCACCTGTTGCTCCATCAAATCCCAATACATCCGCAGACGATTCTTCACCCAGCGTACAGTATGCCAAAATGCGTATTATATCATCACCAGTCTTTCAATTACGTGATATAATCCGTGCTCTATTAACATCTGTTCCACCTTCATGTGATTTAATTTCAACATTTCTAACCTATGGTCAATCGTTAGGTGCATCGACCATTCATGGCTACCTTGTCGATCGATGTTACGATACTCAAACGTTGATCAACGATGAGTTCTCTTCGTATCAAGGTGTAGCATTATGTATTACTTACGATGCACAATTGAGTGAACAACAATGGGAAGATGTTTTCGGTATACATGAATCCACGTCGACCATCTCGAAAACCGCATCTTCATTCTTTCATTTAACTGATTTCCTATGCATACTAAGCGGTTCACGTGTGGTTTACTATGATCCTAATGAACGTATGACAAATGACGAACGTGCCTATGTGTCCATCTTCGATCTTGAAAATGATGATATTGAAATGTTTCAAGATCAATTTTCTCCCTTAGATTATTTTCTCCTCAAATCAAAGACGTTCTACAATGGAACATTGATACGTTTACCATTACGACAAACATCCGTCACCCAAATAGCATCGCATATCCAAACATTAGATGATATTAAACAACAGATTCTTCGATATTTCTTCTCACATGAATCATTCATTGAATCATTGTTAAACCAAACAAATATCAATACAATCGAATTCGATTATACAAAAGATTTTCAAAATTTCACGCAATTCTTAACCATTGACAAACATATCTTAACCACCATTCATGATGCTCAATCAACAACTCAACTCATCCATATGACACTATCCAAACAATTCGATGAAATCAAAACAAGGTTAGTACCATTGTCTTTGATTCAATTAAGACTGATGATTAGCTTGAAATGTAATACTTCATTTCACTCGAAGGTTCTTTTTATTAACCATATGAATAGGAAAACAAATCGTGTTGTTATTATTATTCTTCATTTGTATTCTAGTGATGTCTCTCGGTGGTTATTATCAATCTATAATGATTATAATGAAACTGATAAACGTGACATTCAATTAAAACTTCTTCTTCCTCTATCACCATTTTCTTCCTCTCCTGAAACGTATATTTTATCAAGTTGGGCACGTAATTACCAATCGATTCAAATCACATCCTCACGAATACTTTACTATTGTATAATTCCATCTTTAAACACATTCTGCAAAGATGACATGTGCACTCAATTACGACAAATTCAATTTCCCAAAGCGTATGCTCTATTTTTGAAAGATCTTTCAAGATTGATCAAACCGGCGACGACAACATCAAATCTATCCATTGATTTAATTTGGGAATTGATGCCTGATATCGATGAACACCAACGATTGCTCAACGATAATCAAAAATATTCTCTCCTACAACCACAACAACAATTTTTGAAAATTATCAACAATCTTATTCCAGACATGTGGGCAGAGATCGGTAAGTTTCATCTCTTAATCGCACAATGAGTATGTCTACCAGTCGTCGCCTAATTAAAATCATTGTCGTTATTGAAGAATGAAGTGCATGTATGTTGTAAAATGAAACAAATGAATGTAAAACTTCATGCGTATTCTTCATATCAATGTCATTATCATATATGTAAATTTCGTCTCTTCAGGTCATGATACTACCAATAGGATTGAAGGAAACATTTGTAAATAGTTGAAATGCCTTAAGGATAGTGCGAACTGATTAGGTGGCATAGGCTGAGAAAATTACCTATTTACTTTTCTTGTTCTGCTTGTATGTTCCTTGGAATAATGTATAGCTCTAGACTTGACCGATCCACAACCTTTGATCTATTGTTATATGATAGAATGCAAACATTGAACCGGATGAGACTAATTCGTTAATAAGTAGAAAATATCATTGATGACGTTGTATTACTTTGCTTTCTATTCGACATAAAAGACTAAAAGCTTTGTAACCTAACAGAATAATAAATGAGAAGAAAGATGTACAGATTCTCATGATGGTAACCTCGACCTTTGATTATCGTACACTCACAAAGAAAAATCTTCTTTGTTTTTCATTATTGAGATATCATCTTGAACCATGTCAATGCATTTTTAGGTAAACAAGAATTATTCTACTCAGTCACTGATGGTTGGGGGTATGTTGCCATTGAAGATATGATTATCAACAACGTTCAATCAGGTCCGATCCAAGATGTTCTAACATTTGTCTTTTCTGAAGCCAATGCACCTATTGTTATTCTTCCTCCACATGTCATCAATGGTTTATGTAAATATTCCAATAAACATTATCTACAAGTAATGACACCATTTCATGCATCAGAATTATTATCCAAGAATGCTTCTATCCTTTCACGTTTAACCTATGAACAAAAATTATCCTTACTAACTTATATTCTATTAAACGATCCGGATCCAGGTTTGGTTCTGGAATTACAATTGTTACCATTAGCGAACAAGCAGTTTGCTACTTTTCAAAAGAAATCTTCATCAGATATTTATATACTTGACTACGGAACGAATTATCTGAAGTTATTCAACGACAGACACTATGAGAAATTTCTCAGTCCGTTTATTGACAAGAAGTTATATGAGATCTTGTCGTCTCAAAACTTTCAAGGTAAGACAGATGTTTGTTTATCTAACGAATTTCTTTCGATGTCAATTTCTATATGTGTGTGCGTATGTCTGTCACTTTCTACGCGAATGAAGAAGATCGTAAGAGTTTGGAGGAGCAATTCTTTTTCTCTTGTTCTTCTCCTTCTTCTTCTTCTTCTTCTTTTTTTTCTGACGACTCATCGTCGGCGATTTTTTTTTACATTCAAACAACGACCGTACAGAGAAAAGAGAAAAAGAAACTGACAGAGAATATAGAATAGAGAAAAAAAGAAGAAAATGTCTCACTGGAACTAATCGAACGACGACCGCAACTGGCACTACACGCGACAACAGTATTACTAAGAACATTGCTAAGACGTTGTTTTCTTCGCCAAGTAAAAGTGTTCACCAACAATTGAATTATGTACCGGTCGAATTTCTACAAACGATTCAATCCGTCATCACAATCGACAGAGAATCCTCGTCGATCAGTTTCTGCTTCACGAGCGCCATTTGAACGAGGTAACGATGAATGTCTGCAACGCGTTCTTCATGAATAGTAAAAGTTGAATTTGTTTAGTAATCTAAACTGATGTTTTCGTTTTTGATTCCCAAGGAGGACTCGGCTATAGTTAATTCTGCGCATATTAATTACATTGTTTTCCTTTCGTCCATCGGATGCAATGACATTTTTCTTTCTTGCGACTATTAACTAAATCTCAAGGTTCGCTGAATATGTATATCTCGCAGATGTGTATGCAAAGCAATCGCGTTAGATCAACTTACATTGAATAATAAGGAAATGTCGAAGTTTGCTTCTCATAATGAGAACAATTTATTAAGCTTAAGTAAGGCAGTATTTTGTTCGAACGATGTCATCTAATGTTTATGTACATCTGCGTGCGAATGATGATCAAATGTTTGTCTTCTTTTTTTTTCTTTGATGGATATGATGTATCTGAATGTACAACGTTCTTGAGTAAGGTCAATAAAATACACTTCATTGATCATCATCACTATGATCATGATCATGATCATCTGCTTGCTTGGAAGCAAGAGTGCATCGAGCGTAAATGCAAGGTAAAGACGATTCATTCAGCTGTATTTGTTCAATGTGCTCCTATCTGACGTGAACAATGAACGAACTAGCCAAGCGCATGCATACGTTTGCTTGTTGAACATTATTCAACTCGGGTAAACTTCCATAGAAAACGATTGAGTTAAGGAGTAGGAGTTCAAGTCAAACTTTGCTTTTTTCGTCATTTCTTATTTGATCAAGTCTGTTTCGTCCTCGAACGATCAAGTGAAAGATGCTCATTTAATGATAAAATAACTGTTCAGATACGTTAAATTATACAAACAACCTCCTGTGTATTCTAACATCCATGAATAATATTAGAGAGAAAAAAAAAGAAATCAATTTTCTTGTCATCTTCGCTCAATAACGATGGTATCGGATGTCTCACCGTTCATGTATATACATACGTTGATATAGAGAGAAAATATCGGCATCTTGCTCGTGATTTGTCACTCATTATTATTCTTATTCTTATTTCTCCTCTTTTCTCTCCTATTTACTGTCGTTCTATCAGCAATTGCTCAACATTAATAACAATCGCAGTTTCGAAAAAGAAAGAGTATGTTACTTATCCAGTCCTACTCATTGACTGGCATAAGTATTGGAGTATGCGTACCTCGTTGATTTCTCTTCTTTTGTGAAAGTTTGCTTTTTTTTGTCCATCGCACTCGCCGTGAAACATCACAGGTCTACCGTTGAATGGAATATTTTTAAAGCAAAACTAATCTTTCAATATTGATCTGCGATCAAACAAAACACAAGAAAAATAACAACAGAAGAAGGCTGTTTTGCAAATTCAACTATACAATTAGTTCGTATTTTTTTTCTTCGTCTTCTTCTTATTATTACTCGAAATGGGCAACACTCCAGCGTGTTCATCAAAACCTTCGCCGATGAAAAACAACACTTCACCATTGTATAAACTCAAAGCAAGTAGTCCATTACCAGCGCGTATTCATCATTACAAAGAGCAAACGTCTATTCAACCAATGTTTTCTCCGTCGAAAACTAAAGGTAAAACGTTCATTCATTGCTGACCGAGCGAATTTTTGCAAGTGATTTTCAAGAGTTCTTCTCTCTTGCGTTGTCATTTCAAGTCGAATTAGACTTGACACATATCAAATGTTTTGAACCAATTCAGATCGAACATCATCATACGTCGAGAATGACGAAATGAATACTGGTTATACATATATCGATAACATAAAGAAAAAGCGTGATGTAATTTTCAACCTTTTTCTTTCTTTTTCTCGACTAGATAGAAGGAGAAAGCTTTGTGAACAACTGTATTGAAACTTAAGGTGTGTAATTAGAGAGTTCGTACGATGGGTGGAGCAGTGAATGGATGAATGAATATAGTTGTGTGTATATCAAACAGATTAGATTGGAGACCTGTCACTAGGGNTTATGTCATTAGATATCGAACATCTGGTTAGTTTCACTAACTCTAATAGTTTTGTCCAGAAAACTAGAACAAGTATTTCGAATGATATATCGTCGCGATACGTTTCACCGATTTCTTGACGTCTATGTTGTAATCCATTTGTTCTTTATCATATATAAATAGACATGATCTTTCGAGATGATTATTGTTGTTCGATGATTTTCATAAGGGAAAATGTCGAAGAGAATCTTTGCACGTTCGCATTGGAATCTTTCGTTCTCATCGGATAATCTTCATCTGCTGCCCAAATTGACACCACGAACTTGTTCATTTAACTATGAAAAAGAGCAATTGACATCATCATGTACACTCTTTACGCGTCACGGTATGTGTTAATGGTAGGAAAAACGAGGGATTCCTTGATTGAGATTCGTCACCTAATAATTAATGAAGTTGTCTCAAGGTAATTAACAGACATGCGCACGAAATTTGTCGTAGTTTATGGAGATAGAGAAATCGAGGGAAGAGCTTTTTTCTGCCGCGGAAGAATTGGTGCACACAAGAGCAGAGAGACAAATCGATACGATCTTGTTAATAGGAAGATTGATCGAATAATGTAACAATGTCTGCTGTCCTACGTGTAGTCGGACTGATTTTGTTCATCTGAGGAATTGTTTTTATTCCATTTACGTTTGAATAACAAACGCGTGATAAAGAGATTACGTAAAAATCTTTGACCATTATCATCCTAAAACAACTTCATTATGTGATGACATTACACAGCCTTAGTATACCGGTGCAATGTTAACATCACTGTAGGAATAGTAAATACAGGGAGGAGAGAAGAGAGAAAAAGCAAGGGAAGGAGAGTGATGGTATTGCTCTTCTTCTTCCCTCTTTATATTCAATGTATATGTACTATTCTTCGTTTCTTTTTTTCTTCTCTGTCTCTTTTTTCTTCTATCATTACTGATTCTCCCTCTCATCAACGACATCATTTGCGTTTGCATATATTCTCCTACTCTCTCTCTCTCTCTCCTTTCCTCTCTTGCTCGCCTTCTCATTTCTCGTATGTATATACGTGCAGGTTTTTTATGATGACGTCCCTGTACGTACGCCGTCACTCTCCTACTACTCCTCTTCTTCATCATCATGCGGACTACGAACGAAGAGGAGAAGAAGGTGAAGATTGAGGATGATGATTACACTCATTGTCTAGCCTGAAATCAAAACTACTCGACATATCGTGTTTATCTCTATGTTCAAATAAAGATACAATGGATTCACGATACCACTTTCCAGGAACGATGTCCAATCGTTACGAACAACTTTCGCCTAATACTAATCCACGTCATGCGAACAACCCAAATCGTTCAACATCGACTTCGACACGCTATCTACATCGTGCTCCGCCTGTCTTTCCACAGCATCATCAACATCGCATTCGTACCCCACCGCCGCTTCTGTCTTCGTCATACTTAGGCCCCTTGCAACAACATCGGCCACGCTTTCTCTCTGCCTGGGATCTGACTCCAGCACCGAATATCTATCTTTCGTCACGCAATATTGCTACGGGTACGCCAACACCAACGTCAAGACCGCAACAATACGAAGAGGGTGCGTGTATCATGAACAGTTGTGTCTTTGATTTCAGCTGTTAATTAGCTGCACATACCACAAATTGTGCAACATTTCTCGGATTTCCTTTTTTCTTCTCCTTCATCTTTTGCTTCTTATTCTCAGTATGTCGACACGTACAGAAGGTTTCTATATTGATTATTTACCAGAGCAAACAGCAAGAACAGTAGCTACACACACTCGTACATATACTGAAGATAATCTTTAGCCTTCGCCTAGGATTGAATTTCGTTATTAGACAAAATGAACAGTTCGTACTTGAACATGTATAAATATCCCTTGTGAATTTTCAAGCTTGACAATTTTTCAACATTCTTCTGTTGATTCATCGATATGCAATATGTATACATATACGTATACATATATGTTAAGCAAATGTCAGTAAAAAAAAACTGTCAATCATCCTTGATAAATGTGACAACAGAAATGATTGTTCATATTACATTGTGACAAGGTTTATAAATAGTGAAAAATCGCTTTTTTATTGTTGAACAAATTCGTTTGCATTCAGATGAAAAACTTTTCGAAAATCGATTTCTCTGTCAAGACCTTCGTCCGATTGAAAACAGTCTCCTTTTTCGTTAGTCGATTAGTTCAACATGTGTATACATTTCATCTCGTTTTACATTGTTCCTGCTATTGTCTTGACACGAGGAACGACGTTGATCGATTCTCAAGCTTCGAAACCGCACATATACAAAAAAAAAGTGTCTGATTGCTTTTTCTCTCCTTTTTCTTCTCCTTTTGACGAAGCAAAACGCCTTTATTGCTCAGAAGGCCACTCAAATATATCAGCGAGCGAGGCAAATAAACGCGTGCGTGCAGGTTGTCAAGCATACGATTTTTTTTTCGTTTTTTGTATCGTCGGTTGAGTCAAGGCAATGTGTTATTATGGCTAATTGAAATAAGATTTCCTTCATAATTTATGAGCAAATCGATGTTGATAAGTTTTCTTTCGCGAGCAAATTTCTTCATCAAACATATGTTCTTCAGTAATCCTGATCATGATTTTATTTACATAAGATTATGAAACGTGCAGGAGAGATAAGTCGATCAGGTAAACCTCAGAATTTCCATTTTCGCGATGAATAATCTTTGACTAATTTGTTCGGATAAACAGTGGGTAAAAGTTAAGCTAATCTTCTTTTGTTCGTTGATAAGATCATAGCGAGTCGCAAAAAACTGAGACATAAAAGATAGTTAATGATGATCGTTAAATAGAAAAAGAATGTGGGAGTTTTCATTCTTTGAATGAAAATGATTGATGAAATGAAACAACAACAACAACAACAACAATCAAGATATCGTTTGTGTGATAAATTGTCGTTTTCACCGTTGACAATAAAATCAAGATTTGATTTCAATATTGACCATGAATGTGACATTTTCCTCTTCCTCGGCAAACTTTCATTCGCAGAAAATAACTGTTCTACTCCAAATGAAGTAACGTAATTGACAGACATCACCGTTTTGTTTTTTTTTGGTAGACATAGAATGTCCATTGATAGGATTAGACGAACATATATACATACATGGAGAGCGAGGAAAGATTGTTGTTGACATTTACTGATTAATCGAGTATGCTAATGAATTGACTTGCCATACATATATTTCTCCACTAAATACAGACATACGCACACACACGCGGCTATAGAAAACGATGAGTAGGTATCAGCTGCTGTCCTGATAGAGTCATTAGGGAATCGTATATCGAAAAAAAAAAGAGACGGAATGTTGATTTATTAGTTCTTTTTATTCTCCGAGAGGCGAAATTTGCATAAAGATTTAACATCGAATACTTGATGAGATTTATTTTGACATTCGAAATGATTTATAAATACGATTAATATTTTCATTTTCTCCATCATAGACCGTACTCAACTGCAATCAATGCCAGCCAAAGATTTCGCTGATTTAGTGATGTTGCCACGTGAATGGCGTCGTGGTGACGACTGCATTCAATGGCCGAGAAATCATGATTATTACAACATCGAATGGCTGGAAAATCTCTGGAAATACATTAATGAAAAACTTCCTAATGATCTCTCCATGTTAGAAAACACCAATATACTTTATCTACAACCATTGTCACGTCCAATTGGTGCTTCCACAGCGAATAATAGTATATCATTATACAAACTCTCGAAAAACATCGGTCTAATTCAATTACCCATTGTTCCAAGCAAAGATGATTTAGCCATACAGAAAATTCTTCTAAAACTGAATTTCTATTGCATTGAACCATTTCCGGAGATCATTCGTCGGCACAAATGTATTGAAGAATATGTTCCACAATTATCCTGTCTTGGTCTCTTACAAATCTTCAAATGTCGCTTAAGACATTTCACTCAATTGAAAATTCAACATGAATTCAACACCCTACTAAATGAACATGACATGAAACTCCTTCGTCAATATCTTTCGCGCATAATGACACAACAATTAGATGATTCCAACATTCAATGTATTAAACAACTCCCAATCTTCGACAATGCATTCCTAGGCATTGATAATAATCAACAACAATATCGATATATCAGTCTGAATAATATTTTATATATCTACGAATCCGGAACGAAATTACCATGTGATTTACAGCCACCCAAACAATGCATTCATGTGACTGATAGCGATTCGCGAATTCTATTAGATAAATTAGGTTATGTTATACATGATTTTACACATGTTGCTAGATATCTTATCACAACTCTGGGCCAACAACAACAACAACAATTAAATATCCAACAGCAACAACAACAGACACCAAATCCATCGACAATGAATACATTATTCAAGAATGATCAACAAAAAATGGCATTTCTAGGTAAATAAATAGATGAAATCGAAAGAAAGAAAGAAAGGACCTTCAAGTCAACCAGAAGAACTTGTTTATCGAGATATTAGTAATTATTTCTTATATATACAAAGCTTTCTATTGAAAGAGTAGTTCGTTGAAGAAGTTGAAAGATTTCCTCATTTAACCTCGAATTTCATGCCCTTGGAACGTTTAAACAAAGAAACTTTGAACTGTTCTATAACAATTGTTTATAAAAATGTCGAAGCTATCGAATCGGCTAGACTTCGTCTATTCAGGGTATACAAGGTGATAATACGTACAATATATGCATGACTAAATCGACTTTTTCTCAAGGAGAAAAGTCTGTCCTTCTGCTAGATACGGAACACATTAACAACTATAGGATATTCTGCTAATTTAATTCGTATTATGTTCTGTTTTAGGCAAATGGTTATTGTCAAACTGTGCAAATTTGATTTTAACAGATGTTGTTTGCCAAGATACTCTGTCAACCAGTCGATTATTTCCGAATCGCAAAGGTGAATTATGTTCGTGTCAACAAATGTTTGATCCGACATCGTTTCATGCGAATAACAAAGAAAAGTTCTTAATCTTATTCGAATCGAAATATTTACCATCGATTGACATATGTTCAACTAACGAACATATCACTTTACTTAAGCATTTGAAACTAAAACAATTCTATGATATCAAATGCGATGAATTAATCGATATTTGTGAATTAACTATTAAAGAATCAGCCGCTAATGGGAAACGTTCGCTGATGTTTCTCTTAGCTGATTTTATCATTGATATTTTGAATCAAAATGGGAAACTAATTGACGATTATTCTCAAACGAAACGAATTAGTCTGAAACAATACTTAAACATCACGCAATGGATCCCAGTTATGCTCGAAAGGCCAAATTCTTATCCATCAACATTGACATGGCAAGGTAAACTTCGCAGCAATTACTTTCCATAATGAGAGATTTCAGTTCGAAAGGACACGTTCATTCAAGGTTGATGATATTCAATTCGCTTTTGATGATATATCTATTTGAATCGAATGTTTGACTTTCAAATCGTTTTCCTTTTTTTTTAGGTTCAATCGATTCACGTCGTCCGTTCGTCACACCACGCGAAGTGTGCGACAAATCGAATGCATTTTTAGTGGGCGCGACAGCACTGGTTTCGTCACTTGATCTGCCAGATAACTTTCTTTCATCATCACGTTCATTCAATTCATCATCGAATCGTTTACTGATCGATATGCGCGAAATCAAACTTGATTTATTAATCAAACAATTGAAATGCGTCGTTCTTTGTTACTTGAAATGTTCATCGCATGAACAGAAGAGTGAAACATTTGATTATTTAAATTTATGCAAACGTCTATACGATGCGTTAGCACATGTTAATAATCCTAATGATATTCTCAAAGAAATGCGCATATGCGACTTGATTGAATGGATTTGGAATGGTACAAATGGATTCTCTTCCACAAATCAAATCTATCTCATCGATAAAACTCATTCATTAGCTGCGTACGTTCAAATCCTTCCGTATGAATTGTACAATTACCGAAAGTTTTTCGAATCCATGGGAGTGAAACATCATCCGGATGGAGCGAAACTAGAAGATATCATTCGCAATCAGCAGATCTATGATGAGAACTTGTTCAAATGGATTAAGGAAACATATTCGGGCGATCGCCGTCTGTTACAAGTGATCAACGATTTAGAAACGAAAAATAATAAAACAGTACCAACGAAAAGCATGCCAGATGAACAAACACGTATCACATTTTCGAGCACTTTGGATCTGTCCGATGATAAAATATATCTATATCTACCAGGTACGATACAGAAAAGATCTTCTTTGTTTTGACGTCTTTAGTCTCTTTAGATATTTTCAATAAGCAGAATAACGTGAAAGAAACAGTTGTTCAAGCGTTGACAACCATCTCAAAGGAGAAGAAATGTCATTTACTATCCGAAGAAGATTATTTCATTCGTAAAATGTCAGGCCCTGAATATCAAAAGAACCTCTACGATCATTACCGTGCTTTTAATGATTTACTCTTACCAAATTTGAATGTTCTACCCAAAAATGTCAAAGATACTTTGGTGCTATTTGCATTAGACCATGCCGATGCATTAATGTTGAACATTCTCAAACAACACTGTTGTATTCCATGCACACCCAATGGAAGAATTTTGAACAAACCATCGAAATTGATTCACCCGTATTGCCGTCTAGCGTCGTTGTATTCAGATATTGATTCGCTGTTTCCGTATGGTGGTCAGGATTCCTATTTACGAGAAGATCGATTGAATGTTTTAAAACTACTGGGTAAGAACGAAGGAAAAACAGAAATCAATATTGATTTGAGGGGAAATTAAATAAAAAAATTCTCCATCAGATGCAGCAAACGAGGAATATTTGTTTTTTATTTTTCTAGGAATGAAATGCGATGACAATCTTGTCACCTGGCCAGAACTTGTCGAACGTTGTGAATCGATTCAACGTATGCGAGATTATGACTTAGCTCATGAACGATCAGTCGCACTTTTACAAATTCTCAATGACATGCTTTCAATCTCCTCGTCAAATACAACTCGAACGTATGATGAAAATGATGACTCATCCGACCGTCGCTCGCGACAATCGACATCACTTTCACGTGACAAACCGCCAAACTCTCAATCATCAACATCAAGTACACATGAAGCACTTCATGACAAAGAAGCACGAGCACGTGCATCGATACAACTTCGAGAACTTCCATTCATTCCGATAAAACAACGACCACATGAATTAAACGGAATCAGTTTGACATGGATGGGCGATAAATACATCGGCCGATTGTTCAAACCCAAAGATATTCTCTCGCAACAATATGAACAATTAGTTTGTTGTTCATGGCCGATTGCTCAACAGTCGAAAAATACTCAAGAACAACCAACAATTACTAAGCAAGTCGAGCATTTTCTTGGCCTCGACGATACAAGCAAAATCGAACTTCGCGATGTTTTAAAACAACTCGACGAATTAGCCAAATTAACGATCATCAATGGTCCAAGTTCAGCTACTTACAATCATCAAATTACATCAAAATACATTCTCGGTAAGATCGACATACCCCTGGACAGAAAATTCATTCGTCAATCCTTTCCAATGACTCGCAGCAACTCACTGAAAATACATTACTTCTTGTTTTCTGTTTGTTTTAGACATGAGCTATGCAATCTACGACTACATTCAATCCTTCTGTTTTCCTCATTTGAAATCACCCAATGAACATCTATTTGAATATCGTTCATCATCGATGACATCACATCAACTAGAACAATGCATACGTGATGTACGCGAATTTTTTTCCCAGCGTCGTCTCATCTACATGAATGACTCATCGTCAACGGATACTTATCTATTCCTATCGCTATCTCAACTCTTATGGCAAGCACCGACTCGTGCATCGGCGTCAAACAATTTAAAACCATATTACTATCCTCTTCCCATCGCTTTACATAAACATTACAAAAACCTCTTCTTAGATTTATTACAAATCAAAATTCAAATCGACGGTAAAGATCTTCTGAACATCATTGAGCAGATCAAGAAGAAGTATGGAACTAAGCCTATTGACAAAGATGATTTGACCTTACTACAAAATATTTACACTTTTCTAATCGAACAATACTCCAATGTCTTCAGTTCGAATATAAGTTTACATTTACCAAACATCGATTGTGTTCTTCATCCGGGCTCAACCTTATTCTTCTATCCATTTGAAAGAGAACAAATGTGTAAGTTTTCAATGTAATGAATTTAATTAGTCAATATTCACTTCTCTCTCTCCCATATCATATACACATATAAGCGTATCAAACACCGTCGTCGACGCAAGTTAGGTCATCCATGACTTGTCATATATATATGTATATATTCTCGATCCTTCCCAAGTGTGATGTAAAATCATTGATCTATTCAATTAAACAGAAGCATATACAAACCTCATCATTTCATCAGTACCTTTCACAAACACTTGACTGAATACACAATACATTTCATATCAATACGACAGTAGTTTCCATTATTATTGCTCTAACCTTGTCGTCGTCAGCATCATTGCTTTCTCTTTTTGTGTATGTTGCTTGTTGTATTGAAAGGAACGTATATACAGTTCTTTTTCTTCTTCCTCTCTCTCTCTCGATTCTGTCAGTCATCTTATCGCGCTTCCATCTATTGACACAATTGTTGGTTGTTGTGGTAGCATTTTTCAGCGCACAGACAGTACTGTATTATTACAACAAGCATCGACACAGAGAGAGAGAATGTCGACGACGCCATTGAAACGCAGTAACCACACAATTGTCTTCAAATTTCCATCTTCCGTTAATTGTAAATGAATTTTTCACTAGCAAAACATCTTTGTTCACTGAAAAGCTTCCTTCGATTTCATATGTCATGTCTTTCTCGATAATTTTAGTGTCAAATCCATCATCACAAGACGAACATTATGTTCATCCGTCTATCGATCGACGTGTTTGCCTCAAAGCTGGTGTCAAAGTACGCAAATTGCCCACAGTTACTGCCACGGCAACGGTCTCGTCGACTCCGCCAGCTCCATTAGTTGAAACCCAAACCGCCACGTCGAATCTTCCAACAACTTCCACTTCACGTCTGTTTCCGAAGATCTTCGGAAATAAAAAACTCGAATCAATCTTAGCACGTCTCGATGATCCACACATCAATCCTCAATTAGTTGAAAATATGGACGAATTAAATCCGAACATTGTCTTAGAATTCCTCTTAGAATCCAATAAACACACCCAAATTACCAATAATCTCTCCGATGATGACATTGTTATTATCTTGAAATACTTCAATGATTTTCTCATTCACGGCTATCAAGGCAATTTCCAAAAGCTTCGCGAATTGAAGATCTACAAGCCAATCTGGGGAACTGTGTCCTCCGATGACAAACAACAACAACAAATACCCATTCAACAATGTTGCTCTCTGGAGAACTTCTCGCATGTTTATGTTCTACACGAAGAATGGGCAAATATCATTCGTCGTTCGTTCAAGCGAAACTTTTTCAGTGAACAATTTCACGAAAAGAAAACCGTGTTACTAATGCAAAAGAAAATCGAACCGCTAAGCAAAATCTTCTCTCATATTCGATTTAACGTCCTCTCGGATGTGGAGATTTTTCTCCAATTATGTTTACCATACTTCCGTAAACTCGATGTAAAGTCTCAAGCGAATCTATTGAAGTATTTTATCGAAGAGATCGACGAGAAACAATTCCCACATGAAAAAGAACAATGTCGCAAACAATTACATGATTTATTGGAAATATTCACTCAAACATCAACAAATAATAATGATTGTTTACAAAAGACACCAGCAGGAATCGCGCGATCATCAGTAAGAGAAGAAAAACAATAGCTAGCGAGTGATTTTCTGCTTTTCTTTCTAGCGTGATCCACCGGAAATCTGTCCAGTGCATGAATTGTACGATCCGAACATCAAAAACATTCGCTCTATCTTAGGCGTTCATCATTTTCCCGACGAGCAATTCCACACACCAACATTATTAAAATTTTTGAAAGAATGTGGTTTACGCTCATACATCTCAACAGAAAAATGCAAACAAATCATGGAATCCATTCAACTGAACGTCAAACAAGAAGGTTGGACACACGAACAACGCAAACGTTCGAAGTACCTGTACGAACATATGCTCTTCAATTGGACACGTTACGACAATTCCATCTTAGATTACAAGTTTCTCGAACCTTATCAAATGCATGCTAATCACGATGAATTATCACAATTGCACGAACAATATGCGAATTGTTCGGATTCGAACATCGCTGATCATTTTCGATTTACGTGTATTAAATTAAGCGATGGAGAATTAATTAAAGACTCGAAATTGTGTTGGACATCATCGTATTTATTACCGGAATTTATTCGTCTGGAACATTATAATGATGCTAATGATCAAAAAGAATCAATCGACGAAAATGCCTTGGAATTTTTCAAATTAAACAAAAAACCTTCTTACACATTGGTACAAAAAAATCTATCAAACTTAGCGAAGAAATTTTCATTAAAAAACCAACACTTCAAGTTTGTTTTCCACTCACATTCTTTTCAAATCTTCATTTTCGTTTTTTAGTGACACAAAATCTCCCTCGCCTACCATCAATCAACAAGTTATCGACGATACTCTCATTCCGGTCTTGAAAGCGATCTACAATTACTTTCAGCATGAAATCAAGCAGGAACGTCGAGTGGAAGTCTACAAAGAATTAGAAGATCGAGAATTTATCTACTCTCGAACACGTCGGCAATTTCTACCAGCGAAATATTTCTGTTTGAACCTTCCGGCCGCCGATGAAATCCCTCCGTTTGTCTTCTCATTGGATACAGAATTTCACGAGTACAAAGACTTTTTCCTCCAAATCGGAACACAAGCCGAACCACATCCGATGTTATACGGAGATATCCTTCGGAAATTATCGAAAGTTTGCGAACAGGACTATTTGAATTCTAATGAATTGTGTAAATCATTGAAAGCAATGGAATGCTTCTTTAAATATCTGGCGACAAGCACAACAATCAATGCGCAAACGAAACTACCTGGTTTATACTTTGTTTCGAATGATTTCAAACTTATCAAATCGAACGACATTGTCATTATGGACGACAGAACCAAAATTGACTATATTACCAAGTTAAATCAAGATAAATTCATGTTTAATCCAAATGAACGCGTTCTTAAGCTCGACACAAATAACTCTTCAAACTCGAAAACGAATGGACCAGCAACAAATATCAAAGATATCATCGATAAAATCTTCGTCAGTCAACGTCCGGTTTTGTTCAGTCAGAAATACGAAGAATCATTTTCCATCACCATACCCGAAGATGAAGAGTCTCATCGTCAACGATTCTTGTTCAATCTCGAAAGAAAGTATAATCAATTGTTGTCATCACGGCATTTACATCGTTGTATGGCACGTGTTATTGCCAATCATGTGGCACGACAACAAAATCCCAAGATTATTTCCATTGATGATGTCGAAAATCTCATTCGACAACGATTGACCTTTGTGAAAGTTACCTGTGTCGAATATTTAGAAACGAATTTGATCTACAAGAAAACGCAACAGAAGATCGATCAATCTGTTGACGAAAAAGCGGTTTATCTAGTTGTGGAAGGTGAAGAAAACATCATTCTGTACATCAGTATGAAACACACCGAACAACCTTACTTCACACTATGTCTTGCACGTGCGTTGAGTCCATGTTTGGGTCTATCCGAATTACAATTAGACAATTCCGTTATGGCTGCTCTCTTAGCGACAACAATTGGACAAATGGCGAAATTGCTAAATTTAGTCAATGTTGCCACGGAAGAAAATATTCTGTCTATACTTAAACTACAGTATATTCCATCCCCGGGTAATGTTTATGGTGATGATATCGAACAATTACAGCAATTCAATATCGATCAACATCAGATTCTACCGGGAGATTTATGTGTTTATCGTCTGAATGATCTTTATATTTATTGCGAAGTGGAAAAGATTCTTAGAGAATCGGACGGTGACCATGAATCCCAGCGTGATGAATGGTCGTGGAAAAAGTCCGACTCCTCAGTTTCATACGCCTTCATCTGTAAAATCAATGATGCGAATGAAACACAGAAGATCGAAGCATCAAATTTTTACGTACTTGAACATTGGTCAAGAATATTCGATGCTGTACATACTAAACCAGTCGATGAAAGAGAATCATTCAAATCATCAACGACAACAACACAAGGTAAGAAGAGAAAACTCATATAAAGTCAGAGACCGAATGATACTTACATGTATGAATACACACATGAATGCATACAACAGATGAAGAAAATGTAAAAAAAACTATCTCGATGAGTTGTTGTTCATTCATATGTGTATTCATTGCTCTAACATTCACATTCTTCGCTTTTGATTGCTTCTTCTTACGTGTGTGATACGAAGAGAAAATGTAATAACAAAGAAGGATTAGACGTGTTCGTTTGATACATTAAGAGCTTTCGAGATTGAATAGTTTCAATGTTCTACAAAGACTGTCTTTCGTCTATCAGATGTTCCATTCGGTCTCTTTTCCCACCCTAAATTTAAGCCATGATTCACTGTGCGTGTGTCGTCTATAGGCAAAAGTGGTGATAAAGATAAATACAATGATGAAAAAACTTCTTCCTCTTCGAAACGCTCAGGAAAAGCGAATCATGCTGGTGATTTTACCAATGATTCCAATCATTCAACGAATGGTTTCGAAAACTTCAAAACTCAAACGTCCGCAGATAGTGACTCCTCAG